AAAATACATGTATACAGTAAACATTCATACATTCATACCTTAAAATACAATATATATTACTAGTATCAACACAATTCAATCATTCAAACATACAAATGGCAATAAATGGCAATATTTGGTAAAGTTTGATTAAATTTTCTTATTCTTACAATAAAAGAAAGAAAACAAATTATTCGACTTGCATAGAATTTTCAAGAAAATGATTATAACAATGTTTCTTAAATAATTCCACATTTCGACAATTTTTTATTTTGAGTGGTAAATTATTCCATACCTTTGTTGCAGAATAATGAAAAGATTTTTTATAAAAATTTGTATTTGGTCTTGGAACAAATAGATCATTATTAGAGACAGATCGTAAGTTGTGGTGTTGCACATCATTAATATTTAGCATTGTTAGGTAATCCGGTGTTAGTCCATTTACAATTTAATACATTAGAATTGATTGTTGGTATTTTATTCTTTTTGTAAAAGATAGCCATTTTAAAGATGAAAACATAAAATTAGATGGAACAGAAATATCGCATTCAAGTATAATTCTTGCTACTCTTTTTTTAAGTTTTATGATTCTGTCTGAATCTTTTTGTAATAAATTTCCCCAAACTGAACTACAATAGTCTATATATGGTAGAATATATGCATTATAAAATAGTTGTCTTGTGTGTATAGGCAAATATACTTTAATTTTAAACAAAAGTGATATTTTAGATGAGATAATCTTGCATATATGATCAACATGATCCTCCCAGCTGAAATTTTCATCAATGTCAATTCCAAGTAATTTGAAAGAATGGACATTTTCAATACATGTTTCATTGACGGTAATACATAATTCTGATAGTTGTGTAAGTTTTTGTTTTGAACCCAATTTCATACACTTTGTTTTTTGTGCATTAATTTTCATACTGTTATTGTTACACCAAGATTGTATAGCATTTAAATCATTTTGCAATATGCTGTTTATTTTTTCAATGTTTTTATTATGAAAATGCAATGTTGAATCATCAGCATATAAATCCATGTCTGATTGTTTAACATGAAGAGGTAAATCATTTATATAGACTAAAAATAACAGAGGACCTAAAATAGAACCTTGAGGCACTCCATATTTTACAAACGATTTATCAGATTTAATGTTAGCGTATTGAACTTCTTGTTGTCTCTCAGACAAATATGATTTTATCCAATCTATCATATGTTCTCCGATATGATAAAAATTTAACTTTTCTAAAAGTATGGCATGGTTAATAAGGTCAAAAGCCTTACTGAAATCTAAAAACACAGTACCAACTATTTCTCCATTGTCTAAAAATTTAAGCATTCATCAATTAGTTTAGTCAGCGCTGTTTGACATGAATGACCTTGCCTGAAACCTGACTGAGCGATATGTAACATTTTTTTATTATTTAAGAATGCATATAACTGTGTACATACATGTCTCTCAAAAATTTTAGATATGGTATTTAAAATAGAAATTGGACGATAATTGGAGGGAATATCTGTTGGTCCTCCTTTATGTATAGCAGTTACTCTTGCAAGTTTTAATTTTTGCGGAAAACGATTCGACGTTATACTTTTGTTTATTAGAAAAGTTAGTGATGGCGATATTATCTCTGCACTTAGCTTTAAAAGTTTTGGACCAATTCCATCTAAACCTGCGGATTTATTAATATTAAGGTGTTTTAGTTGTGAACACACCTCTCCAACAGAAATGAGTTTTAATTTAAAAAATTCAGTTTCCTTTAATTTTGTACTGTAAAAGTTTGTAGCTTAGAAAAATCCATATCTGAAGTATTATTTCCAATAACAGGGAGTTTCTTTTCCTGTCCGGTTACAAGCTTTGCCCAATAATTTATATTTCGTAATTTGATTAAAAATATATACATATCGTCCTAGTTCCCCATACATCATGAATCAGGTGTGGATATATTTAGATGAATTAGTAGTTTACAAAATTGAAGATGAACACGTTCTATAACAGAATTGTTTCTTTTGATGTCGGGGCCTTTTATATCCGACTATACGGTATAGGTTTTCCTCATTGTTGAAGGCCGTAAGGTTACCTATAATTGCTTACATCTACATCATTTTAACTTGGGTTGATAGTTGTCTCATTGGCAATCATACCGCTTCTCCTTATTTTTATATTGTTACCAATTCCCCAGTCCTCACCATTTCTCAAAAATAATCTATTTGTTATTCGATCACAAATTTGTTTTGGCTTCATGTAATATACATGCATTTGTAATCTTTGTAAAGGAAAGGGAAGTAGAAGACGGACTTAAACTGTAGCCTTTGAAAATGAGAGAGTTTCCATCATGATATTAGGTAAATATAACCGGAAGAAAAGTGACATTGGGAACTTTTACAATAATTCGCAAAGTGCTTTATATGAACTCTCGTTTTAGATTGAATATTTATATGAACTCTTGTTTTAAATTGGAGATTTATATGGACTCTCGTTTTAAATTGACTATTTCTCGTTTTAATTTTAAGTTGAATATTTCTTGTTTTAAATGTTTCTTTATTCTTAAATATAATGATTCTTGATTTCAAATACCCAAAGAGATTATAGATTTACTATTTTACAACTTAATGCGATGGCTGTCAAAGGTGCGAAACTTACACTCAACTTCAAAAGAAGCAATTATCGCTATTTTGCTAAGTTAAGCCGGAGGACAATAATCCGTTTATTATTACATAAGATTAGACAATAATTTATATTTTATGAGAACCTTTTATAATGTTTTAATACCCTTATCTTTGACTTAATTTATGTTTTGTAAGTGTGCTTGGGCAGTCTTCCCCTAGCTTTCAAACTGTAAACTTGTGAATAAATTTGTATATAATATTGTATACGGTCTTGCGTTTAAAGCAGCCACAGTGTCGATTATTGACCAACAGACTTTAATGTAACCCGTGCCGAAAAAAACGGAGTTAGACCGGAAATTCACGGGGTTATAATTGGGGAGGATCCCTCGATAACCGTTACCTTTGCAGCCAAGCGAGTTTTACTTATGAACTAGTCCCAATATACGAAAATTGAAAAAATGGAGTTACCAAAGTTGGAAAAGTTTAACGCGTTCGAAACCTAAAATGCAGACATTTGGATACAACGTTACGAACTGATGTGTGAATTTTCAAAGTGGGATGAGGTGCAAGCCACAAGAGCATTTACATGTTTTATAGACAACTACGCTTTAGCATGGTATATGCTTCTCGACGCCGAAGACCGAAACAGCAAAGATAAACTATTCCGTAAATTCAAGGAGCGTTTTGGAAGAAAAAGTATAGAAAAAGTGGGATTGTGGAAAGATGCAGCCGATTTAAAACAAAAACAAAACGAAACTGTTTAACAGTTTATATCCAGAATCGAGAGACTGTGTTTTCTAGCTGGTCAAACAGTAATAATGGAACAATTTATTCTTCGTGGACTTAGACCAGAGTTTGTTGTTCCGTTTGTCACCGCAACCGGTCTTAAACAAAACTTTTCCGTTAGTGAGGCCATAGATGCTGCTTTGCTAGCAGACATAACCATGCAGATAGTATCGAAACCAGAACCAGTCGAAATTACCAGTGCTATAAAGGACAATCCTACACCACAGAACCAACCCAGAAGTGATGGTAAGTGTGATACATACTGTCATAGTTAAGAACATTTTGAGAATGCACATTTTTACGTCCCCCCTGTCAATGTTCTTAATCATATTAATAGACAACAGAAACGCCCCCAAATAAAAGGCATCGAAAAACGAATACAATTTTTACGAAAGTACTTCTAAGTACCACTCGTTCCGCAAGTCAACCACAGAGAGTTTCAGCCCCCACCCTAATCCAAATATGGTTAATCTGTTTGCAAATACAGGCCGTTCAAGAGCCGATTGTAAAATAAATGTTAGAATAGGTTGTGTTTCGTTTTTCATTTTCACATTAAGAATTTATCAATTAAGATAACTTCATTATTCTAATTAAGTGAATATTAACTTTGTTCTAAATATGTCTGAAATATTTGCCAATGGCATTAAGAAAACAAGCAATAAATCGAGCTAAAGTCTGTGTATCCTTGTTGTATCATAGAACCTAGTGTTTTACACAAGTGAAGGTTGTAACTTTGAACAAGGATCACGGACAATAGTATACCAAATAACCACAATTGTTTTAGTTGTCGTTATTTTTATCATTTCACACAACATGCATTTACACGTGTAAGCTTTCATATACATCGATTATCAGTGCTATAACAAAATCATTTTATGATACAACTTTGGGCCGAAACAAGAGAACAAGGTGGACTAGTCACCTGTCTTGTGCTCTTGTTTCCATTGGGTGTACAGGAGTGACGACCTGTATACTACACTGTAAAAACAGTGTTTAGATTCTAAACACAAGTCTAAACACTTTTTCTGTGTACGTTTTGAAACACGTTTAGCATCTAAACATGTTTAGATTTTAACAAGTGTTTAGATTCCAACAAGTGTTTAGATGTCAGATGTTTAGACCTTCTGTTAGGCTACTAGTACTATGATTTTACAGGAACTACTAGTGGTACAGCACTACAGATTGGATACTAATAGTGCATTGTATAATATTGTAGAATATACAATTCAAGTGTACAAATCTGCTTAAATGTCCTTGTAATTATTTTTACCATCATTTGTCCTCGTCAATACAAAATACTAAAGCTAGAAAACTGCAGTAATGATAATAATAGCAATAATAATAGGGTTACACATTTTTAATTTTTATTCTTCCTGTAGGCCTAAGAAAAGTCTGTAAACCATAAGACCAAGTTTAACCCACCATTATTTTTAAAGGAAAATGCCTGTACGAAGTCAGGAATATAACAGGTTTGCTTCCATTTGTTCTGTTGGTTTATGTAGTCAAGCGTTTGATTTTGTCAGGTTTTATGGACCTTTACCTTTTTAAATACAATATGGAGGTTGGATCTTTTATTTTGTTTTTTTATTCCAGACTTGAGGATAACATACAATCTATTCAAATTATTTCAATATTTTATTTAAAAGTCTCACTTAAAGCAAACAAAAAATACAATTATAAATCTTGATATAATCTGTACAGATTTATGAGACAATAACAAGTTTACATTATTTTCCCTTGAAAAATTATAACATTTTCATCACCAATTTCATAAGTGTTAATAGATTTAATAAAGAGAATTTGCCATAGATAGTCATTAACAGGAAAATGTAAAATCACATGAATTTTATCCTCAACAAAACAGAAATTGTCAGTCCATCTCCTATCATACAGGAATTGTTCATTACGGAACTATCTTCTTTTGAATGATAAAGGCTCTTGGTGGGCAGTTCTTTTTGGTTGTCAGGTGAACTTTTGTAAACTGAAACGAAAAAATGAAACCTTCAAGTACATGTACATTTGTAGTGCAACAGTCACTTATTCTTATATTAAAATACATTAAACAAGGTTCTCAAAAGATTCTTGCAAAAGAAAAATACAAATTGTAGTTATAAAGACAAAACTTTAAACCATGTACACATCAATAGACAAATAAATCAAAGGGAATAATATAGCATGTAAGTTTTTTTATATTTTTAAAACAAAATCCTCGATTTCTGAGAGCTACAGTCTTTTCTCTTATTTGTAATATATTTTTTTTAGAATTACCAATTTTTCTATTTTCAACAGGATATATACTAGATTATGAATTAACCTTCATTTTTCAATCATATTACAATGTATTATAGTTCTATTGGCTACTTAATAATATACTTATATATTTTTACTTACATCTGCTTTTGAAATGAAGTCATCCTTTTCTTTCTTCGTTGTTTTATATCTGATCTTTTCTTCGATTTGATCTATATTCTAGGGATTTCATTCCCACTACTGTGTCACAGTCCTATAAATACATACAAACAAATTATTAAATTTATTTAAAGGTTTAAATAAAATATATTAATAACTTGTCGGTTAATTTTTGACTTACGAGTTTGAATGATCCTTTGGTATTGTCAGTTTATTTTCAACTTATGATTTTGAATGTTCTTTTGGTATTCTTAGTTTCTCTTTGACAAATGTAGTGTAACTATAATTTCAGTGTTTATATGTGTTAAAGATGTTGCACTATGGGCCATTGGGATCTTATTTCTTGCAAAGTTTAAATACATGAAACTATGATTTTATGTACAGGGACGAATACTGTTACCTATACAGAATGTAAATAAAAACTCAATGATGTTTCACAAACAAAACCAAAGATTCATACATTAATAAAATGTGTGCATAGACATGATAGACTGACTGTTTCTTCTGAAAATTCAGTGAACTACAACGGTACTACTATAGTCCAATTAATTATGACGTCTTGAAAGGCTATTTTATTTTTTTGCTTAGAAGTCTTACAGTGACGTCACAAAGCATTCTTAATAGCACGAAAACCCATGAGACGAGGATACAAGACCCCCCTCCCCGAATTAAATGTTTGCTCCTATCAACAATATCAGAGTCGGAACAATGAGGGGAAGGGGGTCTGGACACATTAAAGAGATACATATAGGTTAACAGTTTAATGCACATATTCCTAACTAAGCCTGTTTTGTGCCCCACCCCCCTTTTTACGAAATCTGGGTTTGCTTACCTTCCGCTGCTGTAATAATTGTTAAGCTGGCTTTTGATTCCGTCAATATTCTAATAAGATGTTCTGTATCTGTTGCATCGTCCATAGATATATTTGCTTGGTCGATGGGATCCATTGTTTTAAATAATTTTGTCTTTGGCGGGTCTGAAGGCGTCTGTATCAAATTACCAAGAACGATAACTCTGTTCGTTTAATAAAATCAGATCATAGTCGGACAACGACTCCGGAAATTAGAGAAAATATTCACTCATATCTTCCTTATAAATACTATAAAGATTCAGTAAAAAAAAGTAATTGCTTAACATATAGAAATTTTAATTGATAGCAAATCTATAATCTTACAACACAAAAAAGGGCCGCGGAACTCAGTTGGGGAAGATGATATGAATTGTTCTCATAAGTAGCTCATACCAGGAACATATATTGACTCATACTTGGGACTGATTTGTAAATATAATTATCTGTTCCATAATTTTCATTTCAATAAAACCGAGATAGTGTCACAGAATACGTTGGAAAATAAAGGAACATCGAGTAAAAAGGTGAAATCAGTAATGAAGTGGTATAATGTGTTTAGGTGTTTAAGAAAGTGTTTCAGAAGTGTTTAGATGCTACTTAATGTTTAGCTTACTGATAACATTCACAGATAATTAAACTGCAACACGTTTAAATTCTAAACATGTTTAGGTTTCAATGTGTTTACGTGAATATCCGTTTAGATCCTAAACGCTTTCCTAAACACGTTTAGATCTAAACATGTTGTAGATGTGTTTCAATTCTAAACGCCGTTTTTACAGTGTACATGTTAGAAAAATACATTATTATGTTTGATCAAAACCTGTTTACAAGGTACAAATATAGCCACTGATAATCTGATAATCGGTTAAAATTCTTGATAGTGTTTTCGAAAACCTTTCAGTTTAGTGTGTAATTTTTGTTAAGATCATAAACGGGCCAATGATTATTATTGCATCCCTTCCCTTTTCCTCCAATCTATACTACTTAGTCTAAACTAAAGCCTTTATGATTATGATAAAAACATCCCTTTTTGAAGATTTATATATTTATACATATAACAGTCATGTTCCTTTGAATTGTGAAGTGGAAATTGATATTTTTGTACATTTACGTTTGTTCCCCCTTGAGAACATTTTAGTATATTTATGTTAGTCCCCCTCCTCAGAATGTTTTAGTATATTTATGTTTGCCACCCTCCTCAGAATGTTTTAGTATATTTATGATAGTCCCCCTCCTCAGAAAGTTTAGTATATTTATGTTTGCCACCCTACTCGGAATGTTTTAGTATATTTGTGTTAGTCCCCCTCCTCATACCCCCTTTATATATTTATTAAAAGGTCCAATATGTGCATTTTCTATGTTCGTGATGTTTTCAGTATGTACACACTTTCAGCAATTAGACAGAATGATGATTACCCAAACACGAATTACCCACAGATGGAATAACATTACCAACACTAAAACGAAATGTAGTAATTTGTGCTCGGGACGAGCACTTCGGGGAAGTAGTGGAGAATATAACCGGAAGAAAAGTGACATTGGGAACTTTTACAATAATTCGCAAAGTGCTTTATATGAACTCTCGTTTTAGATTGAATATTTATATGAACTCTTGTTTTAAATTGGAGATTTATATGGACTCTCGTTTTAAATTGACTATTTCTCGTTTTAATTTTAAGTTGAATATTTCTTGTTTTAAATGTTTCTTTATTCTTAAATATAATGTTTCTTGATTTCAAATACCCAAAGAGATTATAGATTTACAATTTTACAACTTAATGCGATGGCTGTCAAAAGTGCGAAACTTACACTCAACTTCAAAAGAAGCAATTATCGCTATTTTGCTAAGTTAAGCCGGAGGACAATAATCCGTTTATTATTACATAAGATTAGACAATAATTTATATTTTATGAGAACCTTTTATAATGTTTTAATACCCTTATCTTTGACTTAATTCATGTTTTGTAAACTGTTGCTTGGGCAGTCTCCCCCTAGCTTTCAAACTGTAAACTTGTGAATAAATTTGTATACGGTCTTGCGTTTAAAGCAGCCACAGTGTCGATTATTGACCAACAGACTTTAATGTAACCCGTGCCGAAATTCACGGAGTTATACCGAAATTCACGGGGTTATATAAAACTGAGACTACTATAACAGTAGTCTCAGAGTAAAAGTTAAAAAAAAACACAATTTAGACTTTCAACCACAATTCATTTGGCGAAAGTCCAGTAAATATGGACATGTATTAAATCAAATATGAAATTTAATCAATTACCTTAATATTGTAAAAAAACAAATTTTGGAAACTTTGTTTATTTCTTAAGTTTTGATCCTTACATTATAGAGTATTTTTTCACGGTGTAAGAAAGACAACTCTTTTTCAAAGTCGAGATCAATTGCGCGTTTCAATTACTAACTGCAAAGAATACTTGTCAAAAGACGCCTATTAACCCAGAAAATGTAAATTTCCCAAATCTGCCCAATTTGCAATGCAGATGCAAATGGCAGCATATCCTTCACAGGAATTTAGACCTTTAAAAAAGCCTAGATTAGGACCGCCAGATGTATATCCACAAGAACCGAAACAGAAAGAGGTATTTGTTTTAAGAAAGGAAGTAAACAAATCTAACGCCCGATGAGCGATCACCCAAATTGAAGGCGATTCATTGTTTACTTTAAAAGGTTCATCATAACAAATTCGCCACGAAAAGTTCGGAAAAAAGTAGCTAGTTGAAAAGTCCCTGAACAATGTAGCTAGTTGAATAGTTCTGGCGGAACAGAACAACTAGTTACATTGTTCCGAATATACCATATTTCGTCCTTTTTTAGAAAGAGAGGGAAGAATGAGTATCAGTATATATAATAAGAGCAAATCATTAATTTACAAGAATACCCAACGCACTGAAAGGGGTTTCTTCGGGGACAAATATGCAAAATTTAAGTTGTATTTCATAGCTCACATAAAACTAAATAAGTTGCATTATCATGCAAATTTAGTATTCATAGTACCCTCAAGAGAGGGAAGAATACCCCCCTCCTCATGTGGTTCTTTGCATCATTTCTCCAAATGGAACTTTGTGACTAGTTGATAAGTTCCGTTGGAACTTTTGGGCTAGTTTGTTAGTTCCGGTTTTGACTTATTTGCCAAAGAGGAACTTTGTGGCTAGTTGATAAGTTCCTTTTGACTTTTGTAATCAGTATCTTGGTTTCCCTTTGAAAGGTTCAAATATAATATGTTGCGCTTTATTTTGCATCAATTCATCAAATGGAACTTTCTGCCTGGTTGATAAGTTCCGTGGGACTTTTTGGGCTAGTTTGTTAGTTCCGGTTTTGACTAATTTGGCAAATAGGAACTTTCTAACTAGTTGATATGTTCGGTTGGAACTTTTCAACTAGTCACTTTGTTCGGGTGGAACTTTTAAACCAGAGGAAGAACAAAGTAACTAGTCAATAAGTTCCTCCGGAACTTTTCGGCTAGTTAGTTCTTTCCGCCCGGAACTTTCCAACGTCGGAACAAAAGAGCATTTACATTTACACCACAAAATCTACAATGAGTACAGACAAACTGATGCATCTAGGAAAGTTTTAAGGCATGGCAGGACCTAGATATATAAAAGTTATATGTAGTCTATGTTTCAGAAAATTAAAAACTTACCTGGATTTCGGTGTGCATTTTTTTTCAGTCTGCAGAAGATAGCAAAATAAACACATGAGTTTCATTTGATACGGTCCACTCAGTTACTCAAAAGCTATACAATAAAGATATTTAAAAAATTTTATTGTTTCAAAATAAAATGAAATGTATACCAGTTTCCTATAGTGTTTTGTGAAACATTTTGAATAAATGGAGAATGCATATTGTCATGATGATCAACCGAATCAAAGGCTAAGTTCATTCATCTTAAGACTTGTAAAAGAAAGTGGAAAGATACCAAACAGCTATCAAACTCGTCACAATGACATTGCCACAACAACAAGGAATATCATAAAAACCAGACCTCAAATGTTTATTAGGTGTTGATTTCAGCTGTAAGTTGCTACAGAGGCTTTATTAACACTGTAAAGAAGATTGAAGGTAGTGACATATATATGTAATTATGATTATTTGTTGTTGTATTACAGCTATTAGTTCATATAGAGCATTAATTTCAGGAACTGCACTGGGCGTCGCCAATGTCGCAATTTGAGATTTTTTATTTCATCTGGTGACAAAATACGGCTGCTGGCGATATTTTTGGCGCCAACCTTTTCCGATGTCAAAATTTTCATTTCTTGACTGTAACGGTAACAATATCGATCTTCATTTCAATTGGTAAAAGTTAAAAAAATAAATTATACGAAATTTTACCTGGTGACAAGTTTATGACTTTATTTACAACCCCAAGCTAATCAACGGTTACAACAGGTGTCATAATCTGTTGTTACAGCTAATCTGTTTATCGGCTGGGTCATTAATGATCATCAACATTAATTCATTCAAATAGAATCGTTCAGTCGGCATTTGTCTTTTCATTTGAAGAAATTTTCATACGACAACACAATTTGCAATGTTTACCGTTATTCATGAAGAAAAACGTAATTGACAGAAAGTCGAAAACCATAATCAACTTGTTAAAAAACATAATTTTACTTGTTTTCCGTAAAAAATAGCAAATTCAGACGTAATTCGTAATTGCCTGCCCTCACTTTTGATACGAAAATAACTAAAGCGGCCGCCATTGTTGATCGTATTTACTTCTATTGCGTACTGTGCATAATCCTCTGAAGAAGGAGCACACCCAAATAAAGAAAGATAACTCAATTTTATTTTTTCATAGTATTGAGATACCTACACATGTACTCAAGATATATATGTCTACATACTTCTGACTTTAGAATTTATATGTTTAGGAGGTTTTTTGAGTTATGGGTAAAGTTAAGTTGGTCTTGGTAGCAGGATGGGTAGGGTGCTTTGGTCATTATTTTCTGTATTCTTTATTTTTAATACAAATTTGAACTATTCTGTAAATCTAAACACCCATTATTCTCTTTTCTTCATTTAATTACCCATTTTTTTCTATTCTTTATTTTTTAACTTAAAAACATTTTCTCTAGTCTGTAGCATATACAGACCATAAGCTAATTATAAGGACAGGAACATTGATCAATAGTCATTATATAAGTCCCATTAGTCACTGTTTGGAGACATAAACATTCAAATAAAAACATAAAATATGTTTTTTTGTGGAAAAAAAACAGATGCTTTGTTTTAATATTTATTGTTATATTTTAATTCTTATACATATGAAATACTGACAAAGAAAATAAAAGTACACATGTTTTTTTTCATATACAATGTATATAAGCCCTATGCAAATACTACATGTTAAATGATGTACAGTGCATACTGAGTGCATAAGAAATTTTAATTGAACATTGTTTCAATTTTGGTATAAGAAATCAAGACTCTAGTTGGCTCTAAGTTGGCTCCAAGTTTTCAAAACTGACGACAAGATATAGCAGCTGGCGATTTTTCTGGCTCCAACTTTTTTGTGTTAAAAAGCTTGAAGCAATCATAAACATCAACAATAATAAACTTCAAGCTCACACAATCATTCAAATCATGCACAATCCAAAATCAAAAAGAGCACTAGATATTTATGATAACCATGGTAACTAAATCAAAGCTAGTTATAACAATAATCATGATTTTCAAACACATTACAATAATACCAAATTAGCTATGTAAATGCCAATAAAAGTAATCGTAAATGATGAACAATAATAAATTAATTATCTAACCACAGAAAACAACTATTTCATTAAAAAATCATGATTTTTTCTTCATGATAATATAAATATTTTGATATATATTCTTCAAAAAAATATCTAATAATTTAACCTGTTTTTGAATAAAAATAGGGTGTAAACGAACCCAGGGGGCAAACGTGTTATGGGAACAAACGGATCTAATACCCTTTGAAATACCCCCTCGTGTAACAACTGAATTGTACTAATTGACATGGACAATAGAAGCAGTCTGTGCAAAGAAACACCAACCATTAGCCCATTACTGGTAAACAATGTTACAGCATGAATTGCAGGGCAGAAGGTGCAATTGGTGCTTTTCCCCAGAAAATTTGAAATCACAAAGCAAATATATCTACGTCATAATATCCTATGACTCATTTCCCCCTGTCACCTGGGGTAGTTCATTCATAAAATTGAAAATTGGACTCTCTTGTTAAGCAAATTGTGACATTCAGATTTGTATTATTTAAATTGCTGTGGATGATCTTTTCATTTGTGAAATTCAAAGTTTTATCATCATGATCTTAACAACCATGTCCAAGCAACCAGGAAAAAGCCACCTTACTAGTCCTAGTATCATGATTGACCAGCTGGTTAGAGAAGTTAATCCCTAAACTAAATTCTGAGCAGATAGTAGAAAATTAAAGAAAGAATTTTACCTTCAGAATGCACAGAAAATGAATTTGTACTCATTGGCACAGTTATAAGTCCCACCATTGCATAAGGAATTAATTGTTTTTCAGACTCTGGCTAAACATTCTAAACATTTCAAGTCAGTTGGCACTGAACATGAAGTAACATAACAAAATCATACATTTGTCATGTTTGTAGATATAAACTATCACAGGCTGGTTCAGTTTAGTTTTATATAGTAAACTTCAACTTGTCTGTGATGGATTTGTTAAAAATGCCAATAATGACTTACAAAGATTACCTGTTGCTCCACAGTTAAACTAATCCTAGACAAAGATTACCTGTTGCTCCACAGTTAAACTAATCCTAGACAAAGATTACCTGTTGCTCCACAGTTAAACTAATCCTAGACAAAGATGACCTGTTGCTCCACAGTTAAACTTATCCTAGACAAAGATTACCTGTTGCTCCACAGTTAAACTAATCCTAGACAAAGATTACCTGTTGCTCCACAGTTAAACTAATCCTAGACAAAGATTACCTGTTGCTCCACAGTTAAACTAATCCTAGACAAAGATTACCTGTTGCTCCACAGTTAAACTAATCCTAGACAAAGATTACCTGTTGCTCCACAGTTAAACTAATCCTAGACAAAGATTACCTGTTGCTCCACAGTTAAACTAATCCTAGACAAAGATTACCTGTTGCTCCACAGTTAAACTAATCCTAGACAAAGATTTATATGTTTCAGTGACTACTTGAAAAAAAGTTCAGATTTTTTGTAATGTTAATTTCTCTTTTATTATGCCGAGTAATAAGATAACTATATTTAGTATGTGCGTACAGTAATAAGATAACTATATTTAGTATGTGTGTACCTTGCAAGGTCCTCGTGCCTATCAGACATTTTTTATCTGACCTCGACCTCATTCCATGGATCAGTGAACAAGGTTAAGTTTTCGCGGTCAAGTCCATATATCAGATACTATAAGCAATAGGTCTACTATATTTGGTGTATGGAATGATTGTAAGCTGTGCATGTCCAACTGGCAGGTGTCATCTGAACTTGACCTCATTTTCATGGTTCAGTGGTTAAAGTTAAGTTTTTGTGTATTGGTCTTTTTCTAATACTATATGCAATAGGTCAACTATATTTAGTGTATGAAAATATTTTACGATGTACATGTCATGAATTATTGTAAGGTGTATTTGTTTGTCTGGCAGGTATCATCTGACCTTGACTTCATTTTCATGGTTCATTGGTCAATGTTAAGTTTTCATGGTTAAGTTTGTTTCTTAAGCAATAGGTCAACTATATTTAATGTAAAGATTGATTGAAGGGTGTTCATGTCTGTCTGGCATGGTTCATCTGACCTTGACCTCATTTACTTGGATCATGTTAAGTTTTTGTGATACTTGTAGGAAAGCTTTATATTTAGGACTATTAACATGAAATCAATGGTCAGTAAAGCAGGTGAGACATTTCAGCGTGTGCACTCTTGTTAAGATCTAAGTCAAGTCCCATTTTAATCATGATCAGTAGACTTGCTAAAGTTACATCACAGAACAATACAAAAAAGGTTACATCACAGAACAATACAACAAAAATTATTATATTTGAATATATTTATGGATATTTGACCAGTTGTTTGCACCTGCAGTAACATCATTTTTACAACCATGATTATGTTCATAATTTTTTATATTTTAGGATGAACTTACAGAGAAAAGTGTTAAACATGGCTTCAACAACACACAGATGTACAACATGGATGAGGTTAGTTTTAATCAGTCACATGGATGTCATGTGTATAGTATTTCATTGTCTTTCCAGTTGTACCAAGGACATCTTTACAATTCATGTGACTGATTACCTTCTGTCTCTGTTTTATTAGATAAATGAACTGGCATTTAAAGTCCAGTTGAACTATGACATACATATCACGATGAGAACATGTTGATGTGAAATGAAATCAATCCTGCTTATAACTAGACTAACATTCTGAGTCATGACTACATGTAGTTATAACTAGACTAACATTCTGAGTCATGACTAGTTCACAATAAGAAAAACTTTGGTTAAATGATACATTTATGATCCCATACCTGCCAAGTTTTCAAAATCTCCACTTTGGGTTTTAAGCAAAGTAGGACTAAATGCATTTCCTATATATGTCAAAAGTGATTTAATCTTATGTACTAGTGTATACATGTACATGCCTAAATGTCATTTTAACTCCTTTTAATGTCTGTTATGAGGTATTTAATGAATGAAATAGAGGATTTAAAGAGGTTGGTCAACATCTCCAATGGGAAAAATCCCCTTTAATCAGAATAATTGGCAGGTCTGTGATCTTCAGTCAGTAGTGTTGCATTATTTTTGAATACGATGAACAAATTCTGTAAATCCTGTGGCTGGCTAGTTACCCATGAAAATTGGTTTTACAGGGTAACAGTCTCAGAGTGGCCATTTTTATACGCCCGTCAAATTTTTGACGGGACGTATTATGGTATACAAATGTCGGCGTCCGTCCGTCTGTCTGTCCGTCTGTCTGTCTGTCCGTCTGTCTGTCCGGTGTTAACATGTCACACCATAACTTGAGAATGACTTATCCAAATTTCATGAAACTTAATATAGTTTCTTATGATGGTCAAACGATCTGTATACTTTTTGGTGAAAATAAGATTAAAACTTTTTGAGTTACGGGACTTAGTAACTAAAACAGGTGTATGTTTTTTTTCACATATCGCGCCGTATCTCAAAAACAATTTATGATTATTGCTTAAAACTTTACACACTTCTTAGTTATATTAATCTTAAGATCTGTATACTTTTTAGTGATGATTCAAAATTTTATTTTAGAGATATTGAGTATTTTGTTAAAAAAGGGGGAGGGGTTTTTCACATGTCGCGCCGTATCTCAAAAACAGTTTATGATTATTGCTTAAAACTTTACACACTTCTTAGTTATATTAACCTTAAGATCTGTATACTTTTTGGTGATGATTCAAAATTTTATTTTTGAGTTATTGAGTATTTTGTAAAAAAAGGGGGAGGGGTTTTTCACATGTCGCGCCGTATCTCAAAAACGATTTATGATTATTGCTTAAAATTTTACACACTTCTTAGTTATATTAATTTAAAGATCTGTATACTTTTTGGTTTTGATTCAAAATTTTATTTTTGAGATATTGATTTTTTTTTTTTTTTAAAAGGGGGGGTTTTTACATGTCGCGCCGTATCTCAAAAATGATTTATGATTATTGCTTAAAATTTTACCCACTTCTTAGTTATATTAATCTAAAGATCTGTATACTTTTTGGTTTTGATTCAAAATTTTATTTTTGAGATATTGAGTTTTTTGTAAAAAAAAAGGGGGTTTTTCGCATGTCACGCCGTATGTCAGAAACTATTTATGATTATTGCATATAAATTCACACACAAGACGACGGGCGTATCATGCGCTCATGGCGCAGCTGTTTATTGACAATGGGAATTACTCCTCCACTCTTTTTATGAATGCTTTGAAAAAAGCAAAGAAAAATAAGTAGTTGGTTGAAAAGGAACATGATATTTTTTACATAAAATTAATTTACATGTGGATTAAAAGTATCTCTATAAGATTTTTAATAATAAATTATACTTCAGTAATTGATTATTATTAGAGTTTGGTCGAGAAATTTCATTCTTTTGCTACAATATAAGCCTGACAGGTAAATTTACTATTCCAGATCTATTAAGTGTTAAAAAGAAATTGAATATGTCATCTGCTTTTGGGATCATAAAATTTCTGCTCCTTTAATTCAGCAAAGATTAATCTAATAAATGGTGCTATTTTGTTGCAGTATGGGTCAGCAAGAAGAGAGAACATCAGTGAAGAGAAGGTTTGTTTATAAACTGAAGAAAACAAACACACTTTATTATGAATTATGGATTCTCATATATACATGTATATGTATAACATACATCTCCTTTAGTCACATAAATGTATGAAAATTAATACTTTAAACAGTTTTAAGTTTATTTTTTAGAAGAAGCCAATCTAATACATTCTGAAAGTAGACATGGTAGACATTGGTCAATTTTTCTCAAGATACATATATAAAATTCTGTATTCATTGATAAATGTCACATAGATTAGTTCATTTACAATTTATTTTAAAAAAGGCAATATAAGGATTAAATACTTCCAATTATGTACAAAATTAGTATATGCTTGTTCCACTCTTGTTTAGATGTCAAACCAAATTCATCCAGTCTTTATTCTGTTTATTTTTTCAAACTTAAGAACGGACGTTATTCCTGCCATTTTTTTTGATTTTTTATGACCATGTTTTAATTCTAGTGTGACATTATGTATTTCTACACTACACAACTAAATAAAACATTTCCAATAATTATGTGATACATTAAGAATATTTATGAAACTTTTGATTTGAATACAATGTGTCATTGAATTTACCCAATACTTTTATTCATCTTGGTTGTGGATGTCCTTCTATACAAATATTTTGCAATAACATGTGACATTTTTTTTAATGTATTGATTAGATTTGAATAATTTATATATCAGAAATAGCATTGCTTATCTTACTTTGTAATAATTTACAGTTTGGATCAGAATTTATTGCTTTACTTAACAAGAAGAAAGAATTCAACACATTTCAAGATACCTCTAAAAAGAAACAACAGCCATCCAAAGATAATTTCTGGCCAGTAAGTTGCTTAAGTTACTCACATTATATTGTAGCTTGTGGAAACATTCGAGAAAATTCATTATGAAATAGCCAAAGAGTTTATTGATATAAAATCCTAAATTTAGATAGGAGACTATGCTGATGCATCAATTCTTATGATACTGAAGTTTTTCAAGGAAATATCAAGTCATATTATAATTTGTGAACCTACAGATAGAGATTACTATGAAATTACAAGTTATATTGAATTTTTTGTTTGTTTTCTTATGCATTGTTGTGAAGTTGTCACAAGAAGCATGTGCAGTCATGAATGTTGAATTCTATTGGAAAACAGAATATGATTTTGGAATGCCTCACGAGTGTTGTTACCCAATCAAAAGTACAGATTCTTATGAAACATCCATGTAATGTAACTATTTTAGCATACAGTGTACACAATCAAGTATATAGGTTAGGAGAAACAGTTAGGGGAACCAATCATTAATCAGATATATCATATTACTACTGGAGAGGTGTTTAATGCTTTAACTACCCATGAGAGTCTTGGATAGTCAGAAATAACTAAAATATTGACAAAGTCATTAAGTGAAATTATTCATGCTGAAAAAGAATAGTGTAAGGGGGTGCAATGATATTTTAAAACACTACTAAATGTTTATTGAATATATGCTTATACTAGTTTGAAGATAGTGTTTGAATATATATCAGACTCCTGCTGTCTGTTTGAAATATTTGTAATGTATTAAGATCTATGTTGAATGTGAACATTTACACTGATCTATAGCATTCTGAGATGGTCAGGAAAATATGATTTGTCTATGACTTCTTTCAGGCTGCAAAAAACAAGAGTGCAATGGAAGCATGGTTCAAAGATTTAGCTGGGAATAAACCTTTACATCAACTTGGTAAAAAGGTATGATGGGATACAGTACTTCCTTTCTCTCATAATGAGATATTTCATCAGAAAATATCCAACAACCCTTTTAAACCAACACAATTTCTTTAGTAATTTTGCATACATCAAATGTACAAACAAGTCCAAGGCAACCATAAATGACCCACGGTCTATGTCCAAAGAGAAAATTTCCTTTCCTACATTCCAACATTCAATTTAGTTGAATTATTAATAACCCTGGTAAATTCTCTACTTTTGAATTTAATATAACATCAGTATATAGTAAGAATTAAATATTATTTGAAAAACAAGAGCTAATCATTTTGTTTTGTCTATATTTAACAGTGATTGGGTAGGTCCAGCACCATGCGCAATATGCACATTTTGACCAAAAATGGCGCATAGAGTGACAAATGTCAGCGCCAGTCTGGCACACAGTATTTTCACTTCATATTTAAATGTTTAGATATGGTAAAATGTATTTCTGATTGTGTTTCGTGTCGACATATTTGTGTTCAAAACAGTGTTGTAAATATTGTATTTAAGGCGATGGTACTTATAAATATCGCCTGGTTTGGGAGAAGTTATGGCCCTGTTTACTGTATGATGGCAGCAAAATGTACTGCAAATCTTGCCAAAAAGCTGGCAAGAAAAATACCGTGACATTAGGCTGCACAACATTTAAAACTAGTACAATCCTGATCTCAGCATTTCCTTAATCATGATTCTGTTCATTGAAGTGGTGTTGGTCTTGGTCATATGTTGTTCAGATCTATAGTTTTTATTATAAGTCATAAAGTGTTTATCTCTGAGTGATGTTACGTATCATGAACACATAAGATGTCAGTCTTAGTCACATAAATCACCATGAACTAAATAAACATTTATTCACTGAAACTATAAAAGCACAGGAACAATATCAATTAGAATCATACAGGTTAGTACCTCTTTGCTGAAACATACAATATTTTATTTTTCTTGTTATAAATGAATGGCCCATTCATTTGACAACATGGCTCATTAATTCTAAAAATGGCCAATTGAAATTTTTTGGGGGGGCCTGGGCCCATACAGAAAAAATCTTTCCAGATCACTGATTTATTTACAAGTTATAGAATGAGCACAAGTCAAGAATGATTAGAGCTTTTGGAAGAATCAATCATACTGTGATTGAATATTATTGCTATGAACATCTTATTTCAATTATCATGTATAATAATAGAGTGTTGTTTTGTAGGTGCCAACTTTTAACAAAAAAGAAGAGATTTTCTCTACACTGTGTGAATACAACATACCCAATTATAAATGTGCCTGGTTTATAAAAATGACAGGAGCTTACAACCTTGCCATGCAGGAAAATAAAACAAAAAAGAGGCAGGCAGTTGACCAGTCTGTTGGTAAGGAAGCCATGTTTGAATTTGCATTAACATGTATCTAAACAGTTTAATCAAACACTGTAGAATTGAGAATGGAAACTGGGAATGTATCAAAAGAGACAACAACCCGACCAAAGAGTAGAAAACAGCACAAGGCCACCAATGAGTCTTCAACGCAGCGAGAAAATCAAACACCCAGAGGCGGGCTCCCAACTGGCCCCTAAACAATAATGTATACTAGTCCAGCAAAATGGAGACCACACTAAACTCCTAAGCATACAAATGAACCAAAATTATAAAAAAACAAAATCTGTATATCAACAAAACAATTGTGTCTGAAACACATGATAATAAGCTATGTATGTCAGCCCTGATGTCATTCTATAATCAGGTTTCATATCCTAGGTAACTCTGTGGGTCTGATTTGGGAAACTTTAGAGGGAATCAGATGTCAAAGAATCTGCATATACCAATACACTTTGTTCTTAATTTAATATACACAGCATGATGTTTCACAATTGGTGAAATAAGAATTGTTATTATGCAGTTTAATTCAAGTAGTTTGAATATTATATTAATTGTATGGTATAAAGTAGAAAGATTGTTCCACAAAGAATTCTTTGTTTAAAATTTTGTTGATTAACTGATCATTGTGATGAAATATCTGAGACTGTTCTATTTTGTATTTAGAATGGTCCCATTCCATGATGAAATATCTTAATGACCAGCTACAGAAAATAAACGAGCCTCACCACAGTGCTCCTGGTGGACCAACATCAGGGTTTCTAACAGTCCAGTCAGTACAACCAGCTTATAAAGTGGACCAAGATTTAGCACAGAAACAGTGGCAGTTTGGTTGTAAATTAGCCAGGCATTTGTGTGATGTAAATATGTGCAATTGAATAAATGGATTACAACTGATAGATGTAATGTTACAATAAAGAGATAATGTTTGATTGCCAAAGAAACAACTATCTACCAATAAAACAAGGATGTAAAAAAATACAAATCACTGTACTACCTTCAGCAATGAGCAAAACCTATACCTTACAATTTTTTTGTGATGTTTTAAAAAATTGCATTTATATTTTGATAGCATTATATTTGTATGCAGTGTTTCCTGAAATCATAATAATCAATCGTACATTTTTTTACCATTCAACATTTGCAATGATAAATGCATGCAGAATTTTTTTAATTTACAGTAAATCCCAATATTTTGTTAGTTTTAATATAGAAAGAAATAATAGAAATCATTAGGGTCATTTAAAAATCATGTATAGACAACACCATGGTCAAAATAAAATAGACAGACAAAAATCAGCCATAAACACAAAAGTAAAAAAAATAATGTGGAAAAAGATGAACAGTAATTCACAAAACTTTAATTGAAATAAGAACAGGCAAAATGAACAACAATAGGCCACAGGAAATAAAAACAAAATGTAAAGATTTGATTTTTTTCAACACATAAGAACTGTTTTGCATGTGAATGGTACCTTTGATACATTTGTGTATAACATAAGAATTATTTTATATTTATAGGAAGGATTACTAGACAGACATGAATTTCTGACCTGGATAATTGACAGTCTTGAGAAACTAAAACAACCTGATGACACAGTTATAAAAATGATCCTCACACAAGTGTTAGAGGTAATATCTCATTATTCAGTGTCTGATCCTTACACAAGTGTTAGAGGTAATATCTCATTATTCAGTGTCTGATCCTTACACAAGTGTTAGAGGTAATATCTCATTAGTCAGTGTCTGATCCTTACACAAGTGTTAGAGGTAATAACTCATAGTCAGTGTCTGATCCTTACGCAAGTGTTAGAGGTAATATCTCATTAGTCAGTGTCTGATCTTTACACAAGTGTTAGAGGTAATATCTCATTAGTCAGTGTCTGATCCTTACACAAGTGTTAGAGGTAATATCTCATAGTCAGTGTCTGATCCTTACACAAGTGTTAGAGGTAAAATCTCATTATTCAGTGTCTGAGAAAATGATCCTTACACAAGAGATAGAGGTAATATCTCATTCTTCAGTGTCTGATCCTTACACAAGTGTTAGAGGTAATATCTCATTATTCAGTGTCTGATCCTTACCCAAGTGTTAGAGGTAATAACTCATTATTCAGTGTCTTGAGAAAATGATATTTACACAAGGGTTAGAGGTAATATCTCATTATTCAGTGTCTGAGAAAATGATACTTACACAAGGGTTAGAGGTAATATCTCATTATTCAGTGTCTGAGAAAATGATCCTTACACAAGTGTTAGATGTAATATCTCATTCTCTTCAGTGTCTGAGAAAATGATACTTACACAAGTGTTAGAGGTAATATTTCATTATTCAGTGTCTGATCCTTACACAAGTGTTAGAGGTAATATCTCATTAGTCAGTGTCTGATCCTTACACAAGTGTTAGAGGTAATATCTCATTAGTCAGTGTCTGATCCTTACACAAGTGTTAGAGGTAATATCTCATAGTCAGTGTCTGATCCTTACACAAGTGTTAGAGGTAAAATCTCATTATTCAGTGTCTGAGAAAAATGATCCTTACACAAGAGATAGAGGTAATATCTCATTCTTCAGTGTCTGATCCTTACACAAGTGTTAGAGGTAATATCTCATTATTCAGTGTCTGAACCTTACCCAAGTGTTAGAGGTAATAACTCATTATTCAGTGTCTTGAGAAAATGATATTTACACAAGGGTTAGAGGTAATATCTCATTATTCAGTGTCTGAGAAAATGATACTTACACAAGGGTTAGAGGTAATATCTCATTATTCAGTGTCTGAGAAAATGATCCTTACACAAGTGTTAGATGTAATATCTCATTCTCTTCAGTGTCTGAGAAAATGATACTTACACAAGTGTTAGAGGTAATATTTCATTATTCAGTGTCTGATAAAATAATCCTGACACAATTGTTAGAGGTAATAATATCTCATTATTCAGGGTCTGATCCTTACACAAGTGTTAGAGGTAATATCTCATTCTTCAGTGTCTGAGAAAATGATACTTACACAAGGGTTAGAGGTAATATCTCATTATTCAATGTCTGAGAAAATGATCCTTGCACACGGGTTAGAGGTAATATCTCAATATTCAGTGTCTTGAGAAAATGATATTTACACAAGGGTTAGGGGTAATATCTCATTATTCAGTGTCTGAGAAAATGATACTTACACAAGGGTTAGAGGTAATATCTCATTATTTAGTGTCTGAGAAAATGATCCTTACACAAGGGTTAAAGGTAATAATATCTCATTATTTAGTGTCTGAGAAAATGATCCTTACACAATTGTTAGAGGTAATAATATCTCATTATTCAGTGTCTGAGAAAATGTTCCTGACACAAGTGTTAGAGGTAATATCTCATTATTCAATGTCTGAGAAAATGTTTCACTATATTGATGGTCTAAAAAATTTAATGAAACAACATTCATACAGTATTTTTTCAATAGACACATTTTTTTTTAGTATTTGACAAAAAAATTCAAATCTGATATTATTGAAATTGAAAATAATACATTTTAGCTATTACCAGAACAATGGGCTTATTTCAGAAAAAAATGCAGATTTTATGTGATTAAAAAAATGCTTGGAAATTGTTTTGATAAATTGTTTTCTTTATTTTTCAGTATTTAGATGAGATAACAATGTCAGTGCTACTGTCCAGGAAGTTAGCACATTACTCCTGTAAAAAGATTGCCACACTGTGTAGTGAATCTGAGTTGTCAGTTCCTAGAACAGATTCACCTATGTTGACTGCCAATGGACAAGGGTATATTCAAAATCATGTTAATAGAGTGTAGTTTTACATCAAGGAAACTCATTCAAGAAAGGCTTTTGAACATGTAATGAGAGTCTTGTACACAATTAATAAAATCAACATGTGCAGTTTTTCGCTTATCTGAGAATTAGCTGGAAATCTGGAGATATTTCCTAAAACAATAATTTCTGTGGCTCAAAATTCATTCACAAATGATCAAATGATGCTGAAATTTATCGTGCAAACTTAACATGTCATAAATCCATTAAATAATGCTTGTAATTATAAAATCCCATTTTCAGTATTTAGCAGTTCAAAAAAGAATGGTACAAATTCACATGATGTACAAGAAGATAAAAAAAAAAAGAGGGAATTGTTTATACTCTAAATGGAATGTGACTGCATCTGTGGACTCTTGGTAGTGTGTTAATCTCTAGTGCCTGAGGCCGTGGGTTTTAACCCCGTCCAGATCAAACTAAAGACTGTAAAATTGGTATTTTCTGCTCCGCTAAGCACGAAGCATTAAGGAGTAAGAGCAAAGACAGGTCAGCTCTGAGTAAGAATAATATGTCCGGATAGAGTGATATGTCATCTTGTGGACTGTTACCTTGTGAACTAGCATGTTAAAAATCCATCTCCTTGTGTCAGTCTAGCTCAAAGCAGGGTTCATATTCATATTTCACTAACATATTTTCGACCTGCATTTAATTTGCCACTGGACATTAAACAGCCATCCATCAATCAAATGGAGTGAGACTGGGTGCATCCACTGTTATGCATGCATCACCAACCATGCAAATCAGTCCAATTGTCACAATCAGGGAATAGGACACAGTTGATAAATTCAAAGATCAAATGACAAATTCTGTGAAATGAGAGTTAGTCAGTTCTAGGATAGAGACACATCATAAATGTAAGATTTTGTTAAAAATTGTAGATATTGTCACAGTAATTTTCTCTGATAAATTAATTATATTTATAATTTCAATTGATAAGACTTGTATTTCAGGATGACTTCAGCCAATAATGGACAGATACTTCCACAACCAAATCCTCTAAATGCTGTATTCCAGCAGTATATCAACTGTCCACAGCACCGTGGCATCGTACTCAGTCTCAGTGCTATTATACAATATATTGCTCTACTCTGTCCCACTGCTTTGGTTTGGAATAACCTCGGGGAGGGACGTAGTACCCATATCATGTGTGCCTCCCCATTAGACTTGTTACCTTGTCCCCCATCAGCTCTTCCAATGCCAGATAATCCACAGCGTTCACAGATAAGGGCCCAGTTAAGGACATCAGAAAACCAGATCAGGGTACGAGGAAGAGGTGCAGAAATGAAATGGTCATCTGATAAATGTCAACAATCCACTAGGGGTAAGAAATGATAACTGAAATGGTCATCTGATAAATGTCAACAATCCACTAGGGGTAAGAAATGATAACTTTGTATCAGAAATGAAATGGTCATCTGATCAATGTCAACAATCCACTAGGGGTATGAAATGATAACTTTATATCAGAAATGAAATGGTCATCTGATCAATATCAACAATCTACTAGGGGTAAGAAATGATAACTTTATATCAGAAATGAAATGGTCATCTGATCAATATCAACAATCCACTAGGGGTAAGAAATGATAACTTTGTATCAGAAATGAAATGGTCATCTGATCAATGTCAACAATCCACTAGGGGTATGAAATAATAACTTTGTATCAGAAATGAAATGGTCATCTGATCAATATCAACAATCCACTAGGGGTAAGAAATGATAACTTTATATCAGAAATGAAATGGTCATCTGATCAATATCAACAATCCACTAGGGGTAAGAAATGATAACTTTATATCAGAAATGAAATGGTCATCTGATCAATATCAACAATCCACTAGGGGTAAGAAATGATAAAAAAACTTTATATCAGAAATAAAATGGTCATCTGATAAATGTCAACAATCCACTAGGGGTAAGAAATGATAACTTTGGTGTAAAAAGATACTGTGCTCGCTTTGTCTTGTTGCTTCTCTACTTTGTCAAGTAGATTTTATTTTGTCAGTCTGTAATATGAAATAAGCTGCTGAAATAGGTTTCTACCAAAATTAATATTATATGAATAAAAGGGTATATGGTATATAGATTAATTAGACAGCAACCCTATAAATCATTGTACTTATATTTTTCTATTGTACAATGTAAATGTGCACTATCACTTAATAGAAGGTTTTACTACTATATCAGTTATCTAGGTTTGAAAAGTGTGTAGATTATAGAAAGAAAGACTAGAAACAATTTGATAAAATTCTCTTACAATTTTAATTTTAATAATTTTTTAAGTGAAGCCAATTTTGTCACAATCCAAAATTATATTAATTTACATGAGAAGTTGAGATTTTGTCACAAGATTGACAATAACAAACTTTGTTGAAGGCAGTAAGAAGACCTATAGTTGTTAAATCCATGTCATTTGAACTCTGGTGGATAATTGTCTCATTTGCAATCCTTATTTTTATATTCATTTGGATTTCAGGATGTGTGTATATTTGTGGTATGGACAAAAATGTATTTACTTTGAATCTTTATTGTTTCTGTTGATTTGTTCTGCTTTTTACATTATTTTTTTCATAGTTTTTTGCAGTGTTTGATACTTTTGAATTAGTTAAAGTTATTTCTACAGATATTTGAATGTTTAGAAAGTTGTAGGACAACATTTTGATCCTTTGAAATTATATGTACAGATGCTTTCCCTTAACTTACAACTGCATATGACAACTTTTTAATTGACAAAGTATTTACATAGGAAGAAGAGTTGAATAATCTTATTTTATTTTGCTTTTTTTACGACCGCAAACAAATTTTTGGGTCATATTATGCTATCATGTCGTCAGCTTCGTTTTCTGCGTCGTCGTCGTCGACCAAAGACATTTGGTTTCCGGACAATAACTTTAGATTATGTGTATGGATCTCTATGAAATTTAAGCAAAAGGTTCAATACCACAAAAGGAAGGTTGGGATTGTTTTTGGGGGTGATGGTCCCAACCGTTTAGGAATTAGGGGCCCAAAACAAGCATTTTTCTAGTTTCAGGACAATAACTTGTGTTTAAGTATTGTGATTGCTCTGAAATTGTACCACAAGGTTCAATACCACAAGTAGAAGGTTGGGATTCATTTTGGGGGTAGTTGTCCAAACTGTTCAGGAATTAGGGGCCAAAAAATTGTCTAAAACAAGCATTTTTTTATTTTTCAGGCAATAACTTGTGTTTTTCGAATGGGGGGGGGGGGGGGGGGGGGGGGGCAATTTTTTTTCCTCTCAAGATTTAAGAAATTAAAAAGAAGATTTCTTCAAATATTATTTTTTTTGGAAAAGTGGGGGGGGGGGGGGTGGGCAAAAGGGTCTCAAACAAGCATTTTTCTGCGCAACAGCACAGTGTATTGCACAAAAGCAAGAAACCTTCAATTGAATATAAATTCAAATCATATAACCAATTTCAAGTTCTTTAACTACATTTATTCTGTGTCAGAAACTTATAAAATGTCAAATATTTAATTACAATCCAAATTCAGACCTGTATCAAGCTTGAATATTGTTTGCCCCAACTGTTCAGGGTTGGACCTCTGCGGTCGTATCCAGCTGCGCTATGTGAAGCAGTTTATTTATTGATGCTGTAAAAAATATTAAAAAAGATATTTTACCTTCAGGTCATACTATTGCCAAAGTATTAGATGTTCTGGATACCTTGGACAGACATAACTTCCACAAAGTACAAACTGACAGCTCCTTAGACACACTGTATGATCAAATATTTACTGCAAACTTACACAAAGATGGAAATGAGGTAAAAATGATATTTTCTTTATGTATAATGTGACAATTATTTAGGATGATTTATAATACGAAGGAAGAATGTATTTGATTTCCAGTAGTCTTTAAGCATCAAATATGACATTAGAATTTTCAATTTAATGTTATTGTTGTAACAGATGTAGAACTGCCATGTACACTCAACTATAAGTTTACAAATATATACTAAAGAATACATGTTCTGTTGCTTCATTTATATATTTTGGGTATTAATTTTCAAGGATTTGGGAGAAAACAAATTTCGTGGTTATCTTGTATCTAGGATTTGCAGTGGTCAGCACACTTGCCTATAGAACAGAGGTCAGCACACTTGCCTATAGAACTTGTGTTCTTCGTTGAACATTTAATTTTATGGTTAACCTATACCCATGAAATCTGCAAAGAATGCCCAACAAATATTAATGAATCCACAGTAGAATTATTTAGTTACATTAAATATAAATACTTTTCAGACATTTGGTAGTCTAGAACCAATAATAAATCTTCTGATTGACTGGGCTGTCAGTACACAAAGGAGTGGGAACTATAGGGCTGTTGTCGTAGCTAAACTGATGGAGAAATTACAGAATGAACTCAGGAGTGAGGTATGTTTAGTGTTCTGCCCAGGACAATATTTTATAGCTCTGTGTTTACAGACGCTGAATTGATGGAGAATTTACAGAATAAACCCAGGAGTATGTTCAATGTTCTCCCCAGGACAATATTTTATAGCTCTGTGTTAACAGATGTTAAATTGATAGAGAATTAACAGAATAAACCCAGGAGTATGTTCAATGTTCTCCCTAGGACAGTATTTTATAGCTTTGTGTTAACAGATGCTAAATTGATAGAGAATTTACAGAATAAACCCAGGAGTATGTTCAATGTTCTCCCCAGGACAATATTTTATAGCTATGTGGTAAAGCATGTGACTCCCCCTATTCATGTCTAGGGATGCAGTGTCAGGTCTGATGTAATAATGTTGTTTGTGCATAATTGAGTTATGCACTAAATTGTAAACGTGTGTTTATTCCAAATTTCTCTTTATCTACTTACTGACAAGAAAGCGTAAAGGGAGACACTAGTGCTCTCTACCAATTTGGCCAGAATGTTTCGAAAAATCAGTCTATTTTTAACTAGAATTAGGTTGATAGCTGTGGGAGTTTCACTTCAATAATGTCATAGCCCAATTGTTTCATAAAGGCTTAAGATTTATTTACTTTTTCATAGAGGTCTAGATTGATTTGATTTTGATTTTTGGTGTTTTAACGCCACTTTTAAGCACCGCTTTTGGGCTATTTCGTGGCGGCCAGTTTTTATTGGTGGAGGAAGCCGGAGTGCCCGGAGAAAACCACCGACCTTCGATAGGAAAACTGACAATCCTAGTCAATTAAGATTGGAGTCGAGTGCACCCGCACGAGCGGGGTTCGAACTCACAACCTCAGTGTTGACTGGCTAGTGATTACAGTAGTAACTACTTAGACCACTCGGCCACCGAGGCCCCTAGGTCTAGATTGAGAAAGTTTGGAATGGGATTATTAATTTTGGTCATTTTCCAGGGCCAAATAAGCCCCAAAATGTACTTTCTACTTTGAATATAAAGATTCTAAAAAATATAGTTAAAATATTTATATATGTAATGCAGTTTTCAAGCTCATGCGGGTAAATGGGCGATAAAATACCACATAACTTACATAAAATGACGTTATTGTATCCCACATAATATATGCCCACAGTTTCTTGTGCTATACACTTATCCAAGATTTATTTTCATATGGACATTTTCAGATGCATAATGTCATACTTTAAATATCAGTCTTTCCTTGGACTAGCTTTTTATTAGTAAGATTTTTGTATTGTAGAAATATGGTGAATCTGACATGTTAACTGATAAGGATTCAGTAGCATCAGATACTTTAGTTCCCATGGAAACACCTGTCTTTCAGAATATTCTGTTCCAGTTTCTGGATGAAAGAGCATCTTGTTTAGGTAAGTAATTACACAGAGGGTCCCACTTGATTGAATAAGTAAATATTGAAGCAATTTTAGAAGTTATTTGGGGTTTCACCCGAACATAGCTTATACCTATATATGGAAGGCAGAAATTTTACTCATCACCTCTACTTCAACTCGTTTTTGTACATATGCATGAGTGGGTTACTTTGTACTAAAATTTTTACCATAACTTTTTATGTTTAAAGTTTTCTGCCTTGTACAAGACCCATCTTGTGGTAGTTATGAATAATACAGCCAAGTTTAATTATCCAACTCCAATGGGTTTAAAGTCGAAGAGAGATGAAACAATTTTCTGCTGACATATGAACAAGCTCATTTATATAGGCCCCACCCATTCTGGCATGATCCATTGACTGAAACTTATGCATAGTTTACATGATAAAGTTTGTGATAAGGTAAGTTTCAGGGGAACCACTAATGGTAATTCAAAAATATTTACTATGCAGTTGTATTAGCATGGATAGGTGTTGTATGATTACCAAGATTTAATAGAAACAAAATTCAACTGGTCAAAGACAACAACGAATTGAGCATTGAGGAGCTTTACTTGGATTAACATTCACATTGAAATAGATTTACACAAGTGAGTTTGCCGCAATGCAGATGAGTCTGTAGCAGCATAATGAGTTAAAGATGTGTTGCTATTTTGCTACAGCAGGGTCTTTCACTAAAGGAGATAAAATCTTTTAAAATTTAACACAAAGATCATTTCATATTTTGAGCATATTAACAGTGTATTCAATATTCTTAGTGTATCATTAAAAATAGTAAGGAAAATCATTCTGTTAATCTGATTGAAAATGTATAAAACTTATTTATTGTTTCAGATGAGAATCCAAATGAGGAAAACAAACAAGGATTTGCTAATTTGATAATGTTATTTTGTGAGCTGATTCGCCATGATGTATTTTCCCATGATTCTTACATGTGCACTTTGATATCACGAGGAGATCTATCGTCGTCACCTGACCTTATGTCGTCTATGACAGAAAGTATAGATTTATCCAGTATTAAAAGTCAAAATGAAAGTATCAGGAATGAGGTAAACATATATTATTTTAATTTTATAATCTTAGCAGTATTTGGGCTAGGTCATCTTATGTAAATGATTGTTTGATTGATTGATTGTTGCTTGGGTAATGTCCAGTGGCTAAAGTAAATGAAGGCCATATAAAATGTATATAGATAAAATGATTTTGATATTTAGATTTTGAGAAACCAATTTAAAGTTAAAGAATCATGTGATGTTTTATTGATGTAAATTGTGAATTATTCATTTTGTTTGGCGGTGATAATAAACAACTTTTCTTCTTAATAAAGGTTGAGACAATAGATAATTACCTGAGTCTTTTTGAAAAGGTAAATAGTAATAAAATTTGTTTATTAAAAAGTCACTTATTGATTGCAAAAAATCAATTCATACACAATATGTACATTAAAACCATATCCAGCCAAAGTTTGAATTAAGAAACTCTAAAACTTCTTCATAGCTACCATCAAAATGCACATTTTCAAATTAACATGTAAAAATTTGAAAAATGTACATTTTTCACTAACATATTTAACATGAAGCACTTAAAGAAAATTACAGAACTTTCCAATAACTATGAAATGAAATAAAGCTATAAATACCTATGAAAACTTAACCAAAAATACAGATATATACAAGAACCATTTCAAAGATATTATTATTGACATAACTTATGTGTCTGTCCAATGTCAGGAACCTCGTCAGTAGTTGTATGTCATGACTTGTTAAGGACATAAATTATGTCTGTCCAATGTCACGAACCTCGTCAGTAGTTGTTGTATGTCATGTTTTGTTAGTGACATAAGTTATGTGTCTGTCCAATGTCAGGAACCTCTTCAGTAGTTGTTGTATGTCATATCTTTTTAGTGACATAATTTATGTGTCTCTCCAATGTCAAGAACATCGTCAGTAGTTATTGTATGTCATATATTGTTAGTGACATAAGTAATGTGTCTGTCCAATGTCAGGAACCTCATCAGTAGTTGTTGTATGTCATGTCTTGTTATTGACATAAGTTATGTGTCTGTCCAATGTCAGGAACCTCGTCAGTAGTTGTTGTATGTCATATCTTGTTATTGACATAAGTTATATATCTGTCCAATGTCAGGAACCTCGTCAGTAGTTGTCATATGTCATATCTTGTTAGTGACATAAGTTAGTGTCTGTCCAATGTCAGGAACCTGGTCAGTAGTTGTATGTCATGTATTGTTAGTGACATAAATTATGTGTCTGTCCAATGTCAGAAACCTCGTCAGTAGTTGTTGTATGTGATATCTTGTTAGTGATATAAGTTATGTGTCTGTCCAATGTCAGGAACCTGGTCAGTATTTGTATGTTATGTCTTGTTAGTGACATAAATAATGTGTCTGTCCAATGTCAGGGACCTCGTCAGTAGTTGTTGTATGTCATGTCTTGTTAGTGACATAAGTTATGTGTCTGTCCAATGTCAGGAACCTCTTCAGTAGTTGTTGTATGTCATGTCTTGTTAGTGACATAAGTTATGTGTCTGTCCAATGTCAGGAACCTAGTCAGTAGTTGTTGTATGTCATATCTTGTTAGTGACATAAGTTATGTGTCTGTCCAATGTCAGGAACCTGGTCAGTAGTTATTGTATGTCATATATTGTTATTGACATAAGTTATGTGTCTGTCTAATGTCAGGAACCTGGTCAGTAGTTGTATGTCATATCTTGTTATTGACATAAGTTATGCGTCTGTCCAATGTCAGGAACCTCGTCAGTAGTTATTGTATGTCATATCTTGTTAGTGACATAAGTAATGTGTCTGTCCAATGTCAGGAACCTCGTCAGTAGTTGTTGTATGTCATATCTTGTTAGTGACATAAGTTAGTGTCTGTCCAATGTCAGGAACCTAGTCAGTATTTGTTGTATGTCATATCTTGTTAGTGACATAAGTAATGTGTCTGTCCAATGTCAGGAACCTCGTCAGTAGTTATATTTATGTCATATCTTGTTAGTGACATAAGTTATGTGTCTGTCCAATGTCAGGAACCTCGTCAGTAGTTGTTGTATGTCATGTCTTGTTAGTGACATAAGTTATGTGTCTGTCCAATGTCAGGAACTTGTCAGTAGTTGTTGTATGTCATGTCTTGTTAGTGACATAAGTTATGTGTCTGTCCAATGTCAGGAACCTGGTCAGTAGTTGTTGTATGTCATATCTTGTTAGTGACATAAGTTATGTGTCTGTCTAATGTCAGGAACCTGGTCAGTATTTGTTGTATGTCATATCTTGTTAGTGACATAAGTTATGTGTCTGTCCAATGTCAGGAACCTCGTCAGTAGTTATTGTATGTCATATCTTGTTAGTGACATAAGTTATGTGTCTGTCTAATGTCAGGAACCTAGTCAGTAGTTGTTGTATGTCATAACTTGTTAGTGACATAAGTTAGTGTCTGTCCAATGTCAGGAACCTCGTCAGTAGTTATTGTATGTCATATCTTGTTAGTGACATAAGTTATGTGTCTGTCTAATGTCAGGAACCTAGTCAGTAGTTGTTGTATGTCATATCTTGTTAGTGACATAAGTTAGTGTCTGTCCAATGTCAGGAAGCTAGTCAGTAGTTGTTGTATGTCATATCTTGTTAGTGACATAAGTTAGTGTCTGTCCAATGTCAGGAACCTAGTCAGTATTTGTTGTATGTCATATCGTGTTAGTGACATAAGTTATGTGTCTGTCCAATGTCAGGAACCTCGTCAGTAGTTATTGTATGTCATATCTTGTTAGTGACATAAGTTATGTGTCTGTCCAATGTCAGGAACCTAGTCAGTAGTTGTTGTATGTCATATCTTGTTAGTGACATAAGTTAGTGTCTGTCCAATGTCAGGAACCTCTTCAGTAGTTGTTGTATGTCATGTCTTGTTAGTGACATAAGTTATGTGTCTGTCTAATGTCAGGAACCTAGTCAGTAGTTGTTGTATGTCATATCTTGTTAGTGACATAAGTTAGTGTCTGTCCAATGTCAGGAAGCTAGTCAGTAGTTGTTGTATGTCATATCTTGTTAGTGACTTAAGTTAGTGTCTGTCCAATGTCAGGAACCTAGTCAGTAGTTGTTGTATGTCATATCTTGTTAGTGACATAAGTTTTGTGTCTGTCTAATGTCAGGAACCTTGTCAGTAGTTGTCATATGTGATATCTTGTTAGTGACATAAGTTATGTGTCTGTCTAATGTCAGGAACCTGGTCAGTAGTTGTTGTATGTCATGTCTTGTTAGTGACATAAGTTATGTGATTGTCCAATGTTAGGAACCTCTTAATGTCATATCTTAATATCTTGCCTTATTTGGAGAATTGGATTTTGATGGCAGATCATTGATTGTTTCTACTCAATTTATTCACAACTGTTGTAGCCTCTGGATGATTTAGAGCATGGCATATTGTATAGACAAATGTCTATTGTTGAACCCTATATGATCCCCTCTAGATGTCTCTTGGTTATTTATGTCATTGGGTTGCTGTCTCATTTATGTATACCTTACATCTCCATTTTTTTAGTATTACATGAATATATTAGGCGATCAAATAAAAACTGCAACATCAGTACAAAAACCATATTATTATTATTATTATTTTTTAAATAACTTAAATCAACACTTTATTTTATGTGGCTTTTGCTACTTCAAATCAACACTTTACAATAAAACTATGTGACAAGTAAAGCAATATTGTCAAAGATTTATTTAAGGATTTTGTCGCCCACTATTGATAAATAACACCTATTTTACTGTTTATTTGCTTTTTGTCAACCATTTTTATACTGTTATTTTGCCTTTTGTCTTCAATCCTCGTATATTTCCACCACTTGAATGTCTTACATCAGCTTTTTTCCTAAACTCTTAGACTTTAGAATTTTTAACCCTGGCACTAGATCTCGCTTATAAGCCAGTACCCCTTCAAGGATCCATAATTTTCTTTCCAAAACACAAATGACAATGGTATTTATTCTTGAATATAAGTTTAATTCTTTCTTAATTATAAAGCATCAATAATTCAAATTGAAATAAGCTTTATTTAAGGTTTGCAAGATTAGTAATAATACAACATAAGCTAACACTGAACTTTGATCTGACATAATAATGTAAAAATTGACCATAATTCTATTCATTATAAATAGCCACAAGAAGATATAAAGATTGACTTTGATATTCACATGGACAGTGACTTTGGTAGTTTATTTGGCCCTGTGGTTAAGGAAGAACAGAAGACTAGTCCAGAACAACCCGGTAAGATGAAAGAACTCAAGGGTTTATTATGTTTTTCCATCCGTTAGTCTCTATCATAAGTTTGGTTTCAAAAGGATTATTAAAATACCAAATAATTTGAAATTTTAACACAATTTCATGGACCCTAAAATACAGGTCACAAGGTAAAAGTTTCAACATTTATGGTTCAAAAGTATTTCCCCTTAGTTACTTTGAAAATTAGATTTTATTTTGGTTTCCAGATGATAGTTAAAGTACGACTTGAACGAAACTTTTAAATTTGAACACAATGCATGGATAATAAGATTTTGACATTTAGCGTTAAAAGAGTTATTCCCCTTATTAACCCGAAAATACAAACTGTGATAGCACTAGAATGATATATATGTATTATGAACTTTTTTTTCACAGCCTCAGTAAAATCAGTGAAGTCTGAAAAGGAACCGATAACTGTTCAGAACCATGAATCTGTACAAACACCAAAAGGACCATCAAGGCACATGTTGTATGCTCAACATTTCCCCATTCCTCAAGATGAAATGTCCTCACATGAATGTAATCAAAGGATGACTGTGTTGTATGGTGTAGGTAAAGCTAGGGATGAAGCAAGACATATTGTCAAAAAAGTTACCAAAGAGACATTGAGATTATTCAGCAAAAAAAATTGTATTGATGTCAGCAGTGGAGATCTTGGTAAAAATAAGAAGAAGAAAGATAAAGAACTAGGAGAGGCCAGTTCAGTACAGTCGGCTACTAATTTTGAAAGTATTTTTGAAGGGATTTTTAACAAATTTCAGAAACTGTCGTATTATGATCAGCATGTTGTAACTCATTCATGTGTGACAGCTGTTCTAGAACAGATAAATGGCTTTGTGAATGAAAACTCGGATTACCTCCCTTTAGTAGAGAATATATCTTTCCTTATTGATCTGATGGAATATTCATGTAATATTTATGGCTTGCTGGAGTTTTCTGTTCAGGTGAGTTAAATATGTTACACCAATTTTGTGTCCCAATATATAAAATATAAGAGAGGTGTTTAAAGACACAAACAGGGGTGATTGGTAGCTGCTTGATTAAAATTAATATTTTTCATCCTGTCTGCCTATGTGAATTGTATGATTAACTCCTCCTTAATAGTTTGATGGATATTGATGAATTTTAATACAATTGTAAAACACTCAATGAGAATTAAGGAATATGGTCCTACATGTTTATGGGTAGATTATAAATTTTACTCAATCCATATACTAATAGTCTAGTGAGTTAGGAGGTATCCTTTTGTGAATTCACTCATAGTTCTACTTTACCTTCCATCACATGTAAATGTAAAATATTAACAAGAGTATAAAATAGCCACAGTTAGTTTTTCTTCAACAGGAAAGAATAAATATTGGATTTTTTTCATCAGCTATTTACAGTTATTATCTAGGATCATATATATGTGTTCCCTTTTATCTGATTTCAGCTATTGAAAGATCTGAGTAGTGCAGATGACAAATTAGTAGAACTGAAGTCTAGCTTACGAGGAAGCTACACTACGTCCCTATGTCTCTGTATAGTTGGTGTGTTTAGAAAATATCATGCCTATCTACTGGTGTCTAATGATCTGACTATACAAGCATTTGAAGGGTAAGGCTATGTAAAGATGTTATGTTGTATTTGTTTATCTAATAATCATGTGCATATCTGTTTAGTTTAAAGCAGGGTTCATATTTATATCTCATTAATATGTTCTTGTTCTGAATATGCATTTAATTTGCCACTGAACGTTAAACAGCCTTTCATCATTATTATGATGTTAATTTTCCTTAATGTGAAGTTCATATCAATTGAACTACTAACTGTTGAGATTAACTTGTTTCAATAACAATTACATAATAGCTAATAGAAGATATATCAACTTGACTTAGTTTGAAAGTGCTCTGCCATTTTGGCTGTATTATAACTAGTGTATTGATCCAATGTGGACTTGTACAACACTTTTTTTGATATTTGTTTGATTACTTAGTACATACAGAATTTCCCTTCTTATAATGTTTTACTTATCAAAGCCTTACTTCATATAGATACTTCACTATGTATTAATAAATCAGACATTTGTAATGGCAAGTTCTCTTTTGAAGGTTACATATTTATTGCAGAAAGGATGGTCTGAAAGATGATACTTAATTATTGTGAAAGATGTACACATATCTTATGTTATGTCATGTGATATTTATTTACAGTTTAATTGGTGTTGTGAAGAATGTGTATAACCCTGCTGACTGTTCCTCATCAGAACGTTGTATACTGGCCTATCTATATGATGCATATAGCTCTTGTTGTTACCTTGTTGTAAGTTATATATAGAAAACTAGTTTTGAGTTCAAATATTTTTTTTATAAAACAGTTCACTATGATACAAAACATTTTCTAAAAAAAGTTATGATTAATTTTTTATTTATTTTTGTAAGGTGATCATAATATCTGTACCAAATTTTCAAGAATATGTCTCATAATTACCATCTGTATTAAAATGTTTGAAAATAATGAAGCATTGAAGTTTGACTTTTGTTGTCAGATTACTTACTGTTAGTTTAAACAATGATTAAAGCTTAGACATTCATTTATGGTATTTAATTACAGGAGAAATTTTCTGAGATGTTCCTGAATGCCCACCGTAAGATGAAGATGACGCTGTACGCTACTACTACTCCACTGGCATCCAATTCTTTATGGGACCCTTCATTTATGATAGATTTTATAAATAATACAAAGTAAGTTGTATACCTTTTAGATAGTGATACCCCTGCTCCAAAGCATAACTCTATCCATAATACATTTCTGCCACATGTTTACTCAGCAACCACAAGGAGATGTGGTATGATTGCCAATGAGACAAATATCCACCTAGTTCAAATGACGTAGAGGTAAACAATTATACAGCCTTCAACAATGAGAAAAACCCATACCATAAAGTCAGCTATAAAAGGCCTCGACATGAAAAATGTGAAACAATTCAAACAAGAAAACTAAGGGCCTAATTTATGCAATACAATTCACGAAATAAAATATGACAAATATGAACCACAACAACCACTGAACTACAGGCTCCTGACTTTGGACAGGCACATAAAGAATGTGACTGTGTTAAACCTTACACATTTTCAGTTGCTTTCACTTTCATGTTTGCCTAAAACATATGTCTTTAAATTCATTATAATAATCTTCTCAATGTTTGTCCTTTTATCATTTTAAACGCTTATTACTTTTTCTCTTGCTAAATTTGATTGCCTGAAAAACAGAGCCTACAATATTGAGTTTGGTATACTTAGTAAGCAATAGAAGTACATCTCCTTGTTCATAGCCTTGACTTGATAACATCAGATTTTAAAGAAGATGACAGCAAATTCCTATTTTTGCAAATATGTTTATATTGAGAGAATGTTGTTATTAAGTGATTAAATTATACCATAAAACTGTAATTGAACGTGATGATTTTGATTTATTTACAGAGCTCATCATCAACATGAGTCAAGTGTAATCAAACATTTAACAGACACTCCAGCTAATCGTTATAGTTTTGTGTGTAATGCTGTCATCCATGTTTGTAATTCTCCATCTATAGAGAGGTAAGTCACATGTTTGTCATGTGATTAGATAATGAATAACATGACACTATGGGAAATAGAAACTGATCTGTAGGATTTTTTTTTGTAACCACAACTATCACAGCTTGTTTTTAGTTGAAAGTCTTTCAGAAGCATATTTTTAGTATGGCATGTTGGTGGCTACATCAGGTAAATTATTTTGATTGTTGAAAATCTGTAGATTAAAAAAGATTTTAACAATCTTCAATGTAACATTGGTATCCATTTCTTGTGAAAGTGACTTGCGGGTTTTATACATATTATTCACAATATACTTAGCAATGTGAATTATTATATTTACAAGAATTCATTCTGTATTTGCAAATTTTCCATGTAAAATGCTGTATATTGCTTTATTTGAGAAGTTTTGGATGTCCTATATGAATTTTAAGCTTGAAATACAATGAAGGTCAGATGTCTATAGATAATAACAGTACTGATACTGTGTTAGAAGATTTGCCACTGTCAATTTGGGGATTTGACAGTTGCAAATGATGTTTTACTGATGACATGGAGCAGAGCTAGTAAAACACAGATGATTGGACCATGAAATCCCAAATTGACAGTGGCCACTCTTCAAACAGATAACTGTTATTTTTGTCCCCCACGTAACGCATTGAGGGGGACATGGAAATACCGGGTGTCTGTCCATCCGTCTGTTAGTGCTCTCACGGGTACAATGCTTGCCAGATTTTTATAAAACTTATACTATAGGTTGATATCAGCAATATCTCAGACAAGTTCTGAAATGGTGGACGATCGAATTTTTTAAATAGAGTTATGCCCCTTAGAAATATTAAATTTATGAAAAATGGTCTCGTTAGCGCTCTCACGGGTACAATTCTTGTTAGATTTTTATAAAACTTATACTATAGGTTAATATCAACAATATCTCGGTCAAGTTCTAAAATGGTGGACGATCAACCTTTTTTAAAAGAGTTATGCCCCTTAGAAATATGAAATTTATGAAAAATGGCCTCGTTAGCGCTCTCACGGGTACAATTCTTGCCAGATTTTTATAAAACTTATGCTATAGGTTAATATCAGCAATATCTCGGACAAGTTCTAAAATGGTGAAGGATCGACTTTTTTTAAAAGAGTTATGTCCCTTGGAAATATTAAATTTATGAAAAATGGCCTTGTTAGCGCTCTCACTGGTACAATTCTTGCCAGATTTTTATATAGGTTAATATCAGCAGTATCTCGGACAAGTTCTATAATGGTGGACGATCAACTTTTTTTAAAAGTTATTCCCCTTGGAAATATTAAATAAGTGCATCGCGGTGGACATTGGAACTCTGTTCTTTTATTTATTTTAATACAATAATAATGAAATGTTTAGACATTTGAAAGATCCTTGAATTGCTGACTGCCAACATTGTCCAATTAACTTCTACATATTAACATATTTCAGACTCAATGAGATTTCCATTTTATGTGCTGAACTTACAGCCAGATATAATGCCTTGAGTTCTGATTGGCTCGGAGTGCTTCAGTCATTATGCTGTTCGTCCAATCATAGTTGTGGATTTATAGATGTATTAGCACAATGTGACGTGAGTTTAACTAACCTTTTAGAATATAACCTACAAGTCATAGTCCAGTCTTCTTAAGAACTGCTGTATGAATTTGGAACTACCAAGAATTTTGATTAAGTTTGATATGTTTTGCCTATTAGCCATTACATTTTTCCACCACAAACTGAACTCTTGGAAGACTTTTAGAACATTGTTGCTTTCTTACTTTGTTTTCATGTCAGGATGTCAAGATATTTGCAAACTTATTCTAACTCATTAAACCATGTTTAAGTCAGGTAAGGCACAGAAAACTTGTACAATCAAACTTTTTAAAAGGCATTACATCTAACATTCATGAAAAGTTGCCCAACACATTATTATGTTTACCATGTAGCCAATAGACCATCTGCATATCAACAGGATTCTGTTTCTGAGATATGAAGTATATTTTAAAAGTGTTTTGGTACTGAGATACTGACTTCTAGATTGATGAGAGAAAGATGGTACTTAATATTTATAATATATTTATTTGCTAGACAAATTATCTTATACATTTTTCTGTCCTAACACATCTCAAAATAACAAAAAAAAAACAATTGCTTTTCTGCTATGGCGAATCTGCCATTTTTAGCTCACCTGGCTAAAAGGCCAATTGAAATTTTCTCATCTGTTGTCCGTTAACTTTTACAAAAATCTTCTCCTTTGAAACTACTGGGCCAAATTTACAATTGCTTTTGTAGCGCTCTTGCGCTTTGATTATTATAATGAAATACAACAAATGGCAAATGTTTTACCCATTTGGCAGTATTTGAGAACCAAAAAATTATTTACCATGGCCTAACTTATATGTGTATATATTTGTAGGTCAGTGATATGTCAATACACAACAACTTGGCTGTATTTACCACCATTTTGGTAGCTAGACATTGTTTCTCTCTACAAGATTTAGTTATCCATGTTATACTTCCATCACTATTAGCAGTGAAAACAGGTTTGTTTTCTTAATTAATTGTCTGTTTTCAATTTTTAACTTTTCTGGAGTTTTTGAGTTCTCTTTTACACATGCATTAAATCAAAGTTTGTTTTACAAGCTTTACTGCAATATATACAATTACATGAATGTTTCCATAAACATTTTTAACATGTCCCATTGTAGCAGTGTATAAGCTAAATAAAAAATTAGATTTAGAAAAGTGGTTAACATTGATGATAAAATGTTTTGTAGATAATTATTTTTAGTAGATACATGCATTCTATTTATACCTTTTTAACAACAAAATTTTTATAGAGCTTGCTTCATGACTGTCAGCAAAATCTTGTAGTCATACCTAAACTTTAACTTTTATACTTTAATGATGTTTCAGCTTCAGGAGATCAGGATGCTGAACCAGGAGCAAGATTAACTTGCCAAATATTGTTAAGATTGTTTAAAACATCGGATATGAACACTTTCTCTTGGTGTGGAAATTATGGCAAGGCTAACGTGTGCAACATCAAGTCATCATGTGACAAGCACCTGTTGATAGCAGCCCATGACAGTATATCTGTAGGACCTGTTTTAGCAGTATTGAAAGCTATGCTAGTTCTAAGTAAGTATGTTATTTCTGTGTGTATGGATACAGGAGGAAAACAAAATATTCTGCATTTTTCATTCCTAGCTTTTATTTAAATTGTTTGTCAGTGGGACTTCTCAAAATGTACCACTTCAAGCAGAAACACTTTGCACTTTTCAGTTTCTGATGTACACCATCTAATTGACAGAAAAGTTTGTTAGACCTGTCGTCTGCAACAGCAGTTATCTTTACCAATATATTCCCTCTACCTGTATCATACTGTTCAGATGCATAAAATTTCTTATCACATCAATTACATTGACCAGGCCTTAAAATTAGTTAAAACCAATCTCATGACTGACATAGATCAGTTTGACCCAAACTTACCAAGTCCTTTTCCAGTTTGTTTGTTAAATGAAGAAAAAGCATTGATTCTATAATGAAAACTCACAAATACAATCAGAAAAATTGATAATCAGATTTTTATCATATTGATATTGTAAAATATCTGCTGCTCTACAAAATATAAAGCCTTTTTTAACTTGTTTCCTGTGCTCACTTGACAAAAAGCTTCATATAATGACTCTAAGTGGATATTTTACAATATAAAGATGCAGAACACCTTATAATCTGAAATACTAACAATCATTGTATGATTACAGGTGACTTGTGTAGTGATGAGAATAGAAGTAAATCTGGAGGAAAGAAAGACAGTATGAACGAAAGAGATATTATCAGTTCATTACTCAATAGTATTGGAGATGATGATGATGTAGACATGATGCTTGGGTAGGTTCATTTATACACTCTTTTATCTCTTATGAAGCTTGAGTAAGGTACATTTACACAATGTTTTATCTCTTATGAAGCTTGGGTAAGGTACATTTACACAATGTTTTATTGATAACAGAGCTCTTATGAAGCTTTGGTAGGTACATTTACACAATGTTTTATTGATAAAAGAGCTTTTATGATGCCATATCTCTGGTGGTCTGTGCAAGTTATTCACACAATTTTCTAGGTTTGGGGAGATGTAAAGTTTAACTTATTTTTAAGACACAGGTCTGTAAAATGTTCAATGTAATGACTTCAACTTTACCAATTGCAGCCTTTGGTTTATTACCTGTAAGATTAAAAACTGTCTTGTAATATGTTTTTATACACCAAGTCTTGCATTATTTAATGTTATAGTATCTGATATATTTATTTAGTACATCGAAATGGAAAGGTAAAGAATCATCACTGAGTGATTTTGCACGACATGCCATGAAGGAAATGTGTCGACAGGAATGGGTACAGGAGAAATTCCTCAAAGACCCTGATGCTGTACTTAGTTCAGATTTACTCCTTGATCAAATGTTGTCCACTAAACAGGTCAGTTAAATGCACAACTATTCAATACAAAATTACATCTTTTAAAGTGATTCCCAATACCCTTAAACAAACAATGATTCTGTTCTCTGAAGTCTTTATTATTAACAAATATTTATTTGTAAATGGCAACTGATTTATTAATTGATGAAGTTCACATCAGATTTATAAAAAAAAAGTATAGGTTTTGATGGTTGTAAATTTAGGAATTTGGAATTTTTGGAAGGTCAGTCTATTAAGGGGGGATATCACATATTCTATTTTACCAACAAATTTTTTTCTCCCATTTTTACAATTATTTGATATTAACTTGTTGATTTTCCAATTCTCACATTTATTATAGATATACTGTAGATTTAGAAATAATTGCGAGGTTTAATTTATTTATGCAAATAATGCAACTGTGTGATAATTACTCGCATTCTGATATTGGATACATTTAACTATGCAGATTTTCCTGAAATCTCAATAATTAATCTCGCATTTTTGTCCTTTCTTAAAAAATTGCAATAATTAATGCACACAATAATTTGAATTTATAGTAAGGTGGAAAAATAAATTCTTAAAAAAAGTCATGTTGTGTTTTAGCCAAATATCCTTGTAAACAGAATGATAATTCAGTAGATATTTTAGTGGTAAAGGGCCATAACTCATGAGAAATTTTCAACAAAAATGATAAATTATATAATCATGACCAAACATCCTATCAAACAGGGAAAAATATGTGATAAAACACTTCAAAAGAGTTGTACTCATAAGATATTGATATCTATGGAAACATATGAAGAATAAAAGGACCATAACTCCATTTGTAGAAATAAAGTTATAGGATATTATAATAAAATGGGTTTCAAAACATTTCCTCCCAAATATGAAAGCTATTAGACAAAATACTTCAGAGCAGTTGCTTTCATTCGTAACAAGTTGGATTGACATTTAATTGTTTCTCTTCTAATTTATTTCAGGCTCAGCAAATTCTGCATATGATCTGTTACCCTAATGGTGTTCCTAACCAAGTGGATGGAGCTGATATGGAAACCAAGCAGAACATTCATAGAGTTCTTCAGAATCTAAATCTATGGGATTTTAGAGTCTGTGCTCTGGAACTACAGCTAATGTTCAAACAGTGTAGTGCAATATCAGTAAGGTTATATTGTCATCTAAAATCATAGCTTATTTTTATCATCGAAAAGATTTTAGCTGCTCACCTGACTTTAAGGAACATACATGAGAATTATCATCATTTGTCTGTATCTGTCAATAATCTGGCTGGGGTCATCAACTATTCAATAAATCTATTTTCTGAAACCATGGGGTTAATTGGTACAAAATTGATAGTTAAGTCACTAAATTTTATCTGATGATGTTGCTGAAAAACCAACAAGGCTGCAAGAAACAGGCAGAATGGCAGTTTTTTTTCCCCTGAGACGTATAATTTGCTTCATGTATTTGCCTGATTTTTAGTATGATAGCTATGTGATAATTGGTAATGGGTTACATCTGAGTTTTATTTTAGTTCATATATTTTTATAGCAAATAATTGACAATCTTTTGGCTCCATAAACCTCCCAGATATATTTGTTTGTAATTGTGTAACTAGGTTAAGAGCTAGTTCACCTGCTTTTGACCTAATTATGGACATTGGACAGACAATTTTATGAAAATAACAATTTTCTCCCCAATTGTCAACCTTCATGCAGATTTTGAACTGATATCTGATGTATACTGGTATAAGCCTTAAGGGGTCCTGAAATCTGAGTGAAACAATAGTAACTAATATTACACATAAATGCCAGGTGAGCAATGCAGATTTCTTGAGCTGCTACTAAATTTTATATTTAACAAGAAATTATTGACCTGACAGTGAACAAATTGCTATGTAATATGTTCTCCAATGGAAGTCATATGTCAATTATTTTGAAATCAATTTATAATGTTTGAAGAAAAGGATAATTAATTGTTTATATTATTAGGTATACAGATTTATTTAAGTAAACAATTCCTACCATTGATATTTGTATGGAAATTTGTATTTATTTTTAGTATTTAAGTACTAGTTCCTTATACTGTTAATTCAGAAATTATTGCCATGTTGTTATTAATGGGAATAATGTGACAATATCAGGTTGGCAGTAATATAAACTTTCATTCATAAAAGTTGGCATTCATGAATTCAGTAGTAATTGTCCTTCATAATTTTTACCAGTAATACGTGATTCACAATAATAAATGCTTGCGTTAGTTTCTGAAGTTACAGTATTGGATTACAAATAAGAAACATTTCTCCTATATTGAAAATTTACATTAAATTGAATTTGATTAAAAATTCAATAAGCTTCATTGTCTTTAATTTGGAATACTAAATAAACTTATCATGTATAGTCTTAATTTGTATAAAAAAATAAGCTTGAATTACAGTTTACGTCACTTAGTTTTAATGTCTTGGTGTCAGCAATCTTTTTCTGATGATTGTTGACCAGAGGTTGCAAGCTACTTGTCTATTGATGAATATGATATGCCATTTTTATTTGTAACACTCTCAAACTTGTACTTTACCTATACACATGACCATCAAGCCTATCAGTGTCTGATTCACCAAAAATAAGTAAGTAAATATAATAAAAAAAGACATAAAAATAATAGCCAAGATAGTTAAAAATAGTTTGAATCAACTGATGATTTATCAGAACGAATGTAACAAACATTATAGCACTGTAAATTGATCAGAAATTCCCATGGGACCTAACAATCCTAGAAAATCTTTGATAGATCAGTGTCAAAAATGATATGTCCAAAGGTTTATCACATTAAGTCCAGATACATTTTTTTCAAATTTTGCCAGACCTTTTCTTTACAAATTTTATTGCAAAAATAACTGCCAGATATTTTTTAGAAATTGGATCAGATATATTTTTCTTTCAAAGAATAATTTCCTGAATCCACCTATATATTTCTATAGACAAAAATTTAAGGATCCATATTTTCTGAAATTTAAGTGCCATCACCAATTCATTTTAAATCCAGTTTTAAATTTAGATTCATTAAAAAATTTACATGGATGTTTTAGTTGAATTGATTGCACTAAAGATATATGACCATTAAATGGACATGCTTGAAGTTAACTAAAGGTGAAAAACATTTAAGGCTAGGAAATTGGACATTTTTGGTGTCGCATAAAAACTGTAATGAATATTATTGGGCCGCCTTGACATATTTTAAGAGTGAGGAAAATTTGAGAGTGTTACATATTTATTCCATGTATATCTGAAAATTGAAAGTATAACAATTTGGATTCATTGATTTCCACTTACAGTATGAATAGTACATGTTAAGTCTCTACTTTTGAGCTAAAAGCCAAAACAAACTTCTAGAAATAGAGACGTCCAGTCTTTCAATATTAATTATACTTTACGTATGTATCAGACATACTTATAATGCATTTGTAATGGGCTATTACATTTAAAGTTATTTTTTAGTAGAGATTTTTCTGGTAAAGGGCAGATAATCCAATTTGAATCCTGTTGCATTCCTTATAACAAATGCAATATAGGTCTGATAATTACGTTAAGTAAAATTTATGTCTCAAGTCTGGATGTCTCTTATAAGTAGTAAGTAATTAAAATAATTAAAATGATATGATTTATGAATATACCAATTTCTCTATTTCTTGTTGGACCCTCCATCATCACAATCTGACAAGTCCATAGTCAAGAAAAGCAGTTCTGTAACGGCAGTGAGTAAAAAATTTGACAGCTGATCGACAAAAATATGTTCTACATTTGGCTGGAAACATTCGGCATTAAACCGGAAACCAGTATTTTTTGAATTTTTGGAACAAATTTTTGACTTTTAGCTGTCATCATTGAACAGTTTGTGATAATTATAGTATATTTATATTGTACACATTTTCCCTCACAAAACATGTATGTACCCTGTCTTATCATCTTTCTTTATGTAATGGCATTTATTGCTTATATTCATATTTCAAAGGACTTACTGTACATATAATTATATGTAGTGTTATGACATTAATTTTGTTTGTAAAATTATATTTACTCTCTCTGTTGAGTTTATTATAATGTGGAAGTATTATTCTTATTGGGTATCAATTTTAATGGTTTGTAAAGACTTCATTGGTTCTAGTGGTTTTTAATTTATGGCTTCAAGTTAAATCATCGGATTCAGTCAAAATATATATTTCATGGGTACAAAATTTTGTGGTTGTAAGTATTCATGAAATCTGCATGAATTGGTACCCTCAAAACAATAATACTTTCATGGTATGTAACTTAAGCGAAGCATTTGATAAAGATTGCATTTGGATCATTAAGTGTAATTGTACCCCTTACAGCAAGTAATGTTTTAGTACAGTCTGTCTGTAACAACTTTGTTGTCGCCATGCTAGCACCTGTTTTTTTTGTTGGATCCTCTTCAAATTTGAATGAAGGTTACTACTCATCAAAATTGTGGATGAGTTCTGATTCTCATAAAATTCTGAAATAGTGAGCCAATTCTTCAGGAGGGGGTTGTAAAAATATCTCATATAAGTTGTTTTAAAGGGGAATAATTCTTGACAGTTTCAAGCATTTTTAGTCCTCATTGATTTTGAGATTACTTGTTGATTCTTCTAAATGTCAAATTGTATGTATATGTGTTTGTCCAGCCAGCTGTAGTCACTGGTTGACATGGTTTGGATGCCCTATTAACCAAATCACTGAAGTCTCATGACTGATATTCAAAGTTTTAAGTTGATAATAAGTCTAAAGATTAAAAGTGACATATAATCATATAACTTTATATAATGGTGCATCTTAATAGCCTTCCACTAAAATAAGGCCAATCTATCCGACATTTCATTGTTAAGTATCTAAGGTTATGGTTTGTTTGAGGTCAGATACTTTTTTACCTATATTTATATAACTTGGTATGAATGACCTGTATACAAATAACTTGGTGTAAGAATGCATTTAGGAGAGTATAACAGCTTATAAAATTAAAGTCATGTTTCAGTGGTTTCAAGTTTTATGTTAAGTTCTGTTCATGGACACCAAAGGCATACAGTCATAAAACTTGGGAGATGGGCCAATCTATTGTGAGAAAAACTGTAAAACCAAAGTCTGTAAGTTTAAGAAGATGTGGTGTAATTGCAAATGAGACAACTCTCCACCGGAGACTATATGAGGTAGAAGGTTAGCAACTATAGGTCACAGTACTTCAACTATGAGCAAAACCCATACCACATAGCAAGCTCTAAACGGCCCAAAATGACCTATGTAAAACAATTCAAACAAGAAAACTAGCAGCCTGATTTATGTACAAAACAAACAATTTTGTTGTACCAAAATGCTATTACACAAATTAAGAAATTTCACACTATACATTTCATGGTTCACTGACTTTCCACTTTGAATATTTGTGTTTAATTGTTAGTTATAAAGCCTAATTAACTGTTTATAAACCTAGCTAGTGTTGTATTAGAATGCCATTACACAAATTAAGGTTTTACGACAGTCATAAAATATTACTAAATTGTGGTATTTTTTTATAAAAAGAAAGTTCTAGTTTTGTAAAGTTTTGAGAGACATTAATTTAAAAAGTACTGATTTCCATGTTTCTGGATGAAGGCTACTACACTGTTTAGCACATTTCACAAATCAGGCAGGTTTTAACATTACCTCCTTGAATTCCTAAAGTACCTGTTAAACACATCGAGTAACTGTTTTATGTTGCACATTAATCATGGGTTTTAGAGTGCTGTGAACTTGTGTTAGTAATTTTTTGTCTCGCCTGCGACGATAGTCGTGTAAAGCGAGACATGGATTGCTTTTCCGGCGATGGCTGCAGCGGTGGCGTCAGGAATTGTTAAATTTCTACTTAAGTTAGTTTGATAGGAACTACTAGTGAAAGATCATTGATATTTAATATAAAGTTGCATTTTTATCAGTACATATCAGTTTGATGATTATTTTGAGGCCCTGCCCCCAGGTCATGGTCCAGCAACTTTGAATTAACTATCAATTTTCAATGTTAAGTTTTCTGCTTAAGTTAGTTAGATAGGATCTACTTGTGATAGATCAATGATATTTTGTATGAAGTCGCATTACTATCAGTACATATCAGTTTGTTGACTATTTTGAGGCCCTGGACCCTAGGACATGGTCTAGTGACTTTGAAATAATAAGCAAAGTCGTTGAAGTTAGTTTGATAGGATCTACTTGTGATAGCTCAATGATAGTTTGTATGAAGTTGCGTTACTATCAGTACAATTCTGTTAGACATCTATTTTGAGGCCCTGCCCCCTAAGTCATGGTCCAGTGACTTTGAATTAATAAGCAATTTTCAATGTTAAGTTTTCAGCTTGAGTTAGTTTGATAGGATCTACTTGTGATAGATCAATGATATTTTGTATGAACTCGCATTACTAGCAGTACATATCTGTTTGACGTCTATTTTGAGGCCTTGACCCGTAGGTTATGGTCCAGTGACTTTGAATTAACTAGCAATTTTCAATGTTTAGTTTTCTGCTTAAGTCTGTTTGATAAGAACTACTTGTGACAATGATATTTTGTATAAAGTTGCATTACTATCAGTATATATCAGTTTGTTGACCATTTCTAGGCCCTGCCCACAAGATTATGGTCCAGCGATTTTGAATTAATAAGCAATGTTGCTGTCCATCGGATCAGATTGTCTTTTTCTGAATTTTGTGCGGACAGGCAAGACATATCTCTGTGTCAACAGTTTATTTAGTTAATGTTTTACTGTGTAGATTGGTTGTATTGATGTGTAACGATAAATGGGAAATTATGTAGCATTTATTTTAATATCAGATGCTTTCGATTTGATTGGGTTTTTTTTTCATAAAGATTTGTATCTTCATATTAAATGAGTCAATATAATTAGCATCTATTAGACTACTGGTATGATTTTATTTGAATTAAGACTTCCAGTTTAGTATTCTTTGATTTTATTTTATGCCTTGGGTTTTCAATTTTATAGACTTGATTAGAATATAGATTGTAATAGTTAATTAAGTTTAAATCATAACTAATATTTCATAGAATAATTGTATAGAACTATTTCTGATTGTTGTTACAAAATATAATTAGGTATCTATAACAGGCAAGTTACATTCAAATAGTCTTATATCTTGCTCTTTTTATTAGGCCATGTGAGCCTATGCCATCAGTTGGCGTCTGTCGTCGTCGTCATTCGTAAATTGTTTTTAAATCTTCTCCTCTTAAACCACATAGTCCTATGTTTTAAAACTTGGTAACAATAATGTATGGTAAGACCTCTACAAATAATTCCATAGGTAAAAATAGAACATAGAGGTAAAACGGAAAAATGAAAAACTAAAAAGCAGTTGAAGTAAAATAGACACTTGGAAGAAATTATTAACAGGTCAACATCTATCTACTTGGAGATTTTCACATTTATCAATTTTTGCCCATGAAATGTCCATTTTTAGCTTATTTAAGAGTTTTGGGCTCTTATCTTAAAAACTATAGCAGATAGAGGAAAGTTTTAAATTGCAAAAATGACCAGCAAGACAAGATCTACAAATACGTACCTGCTTACTTTTTAATTTAGGTGTGAACTACACTTTTATGACCTCTTGTCTCATTTGCATGATTGTGATTGTCAAAAAAGCACTAAAACAAAATTTTGTGAAAATCTGCTTGAAAAATTGTTGGTTTCTGGATTTTGAACATTTTACAAGGGAAACAAATCTTGATCAGGGATTATTAGCCAATCAAAATTGTTATTTCTTGTGATTATGTTTTCATCTCCTGATTGAATGAGGCATTGCAAACTTGATAAAAATGCAAACTTGTTTGGATCTTTTCAGTTGCATTTCTCTGTCTGTATGTCAGTATTGTAAAAATTGTGATCATGGTTGAAGCATTTTCATTTGCTTAGGCTGCATAAGAAGAAAAAGCGTGACTGATTGACAAATTAAATGAATGCGATGTCACATGCCTTTTGCAAAGTCTACAAGCAATAGAGATCTGAACATTGACAATGATGGCCTGAATGACGCTCATTAGGAATGAAGTTTAAAGCATGCAAGGACTTTTAACTTCATCAGAAGTCCTTCATAGCTCTGAGCACTACCAAGTCTGTCAGTAACTTTTTGGTACGAACAAATATTGAGTACTGTTAATTTAGAAATTATTGCGAGGTTTTTAATACTGTGAATAATGCGACTGGGTGAGAATGGCAATAATAAAAACTCGCTTTCTGACATCTGATACATATATCTGTATGCAGATTTTCCTGAAATCGCAATAATAAATCTAGCATTTTTGTCCTGTCTTCAAAAATCGCAATAATTTCTGAATTAACAGCAACTCAAGACTGCCAAGCATTTATATGTTTAAGCAGTTTACAATTTCTCTTTATTGACTATAGTTTGTGTGAAACTATAGGCAAAAGAGAGAAACTGTAAACAGCTAAAATAATCATCAAGACCATATCATTTTAGAAAATCAAGTGATGGAAATCATCAATTTACCCCATTGAATAATTTGACGTTTTCTATTATAATATTATCTAATTGAATCAGGATTAAAACCGAGTCACAATCAAACTTAGTGTGTCAATGTTGTGTGACACTGTTTCTTATGATTAAATGTTGCAGATTTTTGCCAGGTGAGTGATTCAGGCTCCTGGGAGCCTCTTGTTAGGAGAGATTTATTGCTCTGTCTGCAGCAAATCCATCTTGGGCATACTCTCTGTAGTGGTATAAGGATGCATCTAGAAAATTCTATTGACATCTAATTAAAGTAGACAACCCTACAGCTATAAATAAGTGTGCAAGTTTTGTGATCTAGGATTGAAGGCTTTATTGCTATCACTTTGTCCATCTGTTCATCCAAAATATATTTTTTGCACACTTTTGTTAGGTTCTATTGAACTGAAATTACATCACATTTGGTTGACAGTGAAGGATGTAAAGTATGAGCACTCTTCATATATGTCGGATGCCTTCTTCATGGAGGGGTGTAAAAGGGGGTATCTGCACGGAAGAATGCGAAATAAAATTGCCATTTCACGATGAACGAACAATTAAAAATTTTTTGCACGTTGATCTTTTTACCGATTTCACGAAACACGGTGAATAACGAACCTTTTTGATGGCTGCACGTGAAATAAAAATGGCAAAACACGTTGCACGAAAATAACCCTTTACCACCCTCTTCATGTTCGACAATAATTTGAATTTTTTAATATATTGAATAAACTTAATATTTTCATCACTCATATTTCCAGTACGACTGAACAAAAGGACTTCATATGTAGTGTGTAGTTTGACCGTGATGACTTGTGATTTGTAGGCACTTTTTGTATTGACCAGACACATACTTCCTTGTCTTCTGATACTTAATAAGAAGTAGGGTATGCTTAGCATTGCAACATGTGCAACTTCTTGTTCTCCCTACAGATAGAATTGAGTTTTCATGTTTATGACACATGATTTTCTAACTGTTAAATTAATGTGCATGTTTTCTGACACTAGATCTTCCATCAGTGAAATGTTCATTTTAATTGTGTGTGCAAATTTGTAACACTTAATGTTCTAACATTTGTAAATTTTGAGTATTTCATATTTTCTGACACTTGATCTATAGACAGTTATGTTCTGTTACACTAGATATTACAGTTATAATTGTGTATGCATGTTTTGGTCAAAGATCATACAATGTCAACTATAACAGTTTATCAAATTGTAACTGGACGGAAAGTTAGAACAAAATAAAGACCAGAAAAGAATACTGTTGTTTATTTTTTAGGAAACCAATTACATTTTGGATCAAGTAGCAAGAGGGACTATTGAGTTACTCCATCAACAGACAGAGACAAATAAACCCTCCACCTACAGCATGATAATGGAACCAGAACAACAAAACAGGTGTGTATATTACCATGGGGTCATACAAATAAACCTTCCACCTACAGCATGATAATGGAACCAGAACAACTGAACAGGTGTGTATATTACAATGGGGTCATACAAATAAACCTTCCACCTACAGCATGATAATGGAACCAGAACAACAAAACAGGTGTGTATATTACCATGGGGTCATACAAATAAACCCTCTACCTACAGCATGATAATGGAACCAGAACAACAAAACAGGTGTGTATATTAACATGGGGTCATACAAATAAACCCTCTACCTACAGCATGATAATGGAACCAGAACAACAAAACAGGTGGGTATATTACCATGGGGTCATACAAATAAACCCTCCACCTACAGCATGATAATGGAATTAGAACAACAAAACAGGTGGGTATATTACCATGGGGTCATACAAATAAACCTTCCACCTACAGCATGATAATGGAACCAGAACAACAAAACAGGTGTGTATATTACCATGGGGTCATACAAATAAACCCTCCACCTACAGCATGATAATGGAACCAGAACAACAAAACAGGTGTGTATATTAACATGGGGTCATACAAATAAACCCTCTACCTATACAGCATAATAATGGAACCAGAACAACAAAACAGGTGTGTATATTACCATGGGGTCATACAAATAAACCCTCCACCTATACAGCATGATAATGGAACCAGAACAACAAAACAGGTGGGTATATTACCATGGGGTCATACAAATAAACCCTCTACCTATACAGCATAATAATGGAACCAGAACAACAAAACAGGTGTGTATATTACCATGGGGTCATACAAATAAACCTTCCACCTACAGCATAATAATGGAACCAGAACAACAAAACAGGTGTGTATATTACCATGGGGTCATACAAATAAACCTTCCACCTACAGCATAATAATGGAACCAGAACAACAAAACAGGTGTGTATATTACCATGGGGTCATACAAATAAACCCTCCACCTATACAGCATGATAATGGAACCAGAACAACAAAACAGGTGGGTATATTACCATGGGGTCATACAAATAAACCCTCTACCTATACAGCATAATAATGGAACCAGAACAACAAAACAGGTGGGTATATTACCATGGGGTCATACAAATAAACCCTCTACCTATACAGCATAATAATGGAACCAGAACAACAAAACAGGTGGGTATATTACCATGGGGTCATACAAATAAACCCTCTACCTATACAGCATAATAATGGAACCAGAACAACAAAACAGGTGTGTATATTACCATGGGGTCATACAAATAAACCCTCTACCTATACAGCATAATAATGGAACCAGAACAACAAAACAGGTGTGTATATTACCATGGGGTCATACAAATAAACCTTCCACCTACAGCATGATAATGGAACCAGAACAACAAAACAGGTGTGTATATCACCATGGGGTCATACAAATAAACCTTCCACCTACAGCATGATAATGGAACCAGAACAACTGAACAGGTGTGTATATTACCATGGGGTCATACAAATAAACCTTCCACCTACAGCATGATAATGGAACCAGAACAACAAAACAGGTGTGTATATTACCATGGGGTCATACAAATAAACCCTCCACCTACAGCATGATAATGGAACCAGAACAACAAAACAGGTGTGTATATTACCATGGGGTCATACAAATAAACCCTCCACCTACAGCATGATAATGGAACCAGAACAACAAAACAGGTGTGTATATTACCGTGGGGTCATACAAATAAACCTTCCACCTACAGCATGATAATGGAACCAGAACAACTGAACAGGTGTGTATATTACCATGGGGTCATACAAATAAACCTTCCACCTACAGCATGATAATGGAACCAGAACAACAAAACAGGTGTGTATATTACCATGGGGTCATACAAATAAACCCTCCACCTACAGCATGATAATGGAACCAGAACAACAAAACAGGTGTGTATATCACCATGGGGTCATACAAATAAACCCTCCACCTACAGCATGATAATGGAACCAGAACAACAAAACAGGTGTGTATATTACCATGGGGTCATACAAATAAACCCTCCACCTACAGCATGATAATGGAACCAGAACAACAAAACAGGTGTGTATATTACCATGGGGTCATACAAATAAACCCTCCACCTACAGCATGATAATGGAACCAGAACAACAAAACAGGTGAGTATATTACCATTATATTATACAACTAGCAAGGTAGTAAAATGTTGATGGTGAACCAGATCAAAGGGATTAAAAAAATATAAATACTTCTTATAATAACTTGTTGCCAATTTTTCTAGTAAGAACATACACAATTATATGTAAGCAGTTTACCTTACACATGTGGAAAAAAACTTTTGTTTAGCTAAAACTAAGGTTGCAAAGTCTTCAGGCAAAGTTGACTGTAGATTTTGGCCTTCTGGCAAAGTTTAATGTAGATTTTGGCTGTTCATTTAGCCTAGTAAACTGTAGATTTTGGCTGTTCTATTAAGCCATTATATACCTATATAATATTTCATCCTGATTCTCAATTTTTGAAGACAAAAATGTTTTGCCAGACAAATGAGAGAAAACAATTATTCTGAAAAGTTTGAAAAAATTGTTGAAAAAATAATCTACTTTTCCTTGATAAAAATGTCATGAAACAAGAGAAAAAACACAGCACCCCTTTTATTAAAGGCCCCATTTACGGGACTTATTATGATATACCGTTGTCGTCTGTTGTCAACATGTCGGACAATTACTCAAAAAGGCTTTAACCAATTGGCATGAAACTCTGGTGAATTGTTTATATCTATTGACGTGAGCTCCCTTTCGTTTTTTATAAATTCTAGATTTTACGTTTCCAAGTTATGGGGTTTTATTCATTAAGAAAGGGGGATATTCCAGTTTTGGACAATAACTCAAAAACTCTTTCACCGATTTGCAAGAAATTTTGGTGAATTGTTTATATCTATTTACATGACCTCCCTTTCGATTTTTATAAAAATTTAGTTTATATGTTTCTGAGTTTAATAGGGGTTTTATTCATTAAAAAAGGGGGATTTTCCAGTTTTTGGACATAAAAAAGGAGTGATTTTTCCAGTTTTGGACAATATCTAAAAAGTGCTTTGAGCAGTTTTCATGAAACTTTGGTGACTGTTTTATATCTATTAAAATAACCTCCCTTTAGTTTTTTTATAAATTACATGACATTGGGAAGTTATTGAACTTTATTCTTTGAAAAAGCGACGGGCGTATCATGCTCTCATGGCGCAGCTGTTTAGATAGATTAATAGAGAATATCATATGGCTTTTTCAATATCACATCTGTATCAACCCGAGACACCAATATAATCCCAAGAGCTCTGCTTGAGGGATTATATTGGTTGAGGGTTGATACGATGTGTGATATTGAAAAAGCCATATCATATACACTTTATTATATACATATACCATATGTAGATGTTTTTTTAAGTGACATGACGTCATACAGATAAGGAGGTTTGAAATGACGTCATACAGATAAGGAGGTTTGAAATGACGTCATACAGATTATAGGTGTGACATGACGTCATACAGATTAGGGGTTTGATAAAGCCTTTGCAACAGTGACTGCAATCGAAGACGTGACGTCATACAGATTAAAGGTGTGATAAAGCCTTTGCAACCGTGCTGATATCGATATCATCACAGGTGGCTGATACAGCACGCTTGCCAATGATTTTATTACACATACAATTTATCTGTATTTACTACTTAGTATATAATAATATGATTAATTACTTACAAAGTGACTTACATTGTCGTACATCTAAACAATTCAGTTGCTTCTTGCTTCATGCAATTACTATACTATTTATATTGTAACTAGTACTGGACAGTGATTTCTAATGTTTATCTAGATTGATTAGTGAGTTTCATTTTACATTAAAAATGAGCCGTAGGGCGTTGTTATACCTTAACGTTTAAGAAAAGAATATCCCACTTCAATGTGATTGGTAAAATAGGATACAACTCCTGGAAATCTTTGCAGAAAATTGATATTTTATGACGGTATGTAAGTCAGATAATGCATATTTTAAGGTGTTTCTTGTCGTATAGCACCCCTAGGTATGTTATACGACAAGAAACACCTTAAATATGCATTATCTATAACATTATGCATATCAAAACTAAATCAGTATTGATCCCAGACACGAGATTGGCATGACAGCTAATTCTGGGAGAACTTTTAAGTGGTATTTCGGACAAATGAAAACCTAAACAAGGTAACTTGATTTTGTGTCCATTATGGCAGTTTAAAAATTTCTTAAGCAAGTACAAAGTTTGTAGTTTTTTCTTACAGACAAGTAAAATATAAAGTTTATGTTGAACCTTTTTTTTGTTGCAAATTTTTTGGTGAGGAGCTGTATACCTGATGAAGAACACTACAGTAATATATGCTGTGTACACAAAAATATTATTTGTTTTTTATAACTGATATTTTTTATTGATATTTCAAACTTGTTTTGTTATAGAGTAAAGATGGACAAAGACAGTGTTTGGATGTTTGGACCGTTGATAGCAAAGTTACCAAGTCAGGTTCAAGGTCGCATTTTGAAATTAGCAGCACAGGTGTTGGAGACTGGGAATAATGTCATAAATAAAGGAAAATTTGACAAGGAGAGAAATCTAAAGAGGTGAATATGGATTTTTTATGAACTGTTTTTTTCTACTGTGTTCTCTAATATTCCTTCAAGTCTAATTTTTTACCTCTTCATTTTTTGAGTGAAAAAAATTTAATTTGAAATTATGTAATTTTTCTTCATTTGCTAAATTTGATTGTCAGATTTGAAGTGAGCCGGCATAGTTTGAGTTATAGGAAAGTACAGAAGTATGCTGATTTAGTAATAAATTAAAGGATAAATCAGACTTTTGTTTATTTATTTGTACTCTTGTTTTCCGAATTCTGTCCATGGTTCATTTTTGGGGTATTTCACACATCTTTTTTACTAATTGATTATATTTTACCATTACATTTTGCACTGTCGACATTACAGTAAGATTAGTAATTCATAGAGCAAAAGCCAATTGCTGTCTCTGGAGTGATTGTTGGTGTTCATAAATCAGGACTTATCCCTATGTATGATGGTGCTCTGGATTTAGGAGGATCATATTCTCACTATATAACAACATAAACATGACAACAGCCTAGAAAAGAAGGATCACGAATTTCTTCATGTCAGTTAATGCTACAGTTTGTGATGTTGCTGAAAATCTTTAATTTGATCTTTATATATCTAATTAGAGGCTCCTAACCATACAACTTCCATCTGGTAACTTGCATACATACAGAAGAGGAAGTTATTTGATGATTTACTAGACCATTCATTATTTAATAATAGTTTGCTACATCCATGTGAACAAAAAAATTGGCATTGATTTGATTGATATTTAAGTAATAAATAAATACAATGAAATAATGACCATGAAGTCAAGTTGACCAAAATATGAAATATTGTAAACAAGTCTCAGAAAATAATTAGTACATGTATGTGTGAGTATTTTAAAGAAATATGTAAAGTTGGATAATATTTATGTTTTAAAAGAATGAAAAAAAGTGATCTCTAAATACTTTTATTCAAACTAAAAAACTATAAAAGTTTTTGTGTGTTATGACCTGTTCCTTTTTTTTCTCAGTGCATGTCATGATCTGAATTTTCACTTCCAGAGGCTGACAGGCAAGGAAATAGCTATATTGATATTTGATTAAATTTGAAATGATGAAGATGGGAGTGATAATTTTGTTTCTACATTTGGTATAATCATTATTTTTATGCCCCCCTGTAGGCAACAGGGGCATTAAGTGTTACCCTTGACTGTCATTGTGTCTGTCTTTCCTTTCGTCTTTTTGTCCTTCCATCCATCCCATTTTCGTTTCCGCACTCTTACTTAAGTTTGCCTCATGCAAATTTTATGAAACTCATAAACAATGCTAAGAACCAAAACTAGCAGACAGAGTTCGAATTTGGGCAGTGATTCACTTACCATTCTAGAGTTATGCCCATTTTTAACTTGGAAAATTGTAAAGCTTGAGCGGAAGCATTCGTGTCCTCAGGCACATTCTTCTTTTATTTTTTCCACTATTGTAATAGAATTGTTATTGTCTGAAATTTAGGTTCAATTATGATATTTATGTATAGAAAGGGGTAAAAAAATCCAATCAAATTTAACATTTTCTATTTGGATTGTGACTGTTGAAAAATAGAAATTTAAGTAGCCTTAAGGATAACTTTTAGGAAGGATTTAGGGTGACAAAATAGTCACTAGTGTGCTGCCTATAGTGTGTCAAAAGGATTATTTCAGTAAGAAATTGTTAACTATAATACAAGATAATAAGAAAAAAATATAAATGCTCTACTAATAAACATTCTTGTCTGTCTGTAGTGGTCATAGCAGACGTCGTGTTACTCCTTTTCCAGAAAGGTGAAAGTTTAAAATCTCATTCTTTGTCAATTTTGCATAAATTTGGAAAAAAAAGAAGCAAATATAGATACTGACGAAAAATGAGATGTGCAAGAAAGAAAACACAAAGACAAACAATTAGGAACAAATTAATGTTAGATATTGACTTGGTACAGACTCATACATAAAAATTTTCTTAGAGCAAAAAATTTTAAGAACAATAAAAAAAAAATTAAGTTTCTGATTTTATTTAAATCTTTTAATTATATAATGTAAATTTATTTAATTTCTTAGATCACAGTTTTCATGGTTAGACATTTAGTAAGTATAAAAATAAGGAGATGTGGTATGATTGCCAATGAGACCATTATCCACCAGAGACCAACGTTCATTAAGATGTAAACAACTATAGGGCACCAGATGGTCTATAAAACCCATACAGTGTAGTAAGCTTTAAAAGTTTACAGGATAAAAAAATGGGAAACAACTCAAAAGAGAAATCAAAAGCCAGATTTATGCTAAAAATAAAAGGAATCAATAATTACACATAGCAATAAAAACCAACCCCTGAATTACAGGCCCTTTAATTGGGACTGTCACATAAAGAATAATGCATGGTTAAACATGTTTGTGATCCCATAACCATCTCCTAACCTGGGACAGTAGTGAAACAGTACACAAATAGAACAAATTGTAAAAATCAGTGGAAAAGAAGCTAGACTTAAGATTAATAGTAAGGACAAAAGACATAAAGTATGGACCAAAGAGTACTCACAGTTACTAAAAGTTGGTTCAAAGCCCAGTTTCAATAAATGAAAAACCCATGTTTTCCCAGACTGAAATATTAATCAATACATGTTTAATGGATTTAGTATAAAGACAATATAAACAATCTGGGAAAAGCATGACATTTTGCAATTTAAAAAATACAAGAATCCACAGGTTGAAGACAGCAACAAATGCTTTCTCGTGTAACAAACTATTGAAAATAAAATGGTAGTAATGGTAAAGGCAATATTCAATGAGCTTTCTACAATGGTAAATTGATAACCTTTAAGAATAGGTTTACTAGGGACAAATAAATTTACATGAATGGTATCCAAATCTATGAGCCTTATAAACTACATCACATTTATAAAAAGGATTTGATATCCTGTTATAAATTAGTTATTCACAGTTACAGTCAAACTTCCAAACAAAATATTTGTATCCATGCATGAAAGAATTAAGTAAACAGATCTCTGAAAGAATTTAGTAAACAGATCCCTGAAAGAATAAAGTAAACAGATCCCTGAAAGAATTTAGTAAACAGATCCCTGAAATAATTAAGTAAACAGATCCCTGAAAGAATTAAGTAAACAGATCCCTGAAAGAATTAAGTAAACAGATCCCTGAATCAATAATTTAGTATAAGATCCCTGAAAGAATTAAGTAAACATATCCCTGAAAGAATTAAGTAAACAGATCCCTGAAAGAATTAAGTAAACAGATCCCTGAAAGAATTAAGTAAACAGATCTCTGAAAGAATTAAGTAAACAGATCCCTGAAAGAATTTAGTAAACAGATCCCTGAATCAATAATTTAGTAGTTATATACAGACATTGACGTAGCCAACAAGCTGGCAAATAAATTTCACCATAAGAAGGAGCTATAGGAACATCACCATAAAAAAAAGCAAGAAAAAGTAGGGAATGAAAATCTGTCTCTTTTGTCAGAAATTTTAGTATTGAGTTTCCCTTGTGAAATGAAATATTCAAATCAAGAAAAGGAAAATGACCATGTGTTCCTATTCATATAAGATTTTTTTAGAGTCAGTTCCCTGGGGTAAATAAACACATTTTGTAAGTTGAGAATTCTTGATTATTTAAAGCAAAAATATCATCAAGGTAATGGTAAGTTTCATTATATTTTTCCATTAAATGTGATTTAGAAATATGTTGGCTACTAAAGTTTGAGCCTATGTCAGCGATGCTAACACAATATTTTCCTCAAAACATGAAATATTACCTTATGCATGTGAAATTTAGGTACATGTATATAGACTAGTCAATAATATTCAGTTCAATTTAGGAAATGTAATTGTAGAGATTTGGTTCATGATGACACAAATATCATGCATGAGACAAGGTTCTGTTAAGTGATCAATGCTAGCTTTGGGTTAATTACATACAAATTTTGCAGGTAATATTGATTGATTGTTGCTTGTTAAATGTCCAGTGTCAAATAGTTCATGTATATTCAGTATGATTACAGGTAAGATATATATAAACAACTGAATAATTATGAATTGCTTTAAATAAAAAATGCATTCTTTAATTTTTAATACCTGTATATATTTTTTTATAATTTCAGTAAATCCCTATTAGGACACCAGCCTTTCTTGTCACTAGTACTGACCTGTTTAAAGGGACAAGATGAACAGAGAGAAGGACTTTTATGTTCATTACTTCACCAACAGTTCATCAATAATTGTAAAGATGCATTGGTTTGTACCTGTTTAAGAAATATGAATATTGTGTTGACACTTTGGTGATGATGGATTAAATTGGAGTTAATGTCCAGTGGCAACTATTTCTTACATATCAGGAAGAGAACATGTTAATGTAATATGAATATTAACCCTGCTTTGTACTAAATTGACACAATGAGCCAGATTTTGAATATGCAACTGCACAAGGTAACAGTTCGCAGGAAGACATATTACCCTACCCAGACAAATTATTTTGACTTAAAGCTAACCAGTCTTCACTATTCAGGGAGGCAGCAAATACCAATTTTTAAGTCTTAGTATGACTCTATTGGTGATCAAATAAAAACCTCCTGCTCTTGATGCATGTATACTACCATAAGTTGACACTTCATCTGTCTAACTGTAGAACAAGATAATTGATTAAAAGATGAATTATGACTGTGGGTTCCTTTATTTTTTTGTGGGTACCAATATTTGTGGATTGAGGATAAAATGTTATTTGTGGTTTTGTCAAAGTCTACATACTAGCCTATAGAAAATTTCTACTTTTCATTTGTGTATCACTTTTAGCCATAAATCCATGAAAATTGGTATGGAATAATTATTAATCCACAGTATATGGTTGTTTTAATTAGGATTGGTCATAGTTCATACAGAGAAATTTAAAGTTATGATTATTCTTTAATCTAAGATGCACTAAAAATTGGGTAATCTGATTGTCAAAGAAAGAGGCGCACAACTTTATTTCTACCAGAAGGGCCTATGTAAAATAGATTGGTTTCTATAAGGTTGCCATTGCGAAGTGGCATATTAGATATTTGTTTTCAATCTTCTTTGGAAGCACATTGAAAGTTCTTGTTTGACAGTGGGAAACCCCAGAACTGAATACAAAATGTGAACATAACTTATACTTAATTTTCATTTTAGGATAAAACTCCTGATGAATTCAAAGAAAGGCAGAACATACACGAGGCTTTACAATTACGACTTTCCTTGGTAAGTGGCATCAGAACATACACAAGGCTTTACAATTACGACTTTCCTTGGTAAGTGGCATCAGAACATACACAAGGCTTTACAATTACGACTTTCCTTGGTAAGTGGCATCAGAAAATACGTGAGGCTTTACAATTATCACTTTCCTTGGTAAGTGGCATCAGAACATACATGAGACTTTACAATTATGACTTCCCTTGGTGAGTGGCATCAGAACTTACTTGAGGCTTTACAATTACGACTTTCTTTGGTAAGTGGCATCAGAAAATACATGAGGCTTTACAATTATGACTTTCCTTGGTAAGTGGCATCAGAACATACATGAGACTTTACAATTATGACTTCCCTTGGTGAGTGGCATCAGAACATACTTGAGGCTTTACAATTACAACTTTCCTTGGTAAGTGGTATCAGAACATACTTGAGGTTTTACAATTATGACTTTCCTTGGTGAGTGGCATCAGAACATACTTGTGGCTTTACAATTACAACTTTCCTTCGTGGGTGGTATCAGAACATACTTGAGGCTTTACAATTATGACTTCCCTTGGTAAGTGGCACCAGAACATACACGAGGCTTTACAATTACAACTTTTCTTGGTGAGTGGTATCAGAACATACACAAGGCTTTACAATTACAACTTTCCTTGGTAAGTGGCACCAGAAAATACACAAGGCTTTACAATTACAACTTTCCTTGGTGAGTGGTATCAGAACACACATGAGGCTTTACAATTACGACTTTCCTTTGTTAGTGGCATCAGAAAATACACAAGGCTTTACAATTATGACTTTCCTTGGTAAGTGGCATCAGAACATTCATGAGGCTTTACAATTACGACTTTCCTTGGTAAGTGGCATCAGAAGATACATGAGGCTGTACAATTACGACTTTTCTTGGTGGCATCTTATTTTCCTTTCATAGAGAAAAGATACCAAGGGAGTAATTAAAAACCAAGAAAAACTCAATTTTATGGGGAATAAACACAAAACACTGCACTTAAAAGTAAGGATTGAGCAACGTGAACCCCACCAAAAACCAGGGGTGAACTTAGGTGCTCATGTATAAATGCATTTGTGCTAATATGGGACTATGCCAATCAGACTTTTGTGCGGTTAATTTACCAATTTCTAAAATGATACATGTTTTTAGTTTTGTTTATATTCTATTCAATTTTATTGGGAACTAACCCCAATTCCTCACAAAAGTACTTATTTGTCATGCTTGGAAAATTATGACTTATAATTCTATTGATTTATGAGTTTGAAATCATATAATACATAAATGACCTGTCACCTGCTTATTAATTTTTCTGAATGTAAATATAATTGTAGGTGGGTGGTATGTTTGATACAATCCAAAGAAACAACTCTAATACAACAGATTGGACATTTTTGTTACTACAACTGGTTACTAGTGGTATCGTAGACTCTCAATCTAACAGGTAAGTAGTAAAGTACTACAACTGGTCACTACTTATTGGAGTTATTGCCCTTTATTGATGATTTTTAACATTTTTTTGCATTTTTGCCAAATATCTTACAAAAATCTTCTCCTCTGAAACTACTGGGTGAAATTTTACCAAACTTGGCCACAATCATTATTGGTATATACTGTTTGAAAAATGTCCGATGACCCGGCCTGCCAACCAAGATGGCCAACATGGCTATAAAATAGAAGATAGGGCCTGGGATTATCTTTAAAACCATTATGAATAGAGAAAATCTAACAGGGTCATGAATGTTGAGATCTACCTGCTGTCCATTTACACCAACACTGTCAGACGACTTGTAGGAGTTATTGCCCTTAAATATCAAATTTTATCAATTTTTTATGGTTTTAAAAATTATGATAGTTAAAAAGAAACTTTTGTTAGGCAAAATTGTTTGCAATTCAAGATCTACAAATAAGTTAACATGTCTGAAAATCGTCAAAAGATCTTTTTTTTAATTATTACTCTTTAATGACGATTTTTACCAATTTTTGTGTTTTTGCCTGACAACATAAAAAACTATAAAAGATAGATTGAAACTTTAAAAAAGAAAAATTATCAGCAGGACAAGATCTACAAATAAGTCAACATGATCGAAATCTTCAGTTGACTCCTTATTGAAGTTATTGCCCTTTCATGATGATTTTTGTCTCGCCTGCGACGAAAGTCGCGGAAAGCAAGACATAGGGATTGCTTTTCCAGCAAAGGTGTCAACAATTGTTAAGTTTTCTGCTTATGCTAGTTTGATAGGAACAACTTGTGATAGATCATTGATAATTTGTATGAAGATGCATTACTACCAGTACATATCAGTTTGACAACAGTTTTTAGTCCCTGTCCCCTAGGCCATGGTCCAGTGACTTTGAATTAAATATCCATTTTGGATGTTAAGTTTTCTGCACAAGTTAGTTTCATAGGAACTACTTGTGATAATTCAATGACATTTTCTATAAAGTTGCATTACTATCGGTACATATCAGTTTGACGACTAATTCAAGGCCCTGCCCCCTAGGTCATGGTCCAGTGACTTTCAATCAATTAACAATTTTCAATGTTAAGTTTTCTGATTGAATTAGTTTGATAGGAACTACTTACAATAGACAATATTTTCTATACAGTTACATTGCTGTCTGTACATCTCAGTTTGTCAACCATTTCAAGGCCCTACCCACTAGTTGGTCCAGCCATTTTTAATTAATTAGCAATGTTGCTGTCCATCAGATTGTCTTTTTCTGAATTTTATGCGGACAGGCAAGACATATCTCTGTGTCAACAGTTTATTATAAAAAAGTAGCCATTGTTGAAGATGCAGGTGAGGGACACAGGTTCTTAATAGCCTTAGTCTAGTTGCTAATTTTTATGATTAAAAAGAAATAGGGCAATGCATCACTGAGAGAGTGACACAACTACACATAAAACACAATGAGATGTGTAGTCTTCAACAATTGACAAGTATAGCATATGCCAACAACACATAAAACACAATGAGATGTGTAGTCTTCAACAATTGACAAGTGTCTATAGCATATGCCAACTACACATAAAACACCATGTGATGTGTAGTCTTCAACAATAGACAAGTGTCTGTAGCATATGCCAACTACACATAAAACGCCATGAGATGTGTAGTCTTCAACAATAGACAAGTGCCTGTAGCATATGCCAACTACACATAAAACACCATGAGATGTGTAGTCTTCAACAATTGACTAAGTGTCTGTAGCGCACATAAAACACCATGAGATGTGTAGTCTTCAACAATTGACAAGTGTCTATAGCATATGCCAACTGCACATAAAACACCTTAAGATGTGTAATCTTCAACAATGGACAAGTGTCTATAGCATATGCCAACTGCACATAAAACACCATGAGATGTGTAGTCTTCAACAATGGACAAGTGTCTATAGCATATGCCAACTGCACATAAAACACCATGAGATGTGTAGTCTTCAACAATGGACAAGTGTCTATAGCATATGCCAACTACACATAAAACACCATGAGATGTGTAGTCTTCAACAATGGACAAGTGTCTATAGCATATGCCAACTGCACATAAAAAAAAAGGTCTTGAGGTCTTTATGCCCCTGCCGCTAGGCGTCGGGGCCATTTAGTGTTACCCTTGTCCGTCCGTCCAGAAATGGGTTTCCGTTCTCCAACTTAAGTTTGCCAACCAAATGTTTTAAAACTTATACACAATGCTTATTACCACCAAACACAGATCAAGTTCAAAATTGGGTGGCATCACTTTTACCGTTCATGAGTTATGCCCCTTTATAGACATAGAAATTGCTGAATTTTTCTTTTCCGTTCTCTAACTTTAGTTTACCTCAGCCAAATGTTATAAAACATATACACAATACTTATTACCACAAAACGCAGATCAAGTTTGAAATTGGGTGGCGTCACTTTTACCGTTCATGAGTTATGCCCCTTTATAAACATAAAAATTGCTGAATTTTTTGTCTCCGTTCTCTAACTTTAGTTTGCCTCAACCAAATATTATAAAACTTATACACAATGCTTATTACCACAAAACACAGAAATTGGGTGTCGTCACTTTTACTGTACTTGAGTCCCCCTTTATAAATGGAAAAATTGCTACATCTGTCGTTTCCGTTCTCTAACTTTAGTTTGCCTCAATCAAATTTATACACTGCTTATAATCACAAAAGACGGTCTTAATAATGTGAATCCTGCATCTGTATGTGGAAGTTGACTCATGCATATTTACAAGCGGGGGCATCTGTGGCCCATAGACACATACACCATTTATTTCAAAAGAGAATTTTCCATACAATGTGTGAAACTCTTAATCATCTTTTAAAAAAAAGTAAATACAAGTGGGGAATTAATTCTTAACCTCAAACAGCAAATATAATGACATATTCAATTTTTGATTGCAGTGAATTATTTACTAACATTTTGGATATGTTGTGTGTACTGATACATGGAACTCTTGTTAATGATGGAATGGAAAAAGGAGAAGAAAATACGAAGGCCTACACAACATTGATCAAAAAGCTGAGGGTAAGTTAACAAATGATCAGAAAATTGAAATTAAGTGAGGAAAAAATAACATTCATTCTACATACATTCTGTCACTTGTTTTTATTTTGCGGTCGTATATTAGTATGACGTTGGCGGCGTCGTCGTCATCCGGCGTCATCCGAAGACACATTGGTTTTCGCACTTTAACTTTAGTTTAAGTGAATGGATCTCTATGAAATTATACCATAAGGTTCAATACCACAAGAGGAAGGTTGGGATTGATTTTGGGGGTTATGGTACTAACAGTTAAGGAATTAGGGGCCAAAAATAAGCATTTTTGTAACTTCCAGACATAACTTGTGTGTTAGTGTATGGATCTCTCTGACATTGTACCACAAGGTTCCATATCACAAAGGGAATGCTGGGATTGATCTTGGGGGTAATTGCCTCAAAATATTAGGAATTAGGGGCAAAAAACAAGCATTTTTCTAGTTTCATGACAACAACTTGTGTGTAAGTGTATGGATCTTTCTGAAATTGTACTACAAGGTTCCATATCACAAAGGGAAAGCTGGAATTGAGTTTGGGGGTAATTGCCCAAAACGTTTAGGAATAAGGGGCCAAAAATAAGCATTTTTCTAGTTTCCAGACAATAACTTGTGTTCAAGTGTATGGATCTCTCTGAAATTGTACCACAAGGTTCCATATCACACAGGGAATGCTGGGATTGATTTTGGGGGTAATTGCCTCAAAATATTAGGAATTAGGGGCCAAAAAAGGGGCAAAAAACAAGCATTTTTCTAGTTTCATGACAATAACTTGTGTGTAAGTGTATGGATCTTTCTGAAATTGTACTACTGGTACAAGGTTCCATATCACAAAGGGAAAGCTGGAATTGAGTTTGGGGGTAATTGCCCAAAACGTTTAGGAATAAGGGGCCAAAAATAAGCATTTTTCTAGTTTCCAGACAATAACTTGTGTTCAAGTGTATTGATCTCTCTGAAATTGTACTGCAAGGTACCATACCATAAAGGGAAGGCTGGGATTAATTTTGGGGGTAATTGCTTCAAAATTTAAGGAATTAGGGGCCAAAAAAGGGGCAAAAAACAAGCATTTTTCTAGTTTCAGGACAATAACTTATGTGTAAGTGTATGGATCTTTCTGAAATTGTACTACAAGGTTCCATATCACAAAGGGAAAGCTGGGTTTGAGTTTGGGGGTAATTGCCATAAACGTTTAGGAATTAGGGGCCAAAAAAGGGCCAAAAAACAATCATTTTTCTAGTTTCCAGACAATAACTTGTGTTCAAGTGTATGGATCTCTCTGAAATTGTACTGCAGGAACCATACCACAAAGGGAAGGCTGGAATTGAGTTTGGGGGTGATGAATCATAAGGGGATTCAAAACATTTGGGGAGGGGGGGATTTTTTTTTCTTTAAAATTTTCCATTTTAAATTGGTTATTTCTGATTTATATATAAAAGCAAATAATAATGATATGGTTTGAAAAGGTAAATTAAAATTTTTTAAGTTCGAAGACCACATTCATTCTGTGTCAGAAACCTGTGCTGTGTCAAATATTTAATCACAATCCAAATTCAGTGCTGTATCAAGCTTGAATGTTGTGTCCATACTTGCCCCAACTGTTCAGGGTTCGACCTCTGCGGTCGTATCAAGCTGCACCCAGCGGAGCATTTTATTTTAATGGCAACGAGTTAATCATTTTTACATTGTACACTATGAAAAGTCACTATTGAAAAACAAAATTATTCATGTGCTATGTCACTTTTTTGCATGAATTTTTAAAGAATCTGGATTTGTTTCTAATTCTATTTATTCACTTTGCAGAAAGAGTTCAGTGACAAATTACAGTCGGAGTCATTAGACAAAATCAGACAGTTACTTCCCCTTCCTAAGCGATATTATGAAGTTATTGTTTGTGAACCCCATGGCACACAAGTTGATAGTAAAGGCAATAAATATGATGGATTTGGCAAAAAACAGGTTAGTTATTGGTTTGTTCATACAGGTAAAAATGTTATAAAACCTTGGTTTGTGTAAAACTTTGATCATTTCATAAGGGATTATCATTGAAGATATAGAAGAATGTCATATTATACTCCCACTCCCATCCATTCAGCCAACAGATATTTTTGTCACCATGTTTTCAGAAACCGCTCCACAGAATGGCTTCATATTTGGCCAACACTTTGGCAGTAATGAGTTTTTATGTGTGAGCACTTTTTAGAACTGTCAATACCTACTTCCTGTTTGCTGATACTTTGAATTTTTTCAATATGTCCAATAAACTTAAAAGTTTTTCATCACACATTTCTCCAATACTATTGAACAAAATGACTCCATATTTTGTGAGTAGCTAGTGATGAGTTGTAACATGTGTAGTATTTTTTTATGTGTTGGACACCCACTTCCTGTTAACTTTGAATTATGAGAGGGGTATGCATAGCACGACATTGCATGCTTTCTTGTAGTTCAGAATGTTTGGTAATGATTTTCAACAGCAAGGTTCCAAAATAATTTATAAATACTAACAGACATTTGCTAAAGAAGTATTACTAAACCAGAAAAAATATTTCTGTACTTGATTTTGAGATATCAGGATGTAAAAGAAATTGTGGGAAATAGGAATTCTCTTATTTTTTCATATATTTTGTATAGAGATGTGTCAAAAGAAAACTAACAACTGTTTGAACCATAGCTTGCCTGTTGCAAGGTAATATTTCTGTCCCTATCCAACATCCCCTCATTCTCTAGTTCACTCATTCATCCTGGATGACCAACTTTCCAATCATTCAATTGTAATTTTTGTTCATTTTTTCCTCGTCCTGAATATAAATGAAATATTTGCCACTGAATGTTAAACAAACAACCATTAATTTATGTTTTCACAAAAATAAAAACTAATTTTCTTTCAATATTTTAGGGATTTCAAGTATCAAAGAAGGAGAGGATCAGTCCGTGGGAAGTTATAGAGGGATTTAAATATCCACCACCTTTATCATGGACATTCTTTGGTGCCGTTAGGTTAGAGAAGAAACCGCTGAAATATGAGGAACAACACAGGTAATATTCTAATGAGTAACACTGCTGTTTACTATCTCACCCATGTTACCAAAACATTGATAGGCATTGAGATGAAAGTTGCTGTGTAAAATCAATGTCACATTGCCTATGAAAACATTACAATTTTTAAATGAATCGGGCTATATGTTTTTGAAATAAAAAAAATGGGTATGGACTTAATTTGTTTAGAATAGCACTCATAATAAAGACTGTATGTAAATGGTTTTATCATCTCATTTCATTCATGATAAAGACCAAAATGAAGTGAAATAAGTCCTTTTGTTGGGGCTTTTTGTAGAATTGTGTTTTATGACTCCTATCATTCAACCATCTCTTCTGCTACTATTGATTTGAGTTAACTTTAATTAGAAAGTTTCCCTTCATCATTTATAGACATTCAGAGGTCACCATATGGTCTCAAATGATGGACAAATGACCAGGCCATTGTACTCTACATCTTGACCGTGAATAAACTCAACAGTGATGATTATGATGGATTGTTGTTTAATGTCCAGTGGCAAATATTACATGCATATTAAACAAGAACATGTTAATATGAAATGAATAGGAATCTTGCTTTGTATTAGAACCCCTTTTTTATACGACCGCAAAAAAATTTTTGTGGTCGTATATTGGTATGACGTTGGCGTCGTCGTCGTCCGGCGTCGTCGTCGTCGTCCGGCGTCTCTGGCGTCGTCCGAAGACACATTGGTTTTCGCACTCTAACTTTAGTTTAAGTGAATGGATCTTTATGAAATTTTACCACAAGGTTCAATACCACAAAAGGAAGGTTGGGATTGATTTTGGGGGTTATGGTAATAACAGTAAAGGAATTAGGGGCCAAAAAGGGGCCAAAAATAAGCATTTTTGTAACTTCCTGACATAACTTGTGTGTTAGTGTATGGATCTCTCTGACATTGTACCACAAGGTTCCATATCACTAAAGGAATGCTGGGATTGATTTTGGGGGTAATTGCCTCCAAATTTTAGGAATTAGGGGCCAAAAAAGGGGCAAAAAACAAGCATTTTTCTAGTTTCATGACAATAACTTGTGTGTAAGTGTATGGATCTTTCTGAAATTGTACTACAAGGTTCCATATCACAAAGGGAAAGCTGGGTTTGAGTTTGGGGGTAATTGCCCTAAACGTTTAGGAATTTGGGGCCAAAAAGGGGCCAAAAATAAGCATTTTTTCTAGTTTCCAGACAATAACTTGTGTTCAAGTGTATGGATCTCTCTGAAATTGTACTGCAAGGTACCATACCACAAAGGGAAGGCTGGGATTGAGTTTGGGGGTGATGAATCATAATGGGGGTTCAAAAAATTTTGGGGGGGGATTTATTTTTTTTTTTCCTTTTTTTTCTTTTTTTCCTTTTTTGTTTCTTTTAAAATTTTCCATTTTAAGTTGGTTATTTCTGATTTATATTTAAAATCAAATAATAATGATATGGTAGGAGATACACACCAAACAGGATGTGTAAATTATTATATAATAAGTATTGTGCAATAGCAAGAAATTTTCAATTGCACAGTATTGCACAATAGCAAGAAATCTTCAATTGCACAGTATTGCGCAATAGCAAGAAATCTTCAATTGCACAGTATTGCGCAATAGCAAGAAATATCCAATAGCACAATATTGCGCAATAGCAAGAAATTGTCAATTGTACAGTATTGCGCAATAGCAAGAAATATTTAATAGCACAGGATTGTGCAAAAGAAGATACTTCCTATAAATTGCTTATTTCTTGACCAATTTCAATGGGGTTTTATTCTTGATTTCATGGGGTTCTTTAATATGCTGAATCTAACCGTGTATTTAGTTTTTGGATTTTGGGCCCCGTTTTTAAATTGGTCCACATTGAGGTCCAAAGGGTCCAAAATTAAACTTTGTTTGATTTCATCAAAAATTGAATTATTGGGGTTCTTTGATATGCCGAATCTAACTGTGTATTTAGATTCTTAAATTTTGGTTCCGTTTTCAAATTGGTCTACATTAAGGTCCAAAGGGTCCAAAATTAAACTTAGTTTGATTTTAACAAAAATTGAATTCTTAGGGTTCTTTGATATGCTGAATCTAAACATGTATTTAGATTTTTGATTATGGGCCCAGTTTTCAAGTTGGTCCAAATCGGGGTCCAAAATTAAACTTTGTTTGATTTCAACAAAAATTGAATATATGGGGTTCTTTGATATGCTGAATCTAACCATGTATTTAGATTTTTGATTTTTGGGCCCCGTTATCAACTTTGTCCACATTGAGGTCAAAAGGGTCCAAAATTAAACTTTGTTTGATTTCATCAAAAATTGAATTCTTGGGGTTCTTTGATATGCTGAATCTAACCATGTATTTAGATTTTGGATATTGGACCATAATAGGTGAATGTCCAATTTAAAATTTTTAAGTTCTTAGACCACATTCAATCTGTGTTAGAAACCTATGCTGTGTCAAATATTTAATCACAATCCAAATCCAAAGCTGTATCAAGCTTGAATGTTGTGTCCATACTTCCCCCAACTGTTCAGGGTTCGACCTCTGCGGTCGTATCAAGCTGCGCCCTGCGGAGCATTTTATTACATGCTAGTTCACAGGAATTATTCTGACTCGAAGCCATCCCATCTTTGCTCTTACTCCTAAATGCTGCTGGCTTAGAGAAGATGCAGCAAATGCTAATTTTAGGTCTTTGGTTTCATACGACTGGGGGTCAAACCCACATCCTTCTGCACTCGACCACAAGTCCACCAAGGCTAAATCTCAACAGAGATGATCTGACGCCAACACCAAATTCTCTTATTTGGAATGGGAATTAACATAGAATAGGTTGACTTGACTCAACCTCTGTATATCAGTCAAATGTGGCAGTGGTTCAATAGAAATAATTTAGACCAAGTAGATTTTGTTTATCCAGAAACAATCTTGATATCTAGATTTGGTTTAAATCAGTTAAAAAGAGGACATTGTGATGTATTATTTAGTGTAATATTTTTCCATTTCAGAGTACAACTATACCATACACATGCATTAAGGAAGAATCTTAGCTATTTCTTAGAACCACCAAACTTGCCACCCGAAGATTTAGAACCTCTTCAAGAGAAAGTGGTTAGTTATTAGTATAAAAGTTCAATTGTATTTCTAAAAACTTTGGAAATTTTAATATTCTCAATCAATCTTAAAGTAAAAGTTGATGCTTAAAAATGGTTGCATAGGGCTTTGAACTGTAATTGACCTTTGGCATCATACAACGATCACTTTTGTACTACTGCATCAACAACATTTATAGGAATGTTTGAAATATTGTTTAAGTAGTATAGGTTCATTACCTGTGTATTTTAAATGTCAAGCATAAGGCATATAGGTTCATTACCTGGGTATCTATTGTCAAATATAAGGTCATAGGTTAGTTACCTGGGTATTTAATGTCAAACATAAGGCATATAGCTTTATTACTGGGGTATTTTATGTCAAACATAAGGTCATAGGTTAGTTACCTGGGTATTTAATGTCAAACATAAGGCATACAGCTTTATTACCTGGGTGTTTAATGTCAAGCAAAAGGTCATATAGGTTTTTAGTCCCCTACTGACGAAGTCAAAGGAGTCTTTAGGTTTGCACTCCATCTGTCCGTCTGTCCATCCGTCAGTCCGGCAAATCAGCTTTCCACACTTTTTTTCTTCGTTCTTGAAGATATTGATTTGATATTTGGTATATAGTTTTATCATGACAAGTTATAGATCAAGTTCGAATTTTGTTCCAGTCTGATGATTTAGTCCAGAGTTATGGACCATAACTCTGGACCATATCTAATGATAAAGTACTATGTTAAACCATATTTCTGTACAAAGGGAGATAACTCATTTTTTAAAAGACATTCTTTGTTAAATTATTTGAAGAATTTTTTGACAGGTTTGTTTGTTATTTAGTATAAACTAATTTTCTGAATGCTATATATATCAAAAAAAATTATGAAGAGAAATCCTTTAATTAGATAATAATCTATTTTTATTAATGTATATATTTCAATACATTACATTGTGTAGATAAAAGTTGTTGACATTTTATAGATAAGTTATAAATCTATATTAGTTTGTGACACATGAAAGAAAAAAATATTTGGAACTATTAATTATATCTGATTATAATTTGAAATAGATATTCAATGTATTACATCATATCTAATTCTAGAGAACTATTAATCATATCTAATGGTTTTTTCATCATGCTTATAAGATATTGATTGATAATTGGTATATAGATTTATCATGACAAGTTACAGATCAAGTTCAAATTTTTGTTTCGGTCTAATAATTTTGTGCAGAGTTATTGTCTTTGGACTTGAAAAATTCACTCATATAATCAGTTTTCAACACTGTTTTAGTCATGCTTTAAGATATTGACATGATATTTACTTACACCATGACAAGTTATAGAACAAGTTAGCATTTCGTTCCAGTATAATGAATTTTTACCCGGTAGGGGACTATGTATTGCCATGCAATACTCTCAGAATGCTTGTTTACGTGGGTATTTAATGTCAAGCATAAGGTCATATAGGTTTTTTATGTGGGTATTTAATGTCAAACATAAGGCATATAGCTTTATTACCTGGGTGTTTAATGTCAAGCAAAAGGTCATATAGGTTTTTTACGTGGGTATTTAATGTCAAGCATAAGGTCATATAGGTTTTTTATTTGGGAATTTAATGTCAAACATATGGCATATAGCTTTATTACCTGGGTGTTTAACTTCTTATCTACCACAGGTACCTTTACAGTTCACTACTACACACTGCTGATTAGTTAGCTACTGCAGCTGAATTGTAGGTTAACTACCAGAGATAATTTGCAGTGAGAGAATTTTTCACAAATTGTTAAGGCTGTGTTATGAGTACTCTAATTAAATGTTTAATTAATCAGTATTTATTGTATATTAATTGAAATTTTCATTATCAAGCTTGAAAGCTGCCGTAAACAGACGAAAAAGTTTTCAAATTATTTGTCCATGTTTGGCTTCTTCATCCTCGGAAGACTCGCAATCTTGTTCTGACAATCTAAATTATTTAATTTAGCTTGTCGGAACAAGATATACTTCCAATTTTGCTTTCTAATTGCATAAATCCTTCAAATTCTTCACTTTCACTATACGATTTGAACAAAGAAGCCCATTCATCCGCCATTGTTTTAATCACATTCCGAACACGTGTAAAATTCATCATAATTATATGTAAACACACACTTTTTATAGAAAAGGAATGTACGAGTTGAAAGATTATTCATTTGTAAAACTGAATTTCATTGGTGCATTTAGGGATTCCCCAACAGTTTTGTCCAATCTAAAGGGTTTTAACAATGGTATATTTTACGGAAATATCCGTCACTGGGACTGCGCAAGTGTATGTTAACAGCGGATCTATCAGTCACTGCGAATACACGCTTGATTATGCAAGCGGATTTATCAGTCACTGCGGACAGAACGATGATAAAAACCGCGTATATATCCCTCAGTGGTAGATAAAGAGTTAATGTCAAGCAAAAGGTCATATAGGTTTTTTACCTGGGTATTTAATGTCAAGCATAAGGCATATAGGTTTATTACCTGGGTACTTAATGTCAAGCCATGCATCAAAAGAGTTTAAATTGTAAGACATGTATAATTGGTGTATCTGTTAACTTTAGGAAGAAAAGCCTAAAGAACCAACAGAAACAGCTGTTGTAGATAAGAAAAGACCAAAGAAGAAACCAAAAAGATCCAACAGTGGAAGTGGTGGAGGTTTCATCCAGGTTTGTAGAACATTTTGTTTAATTTTATGCCCTATAGTGTGTTTTTTTTAGCGGGGTGAAATTTCTTGATTAAGGAGCAACAATGTATAGGAAAAATTTGTCAGATTCTTAATTCCCAATTAAATATTTTGGCAGATACTGAAATGGTTGAAGTTAAACAGTTGTGAAAACAGTAAATAATATCTTTGCTGTAGTTCTGTATAAATACAAGAAATTAAAAGAAATAATCATTTTAATAGTAAAAAGAAATACATATGGAAAATGATAGTGTTTATTAAAATTATCAAGAGTGACTAACAACTCTTTAACACTAATTACAGTAGAATACCTGACAGAGTACCTAACACTCTTATATTGTTTAACACTTATTAATAAGGGTATACATACCTGACAGAATGTGAAAGAGAAACTCAGTTTAATTAAAATGTATAAAAAAAACGTTAATGTTGTTTAATCTGAAATTTACCATTTTTGGTCTGCCATCTGGAAAAAAAATAAATCATTCACAAAGCACTTTAGCAATTAGAAATTACCGTATGCATACATTTTCGTGGAATTGATTTTAACGATTTTTATTTATCTGCCAAAATAAATGAAAATAACCTGCTATACAGTATCTCATTCAAGTAATTGAGAGATTTTTTTATTTCTTATCTCTTTATTTCATGCTTTTTTTTTAAAGTATAAGATAGACTTGTTTGGTGTATAAAAAAAAAAAAGTACTGAACACTTTATCAAAGAAAGTACTTTGAAAATACTAATGATACATGTAGCTACAGATAATAGCAGCTGGTATTTGTATTTTATATTTTTTATTATGCCCCCGCCGTAGCAGTGGGGGCATTAAGTTTTACCCTTGTCCGTCTGTACATACGTACATACGTACGTACGAACGTACATCCCAAAATTGGTTTCCATTCTCTAACTTGAGTTTGCCTCAACCAAATGTTATGAAACTTATACACCATGCTTATTACCACAAAACACAGATTAAATTTGAATTTTGGTGGCATCACTTTAAACGTTCTAGAGTTATGCCCCTTTATAAATGGAAAAATTGCAAAATTTTTAGTTTCAGTTCTCTAACTTAAGTTTGCCTCAACCAAATGTTATGAAACTTACCCACAATGCTTATTACCACAAAACTCAGATCAAGTTCAAATTTAGGTAGCGTCACTTTTACCGTTCTTCAGTTATGTCCCTTTATAACTATATGATATGCAAGTGGGGGCATCATCTCCATAAAATTGGAGTTATCTTCCTTTGTCCATGATTATAGTTGAATCAACTACAATCAATGCTTTATACAATGCAATAATTTTGACTTCCACTGATAAAACACAGATCAAGTTGAATTTGGGTAGTGTCACTTTAACCATTATTGAGTTATGCCCCTTTATAAATCGAAAGATTGCAAAATTTTTAGTTTCCATTCTGTAACCAAACATTATGAAACCTATACACAATATTCATTACCACAAAACTAAGATCAAGTACAAGTTTTTGTTTTTTCCGTTTTCTAACTTTAGTTTGCCTCAACCAAATGTTATGAAACTTATACACAATGCTTATTACTACATAATACAGATTAAGTATGAAATTTGGTGGCGACACTTTTACCATTCTTGAGTTATGTCCCTTTATAAACATAAAAATTGCTGAATTTTTCGTTTCCGTTCTCTAACTTTAGTTTGTCTCAACCAAATGTTATAAAACTTATACACAACCGTTCTAGAGTTATGTGTGTTTACAAATAGAAAAATTGCTGAATTTTTAGTTTCTGTTCTCTTCTTAAGTTAGCCTCAACCAAATGTTATGAGACTTACACACAATGCTTATTACCACAAAACTCAGATCAAGTTCAAATTTGGGTAGCGTCACTTTTACAGTTCTTCAGTTATGTCCCTTTATAACTATATGATATGCAAGCGGGGGCATCATCTGTGTCCACATGTGGACACTATCCACATTTATTTTTAAAAAGAGTGAGCCATATTTTTATATATATATTGGAATTTCAATAGAGGATCGGATGGGGTCGCGTCATCACAGATTCACTTTGGAGCATTGCTCACCTAGTTTTTTTTAATGAAAAATTAAATTAATAACAAGGAACTAAGCAAATTAGCTTATAACTACATATTAATGACTGATTCTCAGTTATTAAATTTCTTACATGATCTGTGAAAATTACAAATGGTTAGAGCTTAAAAAAAGTAAGGTAAATATTTTGTAGTTCAATAACTATTTTCTATTTCCAGGCACCGATGGGTGGATATGGGAGCCGTATGGACTACCAACCAGGACCACCTCCAAGTTGGGGATCCATGCCACAACAGCCAACCCAACCTAATTATTATTCTCCAATGGCCCAAGGTCCAGGTATGAACAAATTTAAAAAAACAACAAAATACCAAATATCAAAAGCATTAATTGTTCAAAACTTACTCACAGAAGTGGATATCAGATAATGTAAAGTAACTTTTTCAAGGTCAATTATATGACCTTGTTCTATGTGTGACTCAAACAGTGACCTTGACATTCCATGTGGGACTGGTGCAGATCCTTATGTCAATATTGTGAATATATTTTTGTTTGTATATTACAATTTTCAAGGTTTGTTCAAAAAAATGTTAAGTTTGAATTTACAGTTTCAGATACATTGTAACGCATATCATATTCTACATTCTGCTGAGTGTCATCCACAAAAATTAAAATTACAAAAAGTAAAGCTTCACACCAAACATCAAATAAAAGTCTAAGTATATTTTGCAGTGTGAAGCATTTTAACATTTAATTCTAGGGCCTAGATTTGCACCTTCACCATATAATTCCAAAGCAGCCATTCAGTCTATGTTACGTGGGAGGGGGAATACCTACCCTATGGGAGGAACTACTCAGCCATCGTTAAAACAACTCCAGATGATTCAGCAACAACAGCAGTCTCAGATGGTCAGAGCACAGATAAGAAATCAAGTCAATCGTATGTCTGAAATGACTCCATATGCTCGACAGATACCTGGGCCAGGAATGCACTTAAATCAACAACCAGGTAATATTGTCTATATTTGGAAAAAGAAGCTAAAATTGTCAATATAGCATACACATTTTTAACAATATGTTTTTTTCAGAAGTATATTTAAAAAAAAACTGGTAAAATGTCAATCTTCCAATGGGCAGGATTTTGGGGATTATTTTCCATATGAAGTAAAATTCTAAAAGGAGACATAATAACATCAACAGTGTTTGTTGTGGTGGTTTGTTGTCATTTTTATGCCCCCGCCGTAGCGGTGGGGGCATTAAGTTTTACCCTTGTCCGTCTGTACGTACGTCCCAAAATTGGTTTCCGTTCTCTAACTTGAGTTTGCCTCAACCAATTGTTATGAAACTTATACACAATGCTTATTACCACAAAACACAGATCAAGTTTGACTTTTGGTTGCCTCACTTTAACCGTTCTAGAGTTATGCCCCTTTATAAATGGAAAAATTGCAAAATTTTTAGTTTCTGTTCTCTAACTTAAGTTTGCCGCAACCAAATGTTATGAAACTTATACACAATGCTTATTACCACAAAACACAGATCAAGTTTGAATTTTGGTGGCATCACTTTAACCGTTCTAAAGTTATGCCCCTTTATAAATGGAAAAATTGCAAACTTTTTAGTTTCTGTTCTCTAACTTAAGTTTGCCTCAACCAAATGTTATAAACTTATACACAATGCTTATTACCACAAAACACAGATCAAGTTTGAATTTTGGTTGCGTCACTTTAACCGTTCTAGAGTTATGACCCTTTATAAATGGAAAAATTGCAAAATTTTTATTTTCTTCTAAAGATCAAGTTATTTTAAAATTGGAGTTATCTTCCTTTGTCCATGATTATAGTTGAACCAAATACAATCAATGCTTTATACAATGCAATGTTTAATTTTGACTTCCACTGATAATTCACAGATCAAGTTGAATTTGGGTAGTGTCACTTTAACCATTATTGAGTTATGCCCCTTTATAAATCGAAAGATTGCAAAAAATTTTTTCCATTCTGTAACTTAAGTTTGCCTCAACCAAACATTATGAAACCTATACACAATTTTCATTACCACAAAACTAAGATCAAGTACAAATTTTTTGTTTCCATTTTTTATCTTTAGTGTGCCTCAACCAAATGTTATGAAACTTATACACAATGCTTATTACTACATAATACAGATTGTGTACGAAATTTGGTGGCGACACTTTTACCATTCTTGAGTTATGTTCCTTTATAAACATAAAAATTGCTGAATTTTTCGTTTCCGTTCTCTAACTTTAGTTTGTCTCAACCAAATGTTATAAAACTTATACACAACCTTCTAGAGTTATGCGTGTTTACAAATAGAGGAAAAATTGCTGAATTTTTAGTTTCTGTTCTCTACTTAAGTTAGCCTCAACCAAATGTTGAGACTTACACACAATGCTTATTACCACACAGATCAAGTTCAAATTTGGGTTGCGTCACTTTTACTGTTCTTCAGTTATGTTCCTTTATAACTATATGAAATGCAAGTGGGGGCATCATCTGTGTCCACATGTGGACACTATCCACATTTATTTGCTATTCTTTTTATCCTTTTTTGTATTATTTCATAAAATTTCCAAGTAAAAATTATTATAGGGGTTAAAAATATGTAAGGCAGGGTTACAGACACCAAAAGTATAAAATATGTTTGCCTTGTATTGTTATTGTTTTACCTGTAAGTATATGAGATGAAGTAAAGTTCCTATAGTTGTCAAACTTAAAAGATCCATTGATATCAGTATCAAGTAGTGATTACTTTTTGCTCTTACCACAGTTGAAAGATACCATCTTTTGAAATCCTTGAAGGATACATATTTGGACAGAACAAATTGTATATTATATTTTTGTTGACATTTTGTACAAAGCTATCACCATTTTGTTTTAGGAATAAATCAGAACTATAATCAACCCTACAGTATGCCTCCACAACCAGCTGCAACAGGGGATATAACAGGAAGCCAGATTATGCCACAGGGCTTTAACCAATCATATCAGAGCTCTCAGAATCCTACTATGTTACAGCCAATGGGGAATCAACAGGGATACATGTCACAACAACCCCATCAACAGCAGTTTAATACAAGGTAATGTCAGTAGCACAAAAAAAACCTTTATCAGTTAAAAAAATCTATTTAAGTAATGCACATTGCAGAAAAATAGGGTAGATATGTAACATAATTTTATTTTAAATATATAAGTGATGTGTCATTATATGACTGCAAAAAATTGAAGGAAATTAAAAAATTAGGAATTAGGGGCCAAAAAGGGGCCCAAATAAGCATTTTTCTAGTTTCCAGACATTAACTTGTGGAACAGTGTATTGATCTCTCTGAAATTATACCACAAGTTTCTATACCACAAAGGGATGGTTAGGATTGGCTTTGGGGGGTTATGGCTCAGACCCTTTGGAAATTAGGGGCAAAAAAGGGGGAAAAACAAGGGTTTCTTGGTTAATGGACAATTAAAAAAAGTACAATGTTATGTTTGGATTACCTCCCTTACATTGCTTTTAAATTATGTATAAAGAAATGTTGTATTGTCTTGAAGTGAATAGCTGTCAATTTATTTTTAGAAGTTACTATTTAAAAATGCTGATTAAGGAATATTAATTTTAGCTATAATTATGTATGTCATTTTCTATTTTGAGACTTTTATGATGTATTTAAATGGGTAAATATGGTTGCAAACTCCATTGACTATATCTTGAGGGAAAAAAAAATTTGGGGGGGAAAAGGGGGGGGGGGGAGGTGAGAAAAACAATTGTGGGGGTGGGGGGGGGGGGGGGTAAAAAAGAAATTGTGAGGGGGGACAATTGTTTCTCATTTCAGATTTCAGAAAATAAAAAGAAAATTTCTGTGGGAGGGGGGGGGGGGGTCAATTCGCAACAGCATAGTGTATTGCACAAAAGCAAAAAAATTGAATATAAATTCAAATTATATAACCAATTCTAAGTTCTTTGACTACAGTTATGCTGTGTCAGAAACCTATTATGTGTCAAATATTTAGTTACAATCCAAATTCAGACCTGTATCAAGCGCAGATATTGTGTCCATTTTTGCCCCAACTGTTCAGGGTTGGACCTCTGCAGTCATATCCAGCTGCGCTCAGCGAAGCAACTTATTTTTCAAATGTGATCAGAGCTATAAATGTTAACCTTATGAACTTTAATTTTTTTTTTTTTCATAAAATTTACTTTTGATCTTTTCTACAGAATTCAACCTGGAATGCAGAATCCTAATACTGGAATGTCAAATATATCCAATTATAATCAGATGGGAATGACACCATCTCAAGGTCAAGGGACATTTATGCAACAGCGCATGGTGAGGACACAACAACAAAGACAACAAATATTACAACAACAATTAAGAATTCAACAACAACAACAGATGCCTCAGCAGTCAACACAGCCACAACACAATGCTAATCTGATGGCACAACTACAACAACAGATGGGAGTACGACAGCAACCCAACAATGCCTATAATCAGTATCAACAACCTCCACAGTATTAAACATTCAAATTCTCCTTTAACAAATTGACAGTAGAAGAATTTATTGTTTTTAGTATTAGAGATGCTAGGAGAATTAAGATCCCAGTAACAGTTGAACTATTTCTTCAGTTTAGGGATTGGAGTTTGTTGATGTTATAATCAGTAAAAACATACCTACTCTGTGTTCCAGGTTTAAGGACAGTTATAGAATGGCTATTGTAATCAGTTTTCATACCGTGATGACAAGTATATAAACACAACATGTCTATAGACAATATAAGGACATTACTGCTGTCTGTAGTAAGGTCTTCTGAGGGATAAGACAGCACTCTAAACATACCTGATCAACAGCAGCCATTATGGGACTTATAATGATATCTACTTGTGTCTATGTGTTAGTTTATATTATTTATCATGATGCAATCTGCTGAACAACTCAAAATGATTTTCATAATTATTCTCTTAAAGTTTGTTACAATAACTTTTGTGTTTAAGTTTGTTACAATAGTTTTTGTAGCTGAAATTACCACAAATCAGAAGTTAAGAAATAAATTTTATTTTTTTTTATTTTTTCAGATTAATTTTTCATTTGAATATTTATGGGTTCATTTTTGTGGTGGACATACAGTTCACTGATATCTTTCATCATTCATTATCTTTCATTCATTGAAGAAATAAACATTAAAATAAAGACTGGAAAAAATTTATTCTGATCTTAATATACTCTTTCTAAAAAAATATTTGAAAGGAAATGTGTTTTTCTATCAGAATGTAAGGGAATGAAATGTTACACTTTGGACCAAACAGATTTTATTTGGACATATGTTTAAATAATAGACGCATAATGGTGCTTTTAATAAGCTTTAAAAGTACTCAATAAATATTTGTACATATGTATTGTAAAGTTTGAGACTTGTAAGATAGTACATGTATACGAAAAAAAGACCTGAATTATTTGTTAAATGTACTTTTAATGTGGGAAAGTTTTTCAATCCAAAATATGTACCATTTACACTGTATAAAAATTCAGACAGAATCACCTCATACCATGTGGATTACTGGTAATAGTGCACCTACTTTTCTTATGTTTTTATTAGATTGATTTTAATGATGGTTCCCATAGCAAGACAAGACATTTCATATTTTAAACATAAAGGAAATATTTTTAATGCAAAATCTCCAAGAGCCTACATTGGTTTGCTACAAAACTTGAGAGAATTGCTTCATACCATTAGCAGTTTGGCATTTCAAAGTTTAGTGCAGATTAGATAATGTTTGTCATGTCAAGAATGTCACAAAGCATAGCACCAAACATAAAGATTTCTGATAAGATCCTTTTTAGAATAAGTACCTATTATAAAAGATTGATATTCAGCATACAGCTGCATCAGAATAAAAGGTCCTATCCCCAGTTATCTACAAACCACTTTAAAATTATATGTTAAGTTACTAATAAGGTGTGATGACATAGAAGTATCAATATCATTGATATATGGTTTGCTGAGGTCATTGATATATGATATGCTGGGGTCATTGATATTTGATATGCTGGGGTCATTGATATATGGTATGCATTGGTATATGGTATGCTGAGGTCATTGATATATGATATGCTGGGGTCATTGATATTTGATATGCTGGGGTCATTGATATATGGTATGCATTGGTATATGGTATGCTGAGGTCATTGATATATGATATGCTGAGGTCATTGATATATGGTATGCTGGGGTCATTGATATATGATATGCTGGGGTCATTGATATTTGATATGCTGGGGTCATTGATATATGGTATGCATTGGTATATGGTATGCTGAGGTCATTGATATATGATATGCTGAGGTCATTGATATATGGTATGCTGGGGTCATTGATATATGATATGCTGGGGTCATTGATATTTGATATGCTGGGGTCATTGATATATGGTATGCATTGGTATATGGTATGCTGAGGTCATTGATATATGGTATGCTGAGGTCATTGATATATGGTATGCTGAGGTCATTGATATATGGTATGCTGGGGTCATTGATATATGGTATGCTGGGGTCATTGATATATGATATGCTGGGGTCATTGATATTTGATATGCTGGGGTCATTGATATATGGTATGCATTGATATATGGTATGCTGAGGTCATTGATATATGGTATGCTGGGGTCATTGATATATGGTATGCTGGGGTCATTGATATATGGTATGCTGAGGTCATTGATATATGGTATGCATTGATATATGGTATGCTGAGGTCATTGATATATGGTATGCATTGATATATGGTATGCTGGGGTCATTGATATATGGTATGCATTGATATATGGTATGCTGAGGTCATTGATACATGATATGCTGAGGTCATTGATATATGATATGCTGAGGTCATTTATATATGGTATGCTGAGGTCATTGATATATGGTATGCTGGGGTCATTGATATATGGTATGCTGAGGTCATTGATATATGGTATGCTGAGGTCATTGATACATGATATGCTGAGGTCATTGATATATGATATGCTGAGGTCATTGATACATGATATGCTGAGGTCATTGATATATGATATGCTGAGGTCATTGATACATGATATGCTGAGGTCATTGATGTATGGTATGCTGGGGTCATTGATATATGATATGCTGAGGTCATTGATATATGGTATGCTGAGGGCATTGATATATGGTATGCTGAGGTCATTGATATATGGTATGCTGGGGTCATTGATATATGGTATGCTGAGGTCATTGGTATATGGTATGCTGGGGTCATTGATATATGATATGCTGAGGTCATTGATATATGGTATGCTGAGGTCATTGATATATGATATGCTGAGGTCATTGATATATGGTATGCTGAGGTCATTGATATATGAAATGTTGTTGCATTTAATCATTTCAAGCGGAATGATATGATCCACCACTAAGACATTGTATTTTAAATTTATTTAATATTCCAATGTTTAAGTAGTAATTTGTAAATTGGTCAAAAGCTAGGCATTAATAAGTAAGGAGGAAGAAATAGTTTTTTTTTCCATTTCATTTCTAGCTCATTATTCAGCCTGATATTGAATTCTGACTTTAGAATATCTATTTTCTTTGTTTTTCAATGAGCATGGTTCAATATGTTAAGTGATTTTAATTATTGTATTGTACATGTGTATATATATTTATTTTAATTCAAAACAGTGTAAGAATGAGATTTATAAAAGCAGTGATATATGAAAAAATGTACAAAACAAACTTATAAAAATGAATTGTCAATTAAAACTGGGAGGTATGATACGAGCAATTAATTTGCGTTTGTAGTTGCTAGAATAATAAAATTTTTCAAGCTTTTAAAAAGTATATTTATTATATTGATAAAAAAAACACGTCCATATAATCTAGGCATTTTAGTACAGAAGGATCACTTGAGATGTCATAAACATGTCGAAATTGACAGATTTGCCCTAAATATTTTGGTCAAAAATAGATACAAGTAAGTGCTTAACCAAAAAGATAATTTACACAGATAAACATCTTTGAAAAATGCATCTTGCAGCAAGATATCTTTATTTTTAAGCTTGGCTCATATCTAAATATAAATGACAAGATTTTAAAATGAGACTAATTTGCAGTTTTTGGCCTTTTTGCTCTTAATTCAAGAAGTTTGACGCCCTATTGCAATGTGTAAGACAAAACTGAAAAATATGAGTACTGATATCTGATAGTCTTATTTTAAACATATAAAGCATGTTATTTGATCCATTGATAATAGTTTTGTTTTTTGAATTCAAGGGGCCTAAAAATTGGCCTTATCATACCTTCTACTTTGTGCTTTATCATACCAATATCAGTACATGTATAGCATTTCTTGCATATTTGTATCTGATTAAAAGTTTAAATCCATATCCTAAACTTTACAAATAAGTCACTTTGAATCACATCACTTGTAAATGTCATGTTCCATTTAATGATCTTCACACACACACACACACACACACACACACACACACATATATATATAGCAGTTGCTGATGGTGACTGTCTAATATAAAATATGTTAATTAACCATAAAATGATATGGCTTCTTTCTTATAACATTTTGATACTTCCTTCATACAAGACTCTTCCTTCATACAAGACTCTTTAATCAAAACTTTAAGACTGATATGTGATGTGATTATTATCAGTAAAACATGCAACTCATGAATTTAAGATACGTTAATCATCCCAAATTTTACATTTTTGTTTAATGTTAAATGTTGTATCTATAAATCAGTAACCATTATTACAGCTATATTAATGATTTTGTAATTATTTATTTACTGTAACATTTATGATATTTAATTGTTTTCTAAATGTAACATTATGAACATTGTTAGTGTTATGAATAAATGTATTTAAATGTTTTGATTTCTTCCCATCATTATTGGAGATTATTCCTTGGAAAACTGTAAGCACAGTCACCAACTTATAGAAGACTTCTGATGCTCAGTCAAAGTCTGGCAAATCATTAACTCAATAGGACTGGAATATCTTTAACACATCAGGACTGGAATATCATTAGCTCACCAGGACTGGAATATCATTAACTCACCAGGACTGGAATATCATTTACACACCAGGACTGGAATATCATTAACTCACTAGGACTGGAATATCATTAACTCACCAGGACTGGAATATCATTAACACAACAGGACTGGAATATCATTAGCTCACCAGGACTGGAATATCATTAACTCACCAGGACCGGAATATCATTAACACAACAGGACTGGAATATCATTAACTCATATCATTAACTCACCTGGACTGGAATATCATTAACTTACAAGGACTGGAATATCATGAACTCTCAAGGACTGGCATAACATTAGCTCACACGGACTGGAATATCATTAACTCACCAGGAGTGGAAAATCATTAGCTTACAAGGACTGGAGTATCATAAACTCATATCATTAACTCACCAGGACTGGAATATCATTAACTTACAAGGACTGGAATATCATTAACTCACTAGGACTGGCATATCATTAGCTCACATGGACTGGAATATCATTAACTCACCAGGGCTGGAATATAATTAATTCACCAGGACTGGAATATAATTAATTCACCAGGACTGGAAAATCATTAGCTCACAAGGACTGGAATATCATTAACTCACCAGGACTGGAACATCATTAGCTCACAAGGACTGGAATATCATTAACTCACCAGGACTGGAATATTGTTAGCTCACCAGGCCTGGAATATCATTAACTCATATCATTAACACACCAGGACTGGAAGATCATTAACTCACCAGAACTGGAATATCATTAACTCACAAGGACTGGATTATCATTAACTCACTAGGACTGGAATATCATTAGCTCACATAGACTGGAATATCATTAACTCACAAGGCCTGTCATATCTTTAACTCATCAGGAATGAAATATCATTAGCTAAACAGGACCATACTTTGCCAATGCCTTTTAAATATCTTTTCTGAAACCCCTGGACTAATATATATCAAACATGACCACAAAGATCTTTAGAGTACCGTAAATTCAGAAATGAATGTGTGTAGTTATTATTGTGAATGACTGGTAACTGATAAAAATGCTAGATCTTATTAATGCAATGGCAAACATTTTGTGAAGGAAAATCCCTCCTGAAATTATAAATCAAGTTTTTATTATTGTGAACCTGATACTGTTTCGGCGTAAGAGTGTCTAGTTAAAACATGTCTTATTTTGCTGGTTTATCTACTAACATGTCAGCTGTTGATATAAGAAAGAAATGTTCATGAAGTAGTAATTTTGCAGAATAAGTAGGGAAAATATCAGTAGGACAATCAAGATTTAAATCTTTGGGTTATATTTCTGTTTAAAATTCTGATAAAATCAAAAGCGGACTAATTTGAATAAGTTTCCTAAAAAAAAATATTGTCATATGGTTCTCTATCAGAAGTATAGTCAATGAACCTCCAACAATTTTTATACGACCGCAAAAATTAAAAAATTTTTGGTCGTATATTGGTATGACGTTGGCGTCCTCGTCGTCGTCGTCGTCCGAAGACACATTGGTTTTTGCACTCTAACTTTAGTTTAAGTGAATGGATCTCCATGAAATTTTATTATAAGGTTCAATGCCACGAAAGGAAGGTTGGGATTGATTTTGGGGGTTATGTTACTAACAGTTAAGGAATTAGGGGCCAAAAATAAGCATTTTTGTAACTTCCAGACAATAACTTGTGTGTAAGTGTATGGATCTCTCTGACATTGTACCACAAGGTTCCATATCACAATGGGAAGGCTGTAATTGATTTTGGGGGTAATTGCCTCAAAATTTTAGGAATTAGGGGCAAAAAACAAGCATTTTTCTAGTTTCATGACAATAACTTGTGTGTAAGTGTTTGGATATTTCTGAAATTGTACTACAAGGTTCCATATCACAAAGGGAAAGCTGGAATTGAGTTTGGGGGTAATTGCCCGAAACGTTTAGGAATTTGGGGCCAAAAAGGGGCCAAAAATAAGCATTTTTCTAGTTTCCAGACAGTAACTTGTGTTCAAGTGTATGGATCTCTCTGAAATTGTACTGCAAGGTACCATACCACAAAGGGAAGGCTGGGATTGAGTTTGGGGGTGATGAATCATAAGAGGGTTCAAAAAATTTGGGGGGGGGGGATTTTTTTTCTTTTCTTTTTTTCCTTTTTTTTTTCTTTTAAAATTTTCCATTTTAAGTTGGTTATTTCTGATTTATATTTAAAAGCAAATAATAATGATATGGTAGGAGATACACACCAAACAGGATGTGTAAATTATTATATAAGAAGTATTGTGCAATAGCAAGAAATTTTCAATTGCACAGTATTGCACAATAGCAAGAAATCTTCAATTGCACAGTATTGCGCAATAGCAAGAAATCTTCAATTGCACAGTATTGCGCAATAGCAAGAACTATCCAATAGCACACTATTGCGCAATAGCAAGAAATTGTCAATTGTACAGTATTGTGCAATAGCAAGAAATATTCAATTGCACAGTATTGTGCAAAAGAAGATACTTTGTATAAATTGCTTATTTCTTGATCAATTTCAATGGGGTTTTATTCTTGAATTCTTGGGGTTCTTTAATATGCTGAATCTAACTGTGTATTAAGTTTTTGGATTTTGGGCCCCGTTTTTAAATTGGTCCACATTGAGGTCCAAAGGGTCCAAAATTTAACTTTGTTTGATTTCATCAAAAATTGAATTATTGGGGTTCTTTGATATGCCGAATCTAACCGTGTATTTAGATTCTTAATTTTTGGTTCCGTTTTCAAACTGATCTACATTAAGGTCCAAAGGGTCCAAAATTAAACTTAGTTTGATTTTAACAAAACTTGAATTTTTAGGGTTCTTTGATATGCTGAATCTAAACATATATTTAGATTTTTGATTATGGGCCCAGTTTTCAAGTTGGTCCAAATCGGGGTCCAAAATTATGCTTTGTTTGATTTCAACAAAAATTGAATATATGGGGTTCTTTGATATGCTGAATCTAACCATGTATTTCGATTTTGGATATTGGACCATAATAGGTGAATGTCCAATTTAAAATTTTTAAGTTCTTAGACCACATTCATTCAGTGTCAGAAACCTATGCTGTGTCAAATATTTAATCACAATCCAAATTTAGAGCTGTATCAAGCTTGAATGTTGTGTCCATACTTGCCCCAACTGTTCAGGGTTCGACCTCTGTGGTCGTATCAAGCTGCGCCCTGCGGAGCATTTTATTAGGCATTTGATTTCTGACAAAAAATGTAGTAGTTCCATCTGATATATGTAATAGGCTTTGATTTTGTTTACTATTGAGTAACAGTGTTAAGAAATTGGTCTGGTCCTCTGTAAGTTTTGTTGTCCTGAATATGATTGAAATACTTGTAATGGATGTTAAACAAGTAACAATCAATCAATAAGTAAGTTAATATAGCAGGTCAACAATATTTGGTTTGTTCAATCCTTGTAGAGAGTATATTGGCATGGCCTGGTGTGTTTATTCCTTGTAGAGAGTATATTGGTATGGCCTGGTGTGTTTATTCCTTGTAGAGAGTATATTGGTATGGCCTGGTGTGTTTATTCCTTGTTGAGAGTATATTGGTATGGCCTGGTGTGTTTATTCCTTGTAGAGAGTATATTATCATGGTCTGGTGTGTTTATTCCTTGTTAAGAGTATATTGTCATGGTCTGGTGTGTTTATTCCTTTTTAAGAGTATATTGGTATGGCCTGGTGTGTTTATATATTGGTATGGCCTGGTGTGTTTATTCCTTGTTAAGAGTATATTGGTATGGCCTGGTGTTTAATTCCTTGTAGAGAGTTTGTAAAGAGTATATTGGTATGGCTTGGTGTGATTATTCCTTGTAAAGAGTATATTGGTATGGCCTGGTGTGTTTATTCCTTGTTAAGAGTATATTGGTATGCCCTGGTGTGTTTATTCCTTGTAAAGAGTATATTGGCAATGTTCAAATATCTTCAGGTGCAAATATTGAACACTAAATTTGTTTTATACTAAAACATATGAAAAGTTTTTCTTGTGAATAATGTTTCACTAATGGAGTTGTATCAACAAGATTATAGACCAAAAAATCATCTTAACCGAACAATCTGTAACTTGTCGTGGTAAAACTATATACCAAATATCAAATCAATATCTTCATGCACGAAGAAAAAAGTGTGGAAAACTTATTTGCCGAACTGACGGACGGAGTGCAAATATAAAGTCCCCTTTAGCTTTGCAGGTAGGGGCTAATAAAAAGAGGTGTTGGATATACACCAATGAGACTGCAACCCAACATCACAAATAACCATTTGTTATATTGAGGTCAACATACACTCATTAAGAATAGACAAATGTAGATACCTTATGTAGGACTACGTGTGCATCCAATCTTTTATTTGATCTTGACCCAGTTCCAGGTGCGTTGGCTTAAAATAATTCATATATTTAATAAATCAGATGAGCTTTATAAGTCTATCATCTTTTTGAGTGGTAGTGATGGCGTTCAGCTATTGTTTGTTCGTCATTTGACAAAAGTGAACAAGCAAGAAGCAAGAAGTTTTTTTTAATCCCCATGGCAATGATTTTAATAGTACCACTATTAAAATCCTTGACCTGGTCTACTAAATAATAAGCATTCGAATTTTGACCAAGCTCAAAATGAGTCATTGATGAAATTTTGTAAAATATCAGATTGATAGTATACACAGAATTACTTGCAGAAGCATTTTGAAGACTGTATTAGATCAATATAGGGAATTCTCAGCTACATTTAAGCACAATCCTTCAACATATGATATTTTTAAGATGCAATTACTTGTTGTAATGCGGCTTTCTTTATCACTGTGGACAGTCAAGACTGCTTGATTCCTTAAACTACTATAATAATAGATAATTAAAACAAACAAAACAATAATACACACAGGATGTTCGCAATTACTGAAAGACAGCACAAAGTCATTGACCTGCTTATATGAATTCGTGTAGTCTTAATATGTAATATCGGCGGCTGTTCTTGGTTGTTAATTTCATATAACTTCATAAAAAGTACAGGAAGATGCGACCTTGTGCATTTGCCATGTTTTTCACTTTCTACAGCATTTTAAAATTAGAAGAAAATAAGCAACATGTAGTCTTGTTTCAAAATATATACTAACAGGTGCATGGTGACTCCCTACTGAAATATCATCAATAATTTCAATGAGTATGCCTAAAAGAAATATTCAAGGGACGCATCCCTAAATGTGTTTGCTTTACAACATTGTCGTAAGAACTGTGCGAAATACATCTTTTTATTGTATTCATGATGGTAGACTTATACCTTTTTATATCTATATTTATGAAAAGAAATAAAACTTGAAAGTTTTCACCATTTTATGTATCTATTGGAAAGAATTAACATAAATTTTGTCTGTGTCATTTTATTGTTAGATATCCTTAATTGAGTCTCCACCACTACATCTATTTTATTATAAAAAATTAATTACGCTATTCCGGTTTTTTATCACTTGAAATCTTGAATGTTTTTGCTTTGCACAACGAAAACAGTGACTTACAATATCTGATTAAATATGGCTGATTTTAAATCATAAAATATCATTTTCAATTAAGTGAACAGTCTTGTATTGTATAATATGGTAACAATTTGTCTTATCTTGGTCATTTTCCAAGTGACATTGGTCGGAGTTATTTACACATGTCATTTTGTAACCGCCCCCATAAGTATTAAACCAAAGATCTGCACTTCGATCAAACGCCGATTTGATTAAAATGTGCACCTAATACGGTTTAACAGATTAATTACATTGTCGAACCTAACGAAGTGTGGAATTAAGAAAACGCAAACAGTGGGCGAAAAATGACAGAATAGGGTATTTTATTTAGAAGGTAAGTAAAGTATATTGATTTTCATAATATAAAATGATATGTTGTCTACTATCGATCGCGTCATTTCGTAGAGATGCACAGCTGTGCGTGTTTTTCTGTTGTTTAACTTAGTGTTATCAATATTACTCTGAAATTTCGACCTTAGAATAGATCTTCGCCTTAGATCTAATATAGAAAACGTTCCTCAATTAACGTAATGTTATTGATATATAGCGGGTTTAAAATACTTTGTATTTGTCTTCATATGAGAAAAATCTCTCAATTTTTGGTATATAAAGCAGTAGCTAATTTTAAACCCCACCTTCCCACAGAAAGGAAGAATAATTTGAATTTAAAGTTTAAAGATTTGATATAAATTGTTGTTAAATCATTTAGTTCTTATCTGTACGTATATGTTTAACACCTTCACAGTTTTATTCAACTTATCAAATTTGGCTCTAGTGACAGAGTTTACATATATTACACAAACAAAGTCATTGATTAATATTTTAACGACCGTTTTATACATATGTATTGAATAATCCCAAACGACCATTGTTCCGCAAGAGGAATTTAACCTACAATCCCTCACTGTTCCTTATTTTCGGTTACTAAAGATAGATTAAAATGTCTGTATCAATTTCTATAGTTGTTCCTTGAGAACCTCAATTCAAACCCTCTTTGTCACCATGAGTTACTCCAGAACCGACCCCCTACAAACTGATAAAAAATTATGACGGAAAACTGTTTAACGATATTCTTTTACATATGTGGTTACATCAGTGAAAACAATTGAGGGAGGATTTTTACATTTAAAAATTAATGTTATTGCAAAAGAAAGGTATGTTTTGTAAATTGAATTATATTTTCACATGTGAAAAAAAACAAGATATGGGTAAAATGTCAATAAGGCAGCAACCCATGCACTAATACGTATCGTAATAGTTTCGTTGATTTTATTCCATTACTCTATATTTTTGACCTCACAATTGTGTGACTTAAGGGACGAATCCTCTAGAAACAATACGATAGAGGGTATGAATGGGATGTCATTCATGTTTTGTATTGTGTAATTTGGTAGGCCATTTTTCTCTATTCTTTATGTTTTGGCACATTATTCTCTACTAGTATTTTCTATTATTTAAATCTCTATTATTCTCGATTCTTTATTTGTTTGCCTATTTTTCTTTATTTTTTTTGCTTCCTTTTCAGTAGTATTGACCAATTATTCTCTATTCTGTAAACCCCATCCAGCCCTCATAATAAACTGGACTTTAGAGGAATGTAGTCAGTACCTAGAGCACTTTTTCACTGACGATAAAGGTAAAAAATATAATATTCTCTGGAAATTCCGAATAATAATCATATCCTCCTTACGGAATCAGTTATGCATGGCCGGGAGTGTTACTTTTGTTATTTTGATAAAACTGCTACAAAAACGAATAATATTATTTCCCAAGTTGTATATTAAATGTATCTGTTAGGTTTCATTATAGACATCTTAAAGAGGTTTTGATGTCAGTAAATATCAATTAGAATGTAGAAAAGAAATTAAACGTGATATATATCGTTTCAATTGGACAGAGTAAGTTTGAAGTTTGTTGAACTGCCGTTTTAATTTTCCACGCTTAATTTACTTATCTTTATTTAACTATGAAACGCTTCTCTTCGTGATTTTAATTCTATGTCATTATGAAATTGAATCTGTTTGTTTTTCATGAAAAATATTAAAAACTAAACGTTCTTTCATTTCAAGGAAACAAACTAAGACTGATCTCGCTATAGAAGAATGGTACATTTAACACCGAGATCATCTGTCAGCTCGGGAGCCGTTACACCTGTTTCGCCGTATCCAGGATTTGACCAAAATGGGACCTACCGAAACCCTGTTCCAGTGGCTCGATTAAAGTTTCAAGGTGTTGATTTTGCAGAGAAACACAAGGGTTCTATCGATAAATGGGTATTCAGGCGTGACGATAAAACACTTGAATCGCCCCGACCTGTTCCAAGGTGCCCGACTGCCGAATCGTTTGAGAATTATAATCGTGGCAAGTATGGTTCTATTAAAACTATAATAAATGGTGAAGCTACACCAAGACCAGATTCAGCTCCTTGTAGAATTAAATCTGAAGGAGAACCAATTGCTTCGATAAGCAGAGGGAAACGTATGAGGAAAATCGTACACGAATTTGGCCAATCAGCTCCTTCTCCAGTCATACCAAGAGTTAAGCCAGAAGCGGAACAAACTGCAGAAGTTCATAAGGGTGGTAGAATGAATCGCTTGATCCATAGTTATGCCCAAGGCCCTTCATCAGCACGACCTGTTCCAAGGGTTAAACCGGAAGCTGAAAAAACAGCATCGATTCACACAGGCAAACGTATGAAACCGATCGTTCATTCGGGACTTTACATGAACGGGATAATTTCAGAACCTGCAATCCCAAGAGTTAAACCAGAAGGTAGTCAAAACGCAGAACTTGCAAAAGGAAAGAGGATATTAAGATTATTCCATGATTACGGACAAATTCCGCTGTCAAGCAGACCTGTTCCTAGAGTTAAAACAGAAGGTGATCCGAATTACGTATTAGATCAAGGCCATAGAATGGAAACTCTAATGCATTCGGGCAAAATTATGATGAGCCCTAAACCAGATCCACGAGTAACCACACCAGACGCAACTCGAAATTTAAATAAAGGTAGATCTGGTAAACTAAAATACATTTTACGAGAAACTGGGAAGAAAACATGCGTACATATTCCAGGACGGCAATCAAAACAATTTACTCAAGCGAACACTATATGACATGTCAGTTATAGACTACAGCATTTCTCTTGTGATTAAGCTTTGTTACATTAGAATTCCATTACCAGTTAAGCTTTATTTTAACCCAGTATGATTCAAATTGTACGGTGTCACCTAACCTGCAATACCAATGTTCATGCATGCAAATGCCTAGTGGAAAATATGTGTACGTTTTAATCTAATGGTAATTAAACGAATCAAAATTGATACTCTATAGCTGGAATATATAACTAACCTGTTCAATGATAATATCGAACTCTAGTTACACATGATAGTCACGGAAATACAAGTAGTCTTCATCAACTTTTACCAGAATTTAGGGCAGAAATTTAGCTTTAAGCTTTGTTTGTTACATTCAACTGTGTTATATAGACAGTCACGGATATTAAAACAACATTTATATTAGTTGCATAGATACCATGGATGATTAAACATATATACAATACCTTTATTCTTTCCCTCCTTTTACCTTAACCACTGACGTATAACAAAATATATCAAATGTCTGACAAATATTACCTACATTTATTGATCAAATGACTGGCAAATATTATACAGTTCATGAATTGATCAGTGACAAATATTACATCGATACAGATCATCAATTGATCAGATGAAATTGCAGCTCAGTGGTTATCTTTTTTCCTCTTTAATTCTTAATTTGAGTTAAATGGCGGGTTTCTAAATTTTTATTATTATTATTATTATTATTATTATTATTATTAAATTGTCATTATTATTATTATTATTCATGATTATCATTATTATTATTATTATTATTATTAATCTTATTTTACATCAATAATTGCTACATTGCTATCATTTTCGCATTATTTGTTTCATCTCAAAGCTGTACAATCATTTAAACAAATGTTAAATGGAAATATTAAGTATTTTTTGTAAAGCATCAAAAATATTTCATACAGAAAGTAACCAAAAGTAAGATTGCAATAATATACCATATTGCACAGTGTTATGGCTTGGTATTGGTTGCAAAAATTTGATATTTTTCATTTAAATGCAATATTTCTTATTTAATTGGTATATTTCTTCATTTAAATGCAATATTTTTTTATTTGAATGGTATATTTTTTCATTTAAATGCAATATTTTTTATTCAAATGGTATAATTTTTCATTCAAATGGTATAATTTTCACTCAACTGCAATAGTTTTTATTCAATTGGTATAAAATGTCATTTGAATGCAATATTTTTTATTCAATTGGTATTGTAGTTTTTTTATTTATATGCAATAATTGCATTATGGGAAATTCTTTGACGTCATAAGGTCAAATTTGCAACAACGTTTGTGATTGGTCGGAAATTGTTTTGATTTCTCCCCTTTCTTTCTAAACATGGGTGACCAAGAATTAAAAAACGCGTCAGAATATCGCCCCTCTAACTAAATCTAACGTTCGTGCGAGTCCTGCACTGGCTGTTAAAATCTTGTGGTCATAACTAGTATTTCTATTGCAAAATTTCGATGGTCAAAACGTTCGGTCCACTTTTCAAAAACCGTTTCATTGTATATGGATTTAAATGCAAATATACCGGTTTTTTTTTAAATAGATTAGACACCGTTGGTTTTCCCGTTTGAATGGTTTTACACTACTAATTTTTTGGGGGCCCTTTATAGCTTGCTGTTCGGTTTGAGCCAATGCTCCGTGTTGAAGACCGTACGTTGACCTTCAATGGTTTACATTTACAAATTATGACTTGGATGGAGAGTTGTCTCATCGGCACTCATACCACATCTTCTTATATCTATATACAACGTAAACCAGACGTTTCTCAGACTGTTTTCTTTTTTTAATAAACCCTTTGCCGCGCGTTGTGTACTGATTGATAACTCAGTCTGGGAGAACAAGATTTATTTCAGTACCAGTTGTAATTAGGTTTGAGCAAACTTATTTTATTGTACTGTTACACCACTGTCCCAGCTTCGGGATGGGTGGCTCACAAACATGTTGTTGTACTGTTACACCGCTGTTCCAGATTAGGGGGAGGACTGGGATCCCGCTAACATGTTTAACCCCGCCACATTCTGTATGTATGTGTTTGTCCCAAGTCAGGAGCCTGTAATTCAGTGGTTGCCGTTTGTTGCTTTGTAATACATATTTGTGTTTCGTTCATTTTTTTGTAAATTAATTCGGCTGTTAGTTTTCTCGATTGAATTGTTTTACATTTTTGATTTCGGGGCCTTTTATAGCTGACTATGCGATATAGGCTTTGCTTATTGTCGAAGGCCGTACGGTGACTTATAGCTGTTGATTTCTGTGTCATTTGATCTCTTGTGGAGAGTTGTCTCATTTGCAATCATACCACATCTTCGTTTTTATATCCACCCTGCCATATTCTTTATTTGCCTGTCCCAGGGATGGAGCCTGTAGTTTAGTGGTTGTCGTTGGTTCCTGTCTCGACTCATATTTGATATTTTGTAAATTGTTTTGTTATGTATAATTAGGCTGTTAGTTTTTTCGTTTGAATTGTTCACACTTTTCATGTCGGGCCTTTTATAGACGACTTTACAATATCAGGTTTTTGTCATTGTTGAAGGCCTTACGATTGTCTACAAAAAGCATTTGTCTACATGACGGCAAAAAGCTCTAAAGAGCTTATGTTTGTAGTATTTCATGTAACCCGACTTAAAATAAATTTTTCTTATCTTATCTTATCTTATCTATAATTGCTTACAACCACTTCATATTTGAACTCCGGTGGATAGTTGCCTTATTAGCAATCATATTCCATCTCTTCATTTTTATATTATATACGTGACTTCTAAACTCGTGTTTTCCTGAACAAGCATGAAATAATTTTTACTGGGCGTTAAAATTAGCAACAAACAATCAATCAATTTAAACTGGTGTTAAATAAGAGGAAAACCATTTGATATTTATTTATTTGTTGGGGTGGGGGACAGAAGGATTTCATTTATGAATATGGTTGCCTGGTAAGAGCTGAAAAATAGGCATGATTAGCGACAGATTAAAAATGAATAATAATGCCCTCTCTTCCCTTCCCCATCCTTCATCTATAAATTTAAACTGACCACCACGGAATAGCCCAATAGTGTTGAAAGTAGCGTTAAACACCAATCAATCAAAATCCCTTCCCTAGAATATCAAATAATCGTCCCTTAACTGTAATTGTCCGTGTAGTTCTTATATTTATCCAGCTTATCGTCCTACAGGGATGTCCTACTAAGGCTGTCATACCATAAAAACGTTTATAAAACAGCTCACATTCTAATATATCTGCAATCATAAATTTATTAATTTCATTTAGACTAAACGACGCCATGTTTGTTATGTGCCTCTGCCGTCAACCTATCAAAAAAGAAGAGGTGGAAGAGAGCCAGAAGATCTTCCCAATGCAAAAAAAAAAACCAGAAATGGACTTCTTCTGGCTCACTTCCGAAGAACAAAAAAAAAAAACGCGCCCCATTGATATGTTTTAAAAACGCCTTGCCCTACCCTTTTTTCCAAAAAAATGGCATTATTAAATATATAAACATATATATAATCATCAAAATTAAAATGCTATTGTATTTTTATAAGACCTACTTTATTACATGACCTGGGACTAATGACATCTATCTATAAGTCCTAGCATACATTAATTATTATAATATGAATATGTTTCTTGTTTTAATAACCGCATATGATGCTATGCATGAGTCACCATTTATCAGGACATGAATTGGGTTTACATAGAGAGGATAAGGGACGACATCAGAAAATCAATGAAGAATGAAAAACTTAATTCAAATAGTTTTTTTTTTTTTTTGGGGGGGGGGGGGTCAAAATTGCTGCAAGTTTTGTTTAATTAACATCGATTTAATATATATCCTTATTGGTCAATCAATTTTTCCCAAATTAAGTTAAGGAGGGGGGGGGGGGGGGGGTAAGGGGGTCAGTGAAAAAAACTATATGAAATAAGTTTTTTTTATCCTACATTGAACTTTTGATGTCGTCCCTAATGTGCAAAAAAATAGATAAGGGGCGGGACCAAACCATAACATAATAAAGAAATGATGAAATAGACAGAACACGTTGATTGACTTTTGGTTGCCTTATGTCCAGTGGCAAATATGTCACGCATGTTTAGGACAAATATAATAGAGATCAAAGGATAGAGAATAGAGTGAAATGGTAAAAACTAAAAGATATAGAATTATAGAAACGATCTTTGATCTGAAACCCCTACCCTCACACACACACCATAACCATTACTGCCAATACTCGCATATATACATCGCTATACAAATATCTAAATTTTAACCTAACCCCCCCCCCCCCCCCCCCCCCCAAACCCCCTCTAGACACCGAGGTTTTGGATCCACCCCTGTTAAATGTGTCTAATCAAGTTATATATATTTTGTACGGGTCTAGATAATAGCTAAACGTACAATCATATAATTTGTTGGATACCTAATTATATTATATAATGTGTCACAAAATAAACTTGTATACCCCCCTTCCCAATGCAGTATTGAAAAGTAAATCATTTAAAAGTCCTGAAGATAAAATATGTTTTGAAATATGCCCTGCATACTTATTTATGCAAAGACATATAGTAATTATTGAACTACTGTGGGGCTTGAAAAAAAATCTATTTAAGGGATTCGGAGACGAGAACAGTAAAAAAAAAGCTCAGCAACGAATCCTAAATGTAAAATGATTTGCAGCATAAGACATGAGAGCACATATTATAGATAGTATTAAATATGAAGTTCACGCCTCATATAGTGAAGTCCTATGTCATAGGACTATTGTTGTAACATGGGTTAGTAACTGGTTCCAATTTATCCTGAATTGTCTTTATTAAAGAATTAGTTCCGGAGTATAACAACTTATGTCTCTACTTGTGGGTTTCTGGTTCTGCTGTCGTTATTAGGTGATTTTTTTTTCTACATGTAGTAAAAAAGAGGGGGCTTAGTCCAAATAATTGTAACGTCCTGGATGCTTTTTATTCTTTTTTCATGTGTGCCTTCCTGCAACGTCTCTGAGGATCAAGAAAAGTAAAAAATGATATAGCACTAAAGAACGTCATGATTACATGTATCTGGACTTAGAAGGGGGAGGGGGGCTAGCTATGTATTTTTTTTTTATTTCAATTTGTAGACTGTAGGAGAGTTTCTTCAGAAAAGCTTTTCATTGGAGGTGTTTTTGCCATGCACGCAGGCATCTGTTTCTATCCATGAACAAGTTGTGTGTCAAATTAATAATTATTACTTGTCACTCGCATTTTTTGCTCGTCCTGGCCATTATTGGCATTAACAGCCAGTGCACGAACTCGCACGAACGTCAAATTTAGTTAGAGGGGCGATATTCTGACGCGTTTTTTAATTCTTGGTCACTCCTGAAAGTTTAGAAAGAAAGGGGAGAAATCCGAACAATTACCGACCAATCACAAACGTTGTTGCAAATTTGACCTTATCACGTCAA